AATTTTTATCGAGCTGCGACGAATGCGCGACAGCGTGGAGCTGCCGCGCGTGGAAGTTGAGACGAGAAATGCAATGACAAAATAAAACCAGTCGGAGAGCGCGCGCGCGCGCGCGCGAACGCGAGAGAGAGGGAGAAAGCACGACGGCGATGGAAACGAGGCCAAGTGGTGCAGAGTGTGCATTGTAGTGGAGAAAGTGCGGTGATCGTAACCGAGAACTTCAAAGCATCGACCTCTATAGCAAACAGGACTCGATATTTACGAGTTCAATATCCTCGGTCGAAAACTCGCAACCGCTTCGAAAGTGTACGGTTGGCTCAGCGAAAGTTTTTTGCGATCACGCATACATTTCTGGTTTTCCGTCGTTCCTATTTGATCGTTATGCACCCTACTACGTAACGTATTACACAGCGAATACCAGCCACAGGCAAGCAGTAAAGTATCGGTCTAGCGAGGGAGTAGAATCTCGCGGGAAAGCCGAACGAACGAGGGCGCCTCGTGGCGGGGGCACGGGACGCGACGAGGGGTGCGGAAAGGCAAGAGGAGGAAAGCAGGAAGAGCGGCCGCGCGCGGCTATCGGGGCGAAAGAGCGGAGAGAGTGGCGCGAGCCGCACACGCGTCAAGAAGGCGAGCAGGCTGCATGCGTAATGTAGGTCAGTAAAGGCGCCGCTTCAACCGCGCTCGAGAGCACTTTCTCCGCGGGCGCTCGACTGTTCTCTCTCTCTCTCTCTCTCTCTCGTACCGTTTGAAAAACAGGATCCAGGCCCCGGCGTATCCCTCCAGCGCAGCGAGAGAGAGAGAGAGAATTGGCCTTCCTCGGAACGGCTAACGGGACACGAGCTAAGACGGCCCGGGGCCAACGGTACATCTCTCTGGGCTCGCCTCGCCTCGCCTCTCGCTCATTCACAGCCACGGCCAACTCTTACGTGTGCTCGTTACTCAATTTCGGCAACGAACGCGGGAGGAATCGAGGGCTCGGGCGGTCGGGCGCCGCCGCGCGCTGCCGTTGCCGGCGACCCGGCGACCGACAGCGCGGCACCAAGTGAAAATCTAACGGGACAGCGACACGGACGACGAGCAACGGTTGGTTCGAGCGCGCTCGCCTACATCTTGTCTCGGTGTATTATGTTGCGAACCGCTAGGCAAAGTCCCGCTAGCGGAGCCCGTTTCGTAATCGAGCTCGTGTCGTAATCAGCGCGCCGGCGAGCGCCTCGCGGCTGGCTCGCTCCGCGGCGACGAGTCCACGCCGAGTCCCCGGAGGTAACGTCCTGACGTAACGTCGCCCTGAAATTCCCATTTCGGGCGCGCCAGTCCGCCGATGAGAAAGCGATGCGCTCTCGACTGCGCCGGTGTCGATCGGGCGCCGTGACTCACGACTCCGTGACCGCGCTCGGGCCGAACGGCGATCGGCTCGCGGAGCGCCGAGCGTGTCTCGCTCGTCCAAACAGCCGATAACCTTGTTGCGAGGCAACGCCGTGTTTTTCAAACGTTCGGCACGCCGGCAGCACTGCACCCGGGGTCAATACGAGGCAATCCTTATCAAGCACCGACTCTGTTGCTCGCTTATCGGCTTCAGCAACGCGGAAGTTTCGGGCCGAGCGTGACGAACGTTCGAGCTGGAGCTGGCGCTGGAGCTGCGCGTGCGTTGCTTCCTTGGCACAAGGCTCCGTCGCTCGCGGGCTTACGTTGTTAGCGACGAAGCGCCATCCAGAAGCTATCGTCGTTTGGCATCGAGAACCGCGTTCGCGTCTCAATCGCATATAACGTTGCGTATTATTAGAATCCGGCAAGAAGGCCTGCGCGCGGTTGAAAAAGTTGAACAGCTGGCTAGAAAAAAGTTGTTGTCTTGCTTTAGCCGCATCGAAGGTCGCGAGCCAAGGTTTTTCTCCTTTCCACCTGTGTTTGTCAGCGCTACGAACACGGAAATAATCCGAAAGCCGAGCGGAACACAAGCTGCTACAACGTTCAGCTGCACAGCCTAAATCATTGCATAAGCCTTCCACTGGCGATGCAGGCCACTCGCGAACAATGCCGCTAGCAATGAATCATTGGCGTTGGACATAATGTGAGAGCGCGGGCCAGCGTTGGACTCGGCCAACGGAGCGAAATAATGCGCGAGTGCGAATGCAGATGTTGTCGGGAAAAATTTTTCCTTAACGACGTCAGTGGCAGGGGGCGCGCAACTGGGCTACTGGGTCAGCGTCTGTTCGACTATTCTCAATGCGGCTCGCTATACTTACTCCATCGTGGCCAGTTTAACCATAGCCATCGACTTTCCTATGCACTAACAATCTGCTCGGTGAGCGGCCATTGGCTTCAATTAACGTCGGGTCCAATTGGCAGGCGAGCAAAGCGGCTGTCAAATACTTGACAAAAACACTCGTCTCAAGCTTGGCTCGATGCGGTCTGCTCGACAATTCGATAATTAGCTCAAGGCTCAGCTTTTCCAATAAAAGCTATACGCACGATCGATGCGTTAGCGGAAGCGCTAGACTCCCGTATCCTCCGGCTAATTGTTTTCCAAGCAAGCCCGACGACTCATCGCGAGGCCAACGGATTATTTCATCGAGTCGCTTCGAGTCGGAGCCGGGCGCCGCCAACCTGGTGCAAGTGGTGCAGTTGCGGAATCGGGCTGGGTTGTCGCGGCGAGCTCGAGGCCCGACTCGCGAACGACGCCGCGAAAGCGAAGGCCGAGCGCCGGCGTCGCTTCCGGCAGGCGCCGAGGACGCCCCGAGCGGCGCGCTCGGCTGTGGAGCGAGAGGTGGCCGCTCGACGCGAGCCAGCGAGCGCTGCACGCGCGCGGAAACGGAGTGCGCGTATTTTTAGGCAGCAACGCGACTTGGCGACTCGGCGACTCGGCGACTCGGCGACTCGGCGACTTGGCGGAGGCTGCGGCGTTGGAGCGCGCGTCGGGCGACCTTGCGCAGCGCCCGCGAGGCTCGGCCGAAGGCTGCGCGCTCGGACCCGACAATGGCTAACGGCTCGGGGCAGCGGGCCAGCGGCGCGCGGACCGTTAGCGCGGAGCTCGCTTTCGACGGGTCGCGCGCTGCCGATTCGCGCCGATCCGCCGCCGCCGCCGCCGCAGCCCGTTAGCCGCGGCTCCGCCCACGCCGAGCGCCGCTAGTGCGCTGCACCGTTAGATCGCTGCGCCGGTTACGTCAGCGCGCCGCGCGAAGCGCTGGCCGAGATCTCGGCCGCTCGGCGTTACGACATCTCGGAGCCGCCGGCGGCACGGCAATTTGCATGACACGCTCGGCTCGACAAGTGTGTCTAGGCCTCCCCCCGTGCCGCCGCGCTCGGCGGCTGCCGGCCTCTCGCGCTCTCGCGCGGTGCCGTTAGGCCGCGCCGCGGCGGCCCGTCGACGGACGGCCGCGAGGATGCAGCGCGGCCGAGCAGCGCCGGGCCGGCCACGTGAGAGCGGCGATCGGCGCACGCACGTTACGCAAAGCCGCGGCCAGACGAGCGCTCGGCGCGGAACGATCCTGCGCGCGGCTATATATACCCCGGCGGCTCTCGTCGGACGAGGAGCTGGGAAACGTGACTCGGTGCTTTCCTCCGCGGACGGCGCTCGCCAACGTGCTCGGCTCGGCCTCGTGCGGCCGGCCGGTGCTCCTCGGGCGACGCCGCGCTCGGCGATCGCGTACGCGCGGGCGGCGGGGGCGTCGAGCCTGCGATCGTCGGGCCCGGCTGTTTTGTAAACATTGCCGTAACTGGCGCGCTGCTCGATCGCGAGCGGAGATGCGAGCGACGTCGTTGCGCTGCACTTTCAGCAGATAAGATAAGACCAGTATTGCCAGCGAAAGTACACACAAGTGCATACGCGTCGGCGAAAAACACGTTCGCAGTCGAAACGTATATACAGATAATGCGTATCGCGCATCGCCTTTTGTTGCAAAAGAATGTGGAGGCGAAAATAGCGAGAACGGAACGGAGCCGGGGAAGGGAACAAGGGGAGCTTTGGAATTCGCGAGCGGAGAGAGGCGGCGGCGGCGGCGGCGGCGACGGCGGCTGGCAGAGCGCATGCAACGCACACACAGCGAGGCGAACGCTCGTGGGTCTGACGCAACAAGTAGAAATAAGGCTGAAGGTGGTGCAGCGGGGCAGCAGTGGCGCGGAGGTGGGGCTGGCGGCAGGCGCGGCGCGCGAGGGGAGGCCGCCGCCTAGGACGAGACGGGCGCGCGGGGCGGGCCGCCGACCGCGCGGACCGGCCGGCTGGATGCGAGCGCGAGTACAGAAGCGGCGCGCAGCGCGACTGGAGAATTCGAGGGGAGAGCTCGAGCGACCTTGTCAGGCGGCGCACGGCCGTCGAACTCGCGGCGCATTCAGGGTCAAAAAATAAGCCTTCGCCCGATCATCCATCCTTTCTCCGCCGCGCTCGCGCGCCGCGCCGCGCCGACCCGCGCGGGCCGCGAGGACGAGGCACCGCCCGACGCTCGCCGCGGGGACCGTGGCGCGGGCGATTCGGCGCGCCGCGAGGCGCGATTGCCGGACGGAGGCGCAATTGCAGCGCGACTGCGGCCTTTCGAAAGCGCGGCTCCGCGCAACGCCGCTGCACGCGCGTCCGTGTAATTTTTCGCGCGCTCGCCGGCTCGCAATTGGCGTTGCGCTATCGGTGCGAACGTGTCCGGCTAATTAGCCGCCGCTCGCTTGCGACAGCCGCGCGCGCGCGCGCGCACTCGACGAGGAGGCGATCGCCTCGGCGGCGGAGTGCAAGCGCAGCGCCTGCCGACTGCCATGTGCCGTTCACCTACGGTTACATCACTAGCGCGCGGCTCTATTGCGGATAGGAACGAGCGGTGAGCGAGAGAGGGGCGGAGGAGAGGCGACTGCCTTGAACCCGAGGCTGCTCTGCCGCCCGCCCGCCCGCCTGCATCCGCGCGCACGTGCTCGCAGCGTAACCGCCGCGATTACGCCTGCCTCGCTGCCATCGTTACTCGCATCTAGCACAACGCTTCAGCGCTTACGTAAGCTCGAACTCATCCTCGCAACGACTAAAAATAACAGCCACTCGCCAGCCGGGCTTTGCTCGAGACAAACTTTTATTATTATTATTATTGGTGGATCAATCGATGTACATGAGAACTTGGATAAAAACAAACAAATCGCCCGACCGACACATGCGCGCAGTCGGCGAAAGACACCAGGCAGAGTCGACGATGAGTAAAAGCACGAGGCATCGGGGCGGACAGCCGGGGCGCGCCGGGGCGGCTCAGCAGGTGGAGCACTTGCGGCCGGCGCGGACCGGGCGGCAGTTGTAGGAGTCGTCGCTGCTGTCGGAGTCCGCGCAGTCGCTGCAGCTGCAGCTGGTCGAGCTGTCGCCTGGGGAAGAGCAGAGCAGCGCTGAAACCGAGCGCCCGACTGGCTCCGCGCGGCCGGGCCTACTTACGGGCAGCCTTCTTCCTGGCCTTCTTCTTGGGCTTGCGCGCCTTGCCGGCGCCGGCCTTGGGCTTGGATTTGGGCTTGGAGCCGGCTCGGGGACGGCGAGCCGCGACGCGCCGCGAGCGCGCCGTGCGCCCGCAGCACTCGCTGCAGTCGGAATCCGAGCAGGCGGAGTCGCAGTCGCTGTCGCTGCTCGGGCAGCAGACCCCGTCCGGGCAGCGGGGGGCCCTCCTGCCGGGCTTGGCGCCCGAGGCTCCGCGCCCGCGGCCCATCTCGGCTCCGGATCCGCTGAGTGCCCTGGGTGTCGATCGGTTGCGCTGCTCGTCCGACGATTGGACCGGGACCACTTGGACGAGGCCCGTCAGCAGCCCCGCTGCTCGCAGTACTGGCCGGCGAATCCGCCGCTCGGTTCTTATAGGCCCGGCCGGTGCCTCTCGCCGGTTTCCATTGGTCGGTCGACCGACGCTTGTTGTCGCGACGTTCGCGGAACGACGTCGTCCGAGCCCGTCGATCGCCCCGACTGCTCGGCGGACCACGAGACGGCAGGCGGTTGTCGCTGCGACGGGGCGCACGTGGTGGCTGCAACCGGGGCTCTCGAGAGAGGCGTGCCAGCTTGCGCAATCGGTAGTGCGGCAACGCACGCATTCGCCGCTACCGTAGGCTGCGAATAGCATGAGAGAGAGAGAGAGAGAGAGAGAGAGAGAGAGAGAGAGAGAGAGAGAGAGAGAGAGAGAGTGGCAAGGCCAATCGGTAGTTACGCTGTTCGCCTATTTTCCCTGCATCGGTCGCTCGAGCGCCGAAGCAATCGCCGATCTAATCGCTCTCGCCTCGCCGAGCTGCGACCCGTCTAATGCACTCGCGAATCTAATCGCTCATCCCGTTGCCCATTATGTGACAACGGAACGAGGCTGCTTGCGATTGCAATTACTTCATTCCGACTGCTATTATTGGCATTATCATTATTATCGGGCGAGAGAGCGGATCGGCTCGGATCCACTTCGCAGTGCGCCGTCCGCTAAGCGAATGCTTACGGGTGCGCGCGCGCGCGCGCGCGTAACGTACAATGTGCCGTGGCGCAACGACTGTTATGAAATCCTTATCGGCGAGCCGTCGTCGGCGAGTGCGTCTGGGAGGCAAACGATTGCGCGCCAAGTGTGTACGATACGAGCGTGCGCTCGGCGTACTCCTATTTATATAGGCAGCCGATCGCGAATTCCCCTAATGCTCGGTCCTCGCCTCGCTCGTTCGGGCGCGTTGTAACGAATGCTCGCTCGTGCGGAACTCTGCCGGAAACACCAAATCCACCTATGTTCTTTGGCAAGTTGCTCTTTGCCGCCTGCTCATGACCACGCTATTTTCCGACCTTTTCGACGAGTGCTTTCACCTCCTGCTTATCGCACCCGATCGCTCGTTTCTTATTAAAATCACGCCAAATGGGCTTTTCGCTCCGGACAAACGTTTCTCGGAGCTACGATCAGGTTCGACAGCTGTTTACCTGTGGAATACTTTTGCTGGATCAGGCATTGGCTCGTTCGTCGGCTCGTTCGTTGGCTCGTTCGTTGACCGACACTCTTCGATAATATCAACAGCAGTAATGCTCAGCATTCGGAGAATTACATTTGGCAGTATATAGAAAGGCTATGCTCATTGAAAATGACCGACTGCTGGGCATTATTGTTGTCAGTATTATAAGAGCTGATAGTACATTGCTTATTCAAGTCAAAATATTCCATAGGTAAACAGATCTCAGGATTCGGAATTAGTTACCGAAGATTTTCTTGCCTTTAACTTGGCCAGACTCCTGGAGGAAAATTGAGTTCTTAGGTTGAGAAACCCATTGATTTCCTGATTTCGATAACAAGTCGTTGGTAAGAAAAGAGCGAGCACCGAGGAAATTCGGGATCGGAAGCGAAGTACGCGGAAAAGGTCCAAAATGCCGCATCAAGACGAAGCGGCCAAGAAGGCCGAGCGGGCTCCCAGAGCAGCTTGTTCTTCGTTCGAGTGCTATCTACGAGACGCGCGTTATCGCGACCAAGTCGCTAACTGCGTGCATGCCGATGACGGAGCACATCGTTGAGTGGATGATCATCGTCGGTTGAGTCCACCGTCGACCGTCCACCGATTCACGCGGAAGACGAAAAACAATGGGCAGGTCGGAAAAGGCACGCGAGCTCCCGCCAACGACAGCGCAGCCGACGGCGAACGGCTCGATGCCTCGACGGGCATGGCAGAGCGCGCCTCGAGATTGCTCGTTGCCGCTAACGAAGAACCCTCCAGAAGCGACCGTCGTTCTCCTGCCGACGCCGATGTGCGACGGTCCGCGCACTGCCGGACTCGCCCCTTGCCACCTGCCCCCTACCCCCTGCCGCCGGCCAATCGCGCCAATAATCGCCGGAACGATTGGGTTATTCTGTTTTTCGGACTGTTCGCGGGCGAGCTGGCAATCCGGTGGCGCGATCGAGTCTGCCACGTGACAGGCCGGCGGGTCGCGGCTCAGCGTAGATAAGCCAACTCTCCTCAGTCTCGGTTGGCCGCGGCGAGCCGAATAACATGGCCACAGCACTGCTCAAGTCGCTCTCGCAGCTTCGCTTCAAGCCGCACTCGCTCGCAGCCAGACGTATCCTTTTGCCGCGGCGCCGAGCCGCGCACTCGCTGGCCGTGGCTCGGCCTCGCGTTACGCAAAGCAGGTCTCGGTTTTCCTTGACCAGGCCGAGGAGGCGGCAGTATCGTCGAGCGCCAGCCACACCGCACACAAGCGTAAGTAGCGCTCGAGCTCCGGTCGGCGAACGTGCGTGCGCCTTGCCGGCCGGCCGCTCGGGCGCTCGGGCGCTCTGACGCGATCGGCTGCAGCGACTTTCAGGTGGGACGACGCGCTGAGCTTGGAGAGCCAGCTGACGCCCGAGGAGACGCTGCTGCGGGACCAGTTCCGCGGCTACTGCAGGGAGAAGCTGCTGCCGCGCGTGCTGGAGGCCAACCGGAGCGAGAGCTTCGACAGGGCCATCTTGAGGGAGCTGGGCGAGCTGGGGGCGCTCGGCTGCACCGTGCGGGGCTACGGGGCCGCGGGCGTCTCCTCGGTGGCCTACGGCCTGCTCGCCAGGGAAATCGAGGCCGTCGACAGCGGCTACCGCTCGGCCTTCTCGGTGCAGTCGTCGCTAGCCATCGGGGCCGTCGAGGCCTACGGCAGCGACGAGCAGAAGCAGCGCTTCCTGCCGGGACTGAGTAAGCGCCCCGGGCGCGTCGCGAGCGCGCTACTGACCGCGCGACCTTGCCTGCGCAGTTGCCGGCGAGCTGGTGGGCTGCTTCGGGCTGACGGAGCCGAACCACGGCAGCGACCCGGGCTCGATGGAGACGCGCGCCCGCCACGACCCCGAGCGCAAGCTCTACCGGCTGAGCGGCAGCAAGACGTGGTATAGCCGACGAGTGCCGGCGGGCCGGCGCCGCGCCTGCTACATACGGCTGCTGCTCTGCGCAGGATCACCAACGCGCCGATCGCGGACCTGCTGGTCGTGTGGGCCAAGTGCGACGACGCCCGGATCCGGGGCTTCCTGGTGGAGAGGGAGGGCGCGGCCGGCCGCGGCAGCCCCGGCGCGCTCGCCACCCCCAAGATCCAGGGCAAGTTCTCGCTGCGCACCTCGGTCACGGGCATGATCCTGATGGACGAGCTGAGCGTGCCCGAGGCCAACCTGCTGCCCCACGCCGAGGGACTGCGCGTAAGCCGCCCCGGGGCCGCGGCCCGGCGCGGGGCCCGCTCACCTTCTGTCGCTTCCGTGTTGCGTCGCAGGGCCCGTTCGGCTGTCTGAACAACGCGCGCTACGGCATCGGCTGGGGCGCACTGGGAGCAGCCGAGAGCTGCCTGCGGCTGGCGCGCGCCTACGTGCTCGAGCGCAAGCAGTTCGGTCGGCCGCTGGCCGCCAACCAGCTGGTGCAAAAGAAGTTGGCCGACATGATGACCGAGATCAGCCTGGGCCTGCAAGCTTGCCTGCGAGTCGGTCGGCTCAAGGACCAGAATAGGTAGGACTTGGCGGTGTGCGCCGCGCCCCATTCAATCCGCACCGTTCCGCAGGGCCACCCCGGAGATGATATGCCTGATCAAGCGCAACTCCGCCGGCAAAGCCCTGGAGATCGCGAGGGCGGCCAGGGACATGCTGGGAGGCAACGGTATAGCCGATGAGTACCACGTGATCCGTCACTTGATGAACCTCGAGTCCGTTAACACCTACGAAGGTTGTCCACCTCTCCGTATCCGCTCTCTCTCTCTCTCTCTCTCTCTCTGCCCTCCGCTTCACCTGACGAGTCGTTCTTTTCTAGGTACGCACGACATCCACGCTCTCATTCTCGGCAAATCCATAACGGGTATCGCCGCTTTTGCGGGATGAGCAGACGCTCGCCACTCGCTTGGACCCTTCTGCGCCGTCAATGGCCAGTGGACTACAACCTGTACCAATCTATGTGCATATTCGATTTAACCGGCAAATACACAGACGCTGATCAATCTAAAATATAGCTTTCATTAGTGCGACAATAAACATATTGCTACTTGCGTTCGACCCGATGACGTACCATATCGCACGCGAAGAATCGGCGAGGCGTCAAGGCGTAGATAGGCGATCGACTACCGAGTACCGACCGTCTACTCACTGTCACCGTTTCCAAATTGACTTTTGCCTTCCCAGTAACAGATGGCGCCACCGCCCTCTATTACACACACACTCACTGGTGACTGCAGCTCTACGACTCTTCATTTCGTTAGATTCATCAAATCAGCTGCGAATTGTGTCTAAGTGAACATTTGCGCTAGCATAAGCGAGTAAGTGGTTAAAATAAACGTAAAAAAGAGGACATAGTGAATGATGCGAGTGATCGAAAATGCATTAGGAATTGAATCAATCATGCTCGGTCTTGACATCTCATACTCAAGAACCACAGCTTCGTCCGACGCATCGGAAGCTTTTACGGCAATCTAAGGTATACGCATTATCGCAATTAACAAAGCATTGTCGTCACACGGGCAAACGGCTGTAGTTCGTTCGAACGGGCGATCACTCATCACCCTCATCTACGACTGTCCTGTGTCTTAATTTCTAGGATTTCCTCAAAGCTCGATTCACGGCAACGACGACGGCCGTTAATTATATACTACTTTGAGGTTATGTTGTTTATGATTGTCATTTACCAGTTTTGCTTAAACTCCGAAAACGCACAACAATTTGGCACTTGCTAAAAGAACGGACAAATAAAACAAGATTATTGCTAAATTTTAGGTAACATAAAATAATAATTTCAACTCATCGACAATTTATTTGTATTCAATAATCGTTCTTCGATAAGCGACGATTATATCCAAAGTCAAGACAACATCGTCTCGAGCATTTTATTGCCTTATGCAAGTGTTGCAATGATCCTATGCAAACTGAACTAAATAGCATTTGTTTAGGGTCTAGACATATTGTTGACTAGCCCTCATGACAATAACTTCGGAAACAAGAAGATTCAAAGCAGAGCGCAGTAGCTACCAGTAGCGCAGCTTTTCGTTTCTTCAGGAGATTTGAGATCACAATGATGACCGAATGCGATCGACAGATGAGGATAGCAGCTGACGATCGCCAGATTCGCACGGCCGCAGAGTCACTATTGAATGCATCGATCAATTCCGGCAGAAGCAGCTACGCTCAGAACTTAAGGAGTCCGGATTACGTGAATGAGGCGTTTGTAGCAGGCTTGCGTTACAATGGCAGAATGTCCAATGTTCGCCGATTTTTCTGCCTCTTTGTTACCTTTGACTTTCTCTTTACGATTCTCATGTGGCTAATATGTATAATGGTAAGTATTTTTACTGCTCTATCTCTCAACATTGACTTATTACACTGTTCTGGCTTACACTTACTAACTCTTACTCTTCACAGATCTCCGGCAAAAGTGTTCAGACCTCTTTCGTGGATCAGATCGTCCATTACAACGTCAAAACCTCGCTTTTTGACATAGTTGTGAGTATCAATTCATATATTTCGGCAACTTTGCAATTAACAATAGATATACATTTCTGGACAGAACCGGTGAAATTACATTTTTCACAGATGACTGCAGCTTGTAGATTTACAATCCTCCTGTTATTTTATGCATTACTGCACATCAATCATTGGTTTGTCGTAGCAGTAAGTCGAGCCATTGGTTGTTTTTATTATTATGATTACGACTACAGATCAACTCATCTGTATTATTTATTTAATTTCATATTATTTTTGTGCAATTGTCAACACTTTGATTATTTATTGATGACATACTTGCTTAGGCATCTACGACGTTGACCTGTGCCTTTTTGCTGACTAAAGTCTTTCTTTATGACGTGAGTACCTCTTATCGTGCATTTTACCGTCAGTCGGTAATTTAGTTGATTAACGTGGTTGTTGATTCGTTTGAAATGTAAATGTATTTTTAAATTATTTTCCGTCAGTGGTCCAAACCCAGTCAGCCAGTGTTTGAAGTTCTACTTGTTCTTACGTCATTTGTGCTGGTATGGAGCGAAGTTTGGTTTTTAGATATAAAAGTGATTCCACAAGAATCTCAAGCACGAGATTGGTTTTTGGGTAATAAATCATCGTTAATATTATTTAATCAGTAGCGGTCTTAGTACAGGATGAATCATTGGCATAGTCAACTTAGCTGTATTACTTTTATCATTTCTAAAAATGTACAATGTAATCAAAGTTGATGACTAAAGAAATGGTTTAAACGATCGAAGCGTAGTAGTAAACTATAATGATAATAAAAATATAATATGATAGTATTTCTTGTTAACAAAGATTTCCGTTGAATAAAATTAGTATTAGTATCGGGTAACTTTCTTTCTACAATTTTCGGAAGTTAACCTGATGCAAAGTCATTAGTAAAGGGATTAAAACCTTTTCTGAGGACTTTGTAGGCAATAACAATACAATGGTCAAATACCGCGTATTTAAAACGGGAAAACATTGTTCGTTCTATTTACAAGTCCAAACCGTATTACTGTAGCGAATTTAATGTGAAAAAACATTTTCTTCGTTATTCCATTCTCTATGTTGGATCGCTCTTGAAATTTGAATATTATCTTCAAATAAATTTTACAAGTAGTGTTACCAGAATATTTTGAAATAATGTACATATCATCACAGGAATAGTTTATTAAAAAGGCAATATAAAAAGTTACATGAAAACGCAAGTTAAATAGATAATTATGGCAAGTTGAAAAAAGCCACAGTAAACACGAGAGTAGCTTTGCTAGCTAAGTTTGCAGTTCACGAACTGTTTTAATAGTGCCACATTCTCTTCTAAAGGGTTTCCAGATACTGAAAGAGCACCACTTCTTAGCCCCAGCTCAGTAGTGCCAGCTTTTATGCCGGTGGAAAACGCTGGATCTTTCTATACGCCTATGGATTCACCTGACCATTCTGACGACGAGGGTCAAAGCCATAGGAGAAGAATAGACAGCCATCCGTCATTTTTATCAACCACAATCGACCTAAAGTTGCCCTTAGAAAAGGTAAAGGTTAAGCCGTTCAAGGTATTGCCGGAACATACCTGTCGCGGCGGTGCGCTTTAAAATCAAACTTGTTCGTGTACGTCGACACGTTACGTCCGACGATAATTTGTTATCGGATTTGACAAATACGTCCATGAAAAGGAAAACGAAGCAGCTGATAGCGAAAGGAGATCATTTGAGAATAGCAAAGTATATAGATTGAGCGTGGCATTCCGTATAGATTAACTTACACACATTGTGTGAACGGCCTAAAAAGAAACCCGAATGGACATTGATCGACTCGATCGTCAACAATCTTGTTCTGAAGGTGTCGCAAGGAAAAGATTGAGGTGACTTGAGAACCGATTGGTCGAGTCGGTTGAAAAGCAGCAGTGGTGTGCGTAATACGGTGCGGGCGCTTGGGTACAAGGGTCGTCAGAACGCTGACGCATGTGCGAATAAGCAAACGTCAGCGAATCTGCGAAAAGCAAGCGCGAGGCTATTAGCAGCAATGGTTGAGGATCGATGTCGCATAGAAGCTTTCTGAGGAGGGGCCTCGGTTGCTTGGAGGGCGCGCTCGAGCTCGATCGATGAGCAAGCGGCCGGGGCGATGTCTTGGACGAGCGCGCATTGAAAATAGTTGAGTGGACTCGGTAGTTGAATCTGTTGACATTACAGGTCGAGGAGTGTAAGCGAGAGGCGCCTTTGCTACTGAAGAAATGCTACGATCTGATTGTGTCGCAAGACTGGAAAGTCGAACAAGTGACGGAGGATGGCGACGTGGTCTCTTGGATGGTTTTGCCGAAACCCGATGGGAAAATTTTCAAAATTACAGTAGGTGAAGCTAGAGTCCAAGTGCTATGGGCGGCCAGTGAATAACCGTAACGCGTTTGCTTGATTACAGGGCATAGTCGACGCGTCGGCCTCGAAGCTCGCAAGGTCATTGTACGACAACATCGAGTCGAGCACCTCGTGGAACCAGCAGATAGAGGAGTCCAGGAAGATCTGCGTACGCGATTTATTACTTTTTGAGAAGAATATTGCCCGAGATACTGAGCTAATGTTTTCTGCTTATTTGCAGGATATAGATAGTAATACGGATCTGGTATATCAGGCAACAAAACCGTTCGGGAACGGAGCAGTAGCAGCTAGAGATTTTGTGATCCTTAGGCACAGGGGCAAGTATAGCTCGTACTTTATCAACAGTGGAATTTCAGTCAACTTCAGCACAGTGCCAAATCGGAAGAATTACGTGAGGTAATAGATTTTGAGCGGCATTATTATCTGTCAGCGTAAATCGTATATACGATCATATGATTGGCTACACGATGAACGATCAAATTTCAGAGGTGTAAACGGATTGGGCTGCTTTGCGACTTGCAGCGTAGCGAGCGATCAAGAGGACCGCTGTCAATTTGTCTGGCTGCTCAACACAAATCTCAAAGGTTGGATCCCACAGAAAATTGTCGATGTGTCTTTGTCCATGATATTGTCGAACTTCATGAAGGCACTTAGATGCCATGCGCATACACTGAAAGACTGACAAAACGTGAATTTGGAATTGTGGCGTGAATCGATTTATGCAACTGCCAATTCCAACTTGCGTCAATCGAGTAATTTCAATGCTTTTATTTTTATATGATCCATTCATTCTCTCTCTCTCTCTCACTCGCTCTCTCCCTGTCAAGTGTATAGATAGTTGCATTCACTTTTTTTTCATTTTTTCATTAATCGTAAGATTTATTCATTCGCTCCTGATTCAACTATTCTTTTGTAAAATATTTATACGTAGCAATGGAGTTGATATCCTAGTGAGACATTTTATTAGCTGTTCTTTTAATCGAATTATTCCGACTTTATTGACAAATGAGTATGTGATAAATAATTTATTTCTAACTTTTTTTATAAAATTGATTACGAAGGAGGTTGCTCATTGTCTTTACGTATACACATATGCCTCCGCGCTTATTTGTACAAATATTACAAACATCATGAATTCAATTCACAATAGAATCTTGTACATTATTTTAAGAATTTTTTACCTCTATACATAAGAATACTAAAAAAATAACAATAATGAATGAACAAAATTTGTTATTAAGCAAACGTATGCTGGAAAAGACAATTTAAAATTGATATTATATTGATATTGTAAAATACGTAAACGTGTGAAGTATAATGCGTGGTGATCTAGTTTATTTCAATGAAATCAATAGTTTCACTACAATAATCCATCTCTAATGAAAGTTGTTGGTGCTAGGAAATAAAATTGATTAGAATTCTAGCCATAGAGTCAAATAATTAATATGGAAATCATTACAAAAAAAGCGCAATACATATTTCATTGTACAATCTGAAACTACGAATTGGTATGTATACGAGATAAAATATCTAGTTCGAACTAAGAAAGTTAATAGCTTGGATGGCCGTCAATTCTATCAGCATTCTTTGAAAGCTTCGCTGTATCATTTAAAACGAATATTATAATGTGTCATTGTAATCGTAAATTCTAAGATACATAATGTAAAATCAAAATGTAAACTGTGAATGTGTAAAAAAGTTATACGAAATTATTTTTTTTTTTTTATAAAAAATATGCGTTAACAAATGAAAAAAAGTCGGAAAATTTTTCTCCTGCGTTTGAACATTGCACAATAAAATATTGATGGTAGGACAAGCGCTAACAATTGTCAACAATTAAAAAGTAATAGCGACATTCCGATTTGAAACGGCATCTGAGTTGGAACAGAGCAAAGTGTTGGTGCTTCTCAAGTAGTCAATTGGTTGAAGTTGTCCCGATACATTATACAGAAAGTTTCGAGGAAGTTGTCCACGAGGGTTGGCGCTGAGAATGGCCGCTCAGTTGGTTTCGCCATTGATAAAGAATATAGGAATGGAGCTGTGTTTTGCAGGTGCAAAACGCGCGCGAGGGCGTGCAAGTGAAAGTAGTGAAGAAGGAGAAGAGGGGCAAGCGTGAACGGCTGGTCGAAAATAGGAGCGAGCAGGGCGTTAAAAAATAGGTTTCCCTGCGACGCCGATGCGGAGGAAGGAAGGAAGGAAGGAAGCGAGCTAGCAAGCAAAGTAAGCGAGCGAAGGGGAAGAAAAGAAGGGAAGGGGCGGGTGCGTGCGCGCGAGCAAGCAGGACAGGAGTCGGGAGCGGAGGCGCGCCGGCGCAGGTACTCGGTGGGCTCCGATCGGCGGCCGCGGCAAAGAGCGGCTGCCGTCGGCCAGTAGCAGCAGTGGCGACGAGCAGCGGCCGTGGAAGCGCAACGCGGAGCAGCAGCAGAGTCCAGTGAGTGCGTCCAACAGGCTCGGACGGCGCGTCCCAGAGATGGAGGGCGACATGCCCTTGACAGTTGCCGAGTGGCCAGCGCCCCCGCAGCCCGTAAAGCATGCCGCAGCCGCGGCCGTCACCGCCGCAATGGTCAGTCGCAACGACAATTTATTTTAGCGCGCTCTCTCTCTCTCTCTCTCTCTCTCTCTCTCTCTCTCTCTCTCTCTCTCTCTCTCTCTCTCTGTGTCTCTTTCTCCTTTGGCTCTCCGTCGGTCCACAGATCGATCTCTTATTTTTGCCCCGCGCGGCCCGCCCATGCTACGCGCGCAGCTCCCCCCGCTCTGCTCCCTGACTCGTCACGCGGAGCCGCTCAGCATTGCTCGCCAGCAGCGGGCGGCTCTGTTTACATTTTGATTTATGCGAGCACGGCGGTCAGGCCAGCCGAACTTTCACTCGAGCTTTCGAGCGACCAACGGCGATTCTCGCGATGCTTGCCATTCTGCTTCTCGCACCACCATAAAAGCTACTCGTCGTAGTTACAAATATCCGCCTCGTCGCCTCCTCGCTCGATCGTTTTGGAGCGCGTAAATCGCACATTCTCTCTCTCTCTCTCTCTCTCTCTCTCTCGCGCGCTCAATTTATAAATGGAACTACCTCTCCTTTTGCCGCGAATGCGCAAGATCAGCTGCCGCAGCAGCTGTGCAACGCTAGTACGTTTAGGTAGCTATCGATGCTGTCTTGTGCTGATTCGGAGATCGCGAGACTTTCGGAACAATCAGCGTTGTGGGATAGAGCCCATTGTCCAATATATCAGAAAATGAGCCGAGCTGTCGGACTTGGAAGTGAACAAGCAAGGTCGCTTTGAGAAAAAGCCATTTCCAAGTTAAAACAATGCGCGAAACCGAACCGACAGATGCGTAGGCATTGACAGTTACGCGTTGACAACCAAAGTTTTCTTTCTTTCTTGGACAATTTGCAACTTCTCTGACACCGATACTCCTGTGTAGCGAGTGTGTATTTAACTGGAATGTACACGTATCGATTACGTGGAGCATTCTCGGCGGAGACTCCGTAAGCTCTAGTCCAAGCAAAATGCCAGTCGGAGACGACAGATCGAAGGCTTGTTTTAGGCTTCTGTATATATTACGTCTACTCGGATGTGGTGGTGCGCATTGAAACTTGGGGAAGATTGTCGTGTACGCGACAAATTTGAGATGAAAAAGGCACGGTCAGCTGGAAAATTGCTTGCGATTACTCGTAAAGCAGCCGCACTGAAATCGGCCGTGTCGTTCCGGAGACGCGCGCGAACGGGCGCAAAGTAAACGTCCAGTGGAGTACAGATGGCCCGCCTTCTGTATTCCGCAAGTCGGCAAAAATGCATTGGCGAGCGCGCGCTCGTCAAGAGAGAACAAAGAGGCCAAGAGCCAACGAGGCTCGCACGGCCGGCGATCGCCGAGGAAGGCGACCGCCCGATCGAACGGGTACCGATTGGTTTGCTTGGCCGATGACGCACGGGACTGCCCTCTCGGAACTCTCGTCCAGTGGAGCGCTTCGGCGAGTCAGCACCGATCGGCGGCACGGCGCAGACGAGCCGGAGCTTGGAGTCCGCGGCCAGGCATCGGCCTCGGGGGATTCCGCTCGGCCGTCTTGGCGGCATTTCCCGCGCGCGCCGCCTCTGCGACGAGAGAGAGCGCGTCGATCGCGAGCCGCGATATCGCGATATCCGCCTGCAGGTTGTCGTACGCGCGGCTCTTCCTCCCGCTGACACAGTTACGGCTACTCGAGCGCGAGTCGTCCGCTGCTGTGCGCATCGAGAGTCGATCGGCCGGCCCGCGATCGGCTGCACCGGCTGCCGCCGCGCGCAGGTCCGAGCTGTCCTGACAGCAATGGTCGTCGATGCGCGCAGGTGACATGAAGCTTGGCTGGCGCCGCAGCTCAGCCGCCCTGCCCGAGTTTCCCGAGCGCACCAGCGCGCTTGGCCCGACAATATGGCTCTCCACTGGGATAAACTCTCGCCAGCCGAATTCCAACAGCTTCAAGACTTGGCCTCCTGTGAGTCGCGTCCACCTAATAAGCCAGCGTACGTGCACGCGCATGTTTATTGAACGAGCTTCGTTACTTGCTGCTTCGCAGACTCCACGAGGAAGCTGCAGGATGTGCTCCTCGACTTTTGCGCGGTCCAAACATCCTCGGGTGCGCCGAAATACCATCCCGACGGGGTAAGTTCTATCGAACCATCGTTCCGTCTATAAGTGTTCAATGTCACTCTTTCAATTTTTCACTGTTGTTCGTAAGCGAAGCATTGAAGCAGAGAACAAAGTAACGCTGTCGCTCAATACTCTATGTACACGGCAACTGAGGAAAGCAGCCTTTCAATCATCATTGCAGTCGTGATAAAAATTAGCGCGCATAAGATAAGACTAAACTTTTTCCACTGGCCAATTTTTTTAACGTACGGCAGTTAATTTCGAAGATACATTTATATGGACTCTTTAATCAGCCTCCGTGTGATCCACGTGATGAAATCTAGATCGAGCCGTTGCACGGTTATGTAAAGTCTTTTTACCAGTCTACCAAATTTAGTGTATGAGGAATTCCACAAAATAGTACTATAACTCGACGCCGTTTTATTTTCAAATTGAACGCAGGCCTTGCTCGAACCAGTTTTACGTACTATTTAATATTTATAAAAATGCAAAAAACTTTCGTTGGTACGAATTGCAAAAATACTCGAAAAACGAAACGTTTTCATTGCTGACTTACGAAATTACGTTAATCGGACCTTAAATTTGGATTCGACCTAAAAAAATTAATGAAAACTCGTATATTTTGTTGTGTTCTACTTGAACTGTTGAATTGAAAAATTCATTAACGTTTGCGTCGATCAAAGCGTTACCGGGACTAATATTTCCAAAAATTCAAGCAGAAAATTGATAAAAGTATCGAAATTCGATGTATTTCGACTCGAGCATACCAAATTGGAGTCGAAATTAGCGTTATCTTTCTTAACTTTTGACGAATTTCCAAGAAATTATCTGAATACAGCGTTTGCGGCACTTGCACGAACAAAAAAGTGGATTTCAGAAAACAGCAGACGACGGTTCAGAGTACTATGAACCTTTTGGTATTTCATGCACTATGGAAACTGTGATTATGGTGTTCTTCATAGACCTGTCGATAATGCTGTTTTTAAAATCAAGTCGCAATATTCATCATGTATCGGTCACAAATACTCTTTACACAACATAGTTACAATTTTCATTAGACGTTTACAAGCAATTTTCGAAAATGGTGCAAAAAGTCACATGATTCCAAGTAGTCAAAGATGCGATATTTTTAGTTGGCTTAAAATTGAAAGAGTGAAACCACACGAATCGAATGTATAACAATAAGATAATAATTGGAAAGAAACATTACAGCATGCATCTAGCTTAATTCACTGTTATCGCAATTGTCGCTGGAAGTCGGTAAGCTGCACGCATGTAGCGCTGAACGAAAGCTCGTAGCTTACGTATCCATGAATTAAAGTGTCGCAGAGATGAGAACCCGTGGCAAAGCTAAAACACTCGCTGCGCACGCTCGAATATCTAGATAAACGTTTTCTCAGCCGAATGATCTGCGGCTCCGACGGAACCGAGGGACTGAGAAACTCGATGAATTCCGAGATCGTAGGCATCGAGTCCTGCATCGAGCAAAGCTCACCGTCGCTGGCCTAAGACTTTTGGTCTGATTGTCGATGAAGGCGCGTTCACTCGACTGCAGCAGTCAACGCGCTATTATCTTGCCAAATATTTTCAAAATGAGAAAACAATCGACATCCAAGCTGGTTCGCCACTCAAAATTACAACCAATTACGCGATAGTCATTTCGCAAGATACTTGAAAAGATGATTTCGCACGACACAGCTAGCTGGCTCTTTGTCGTAACTGCGACTGACATTATCCGCGTGATAATTTCCAAGATCTGGAGTAGCGAGTAAACTTGGCCACCATTTGATAAGCGCGTCGGCAACGCGTGGCAGGAAAAGAGAACAATCTAGTCTGTGATCTGTAACGTGCGTTTCTACTCCGATCGGGAGCCATGTTTCGGCAATCAGCTCCGAGTGACGGGCAAGCGGCGACTTGGAATCGCAATGGCTATCGGTCACAGCGAGCGATCAAGCAGCTGACAGGCATAAGAGAGCCACGGACAAGGTGTGCTCGATTAAAACGGTTCCGGGTTTCGCAATCGCATGCGCGGGCTGCAACTCATAAGCGCTCGTGTCCGATGATTAACGCACCCGGAATTAACGGATGCCTGGACCGCAGCTTGGAAGCTCGAAACTCGCGATTGCCCGTAATATTCGGCTCGCGTTTGCAAGGCTTACATTTGCCAAGGGACAATGCCGTTGATCCGTTGAACTTTGGAAGCGATCGAGAGCAGATTGTTCGCAGCGGCGACATTATTATCCGGGGCCAGGGATGCATCGACAATAAGCTCGGGCATATCAGCAGCGGGGGCGGCGTCCCCATGGAAACCGCGTAAGCCAGTGACGTCAGCGAGCTCGCGTCGATCGGAGCCGCGTGCGTGGAGCAGCAAGGAGGAGGGGCTGCGGTCGCTGCACTTGGCCCGATGACGCAACGTCGGCGAGCTCGCGACTCGGCCGGGGGCTGGCTCGCAGGGAGGAGAGCCGGGCCCGCGTCGCCGAGCGCCCCGAGCGCCCCGAGCGCCCCGAGCGTCGAAGCCCGACCTCGACACGCCGGCGCGGCCTCGGCGGCAGCCCGCGCCGGGACCCGTGTCGCGGCGCGCGACCCGATTCCGCGACGGGCGGCTGACGTCAGCCGTGGCGCCGCGACGTCACCCAGCGAGGGCGGCCGGCCAGGGGGCGGCGGCCCATTCAGCTCCGCCGGATTTCGCGAGCTCAACGGCCGCGGGGGGTTCATTGAGGAGCGCGCCGAGCACGCGGCACCTGACCCGGTGGAGCGACGACGCCGCCTGTGCAGCCGCCTCGCTGCACAACTGGCGCGACTCGCCGCGGCGGCCGCTCGCTCCGCCGCGCTCGGGGTGTGCGACGAGCGGAAGGCCGCTCGCTTTATTTATACGCCGCGCGGCTCGCCGAGAGCGGATCAGTGCAGCTGCATGAACGCTCGGCCGGAAGCCGAAGGGAAGCGGCGAGCGCGCCGGTCGATCGCGGCGCCGAGCGCAGCCCGACTCACCGGCCCGAACGGCGCGCCGTCGTTGCAGGACATCGACTACGAGGGCTTCCGCAGCTTCCTGGACGCCTACCTGGACGTGGCCACGCCGGACGAGCTCTGCCGGCACCTCTTCCTCTCGTTCGTGAAGAAGGCGGTCCAGCGCGGCGGCGACGGCAAGGCCTTCAAGGTGAGTGCCGAGCCCCGGCGGCTCGCGAGCCGCGCACGCCCGTCGCTAGCGCTCGGCCTGCCCGCAGGAGATGGCGGTGCTGACGTCGGCCACGGCCTGCGCGGCCATCACCTCGCACACCACCTCCAGCAGCAACGTCAACAGCCTCGGCGCGGCGGCGGCGGCGGCCGGCCAGCAGCAGGCCGCGCAGGGCTCGGAGCCCGGCCACGGCCCGTCCTCCTCCTCGTCCTCGTCCTTCGCCGACAAGATCCACGGCCTGACGGAGAAGCTGCAGGCCCTCGGGCACCACCGCGCCGACAGCGAGGCGAGCGGCAAGGCGCGCAGCGGTGAGTCCCAGTCCCCGCCTCGCTTCGTTTCGCTTCGTGCTTGCGCGACGGCCAGGCGCCGCTTCTCCGAGTTGCAGGCTGCGTGCACCCGGTGGTCACGGTGCCGCACACCTCCTACAGCTGCCACGACGTCCTGGACAAGAAGAGCACCGACAGCAGTCCCAGCCACAGCCAGATGTCGCGGAACTCGTCGCGCAAGTCCAACAACTCGCTGCTCGTCAACAACGGCAAACTCGAAGGTACTGCGCTCGCGGCCGCGACGCGCTGCTCCCTCCCGGGCCGACGACTGCGGGGCTCCGGTGGCAACCGCGCGTGCAACGCTCGCCGGCCGTGGGCTTGTCGTTGAGCGTCGGACGGGAAACTCGAGAAACGCGCCGCTCGTCGCTCGCCGTTCTTCGATGCGCCGGTCCAGCGGCCCTCTACCCGAACCGACTCGAGCCGGGCGCCTGGCTTCTTCTAGGGAACGACGAGGATGCGATCCAGACTTTCGCACGTTCCGCCGTTAAATGATCGAGCGTTTCGCTGGCGTCCAGCGGTTGTGGAGGGGACGTTTAAGTCGATGTTCAGCTATCAGGGATGAGTATGCGACTGTAGCTCATTTTCCGGCTACACCGGAGATCTCTAAAGAAACTCGGGATCTGAAAATTGACGTGGTCGGATCGAGGGAAAAAGATTACGTCGGCAGCAAAGTGGCGGGTAACGAAAAATTCGAAAATTCGAAAATTCACGCGCACACTCGAGAATGGCCGCGGCGTTGCTCGAATCGGCATTGGGTCGTTGGTTGCAGAGCTGCGCCAGCTGGTGAGGAAGCAGAGCACGATAGACGTGCACTCGGCGAAAGTCAGCCTGAAGGACATCGTGTGCTACCTGTCGCTGCTGGAGGCCGGGAGGCCCGAGGATAAGCTGGAGTGTAAGTCCGAAGCGCTGTCGAAGCCTAATAATCGCTCGGTCTAACGCACAGTCTGGCGGTTGCAGTCATGTTCCGGCTGTACGACACCGACGGCAACGGAGTGCTGGACACGAACGTAAGTGCGTTGGGTCGCATGCGCCGCCGAGGCGGACGTTAACGCGCTTGTTGTTCTGGCGGGCAGGAGATGGACTGCATCGTGAACCAAATGATGAACGTGGCCGAGTACCTCGGCTGGGACGTGTCGGAGCTGAAGCCGGTGAGTGGCGGACGGCGCCGCGGGCGCGACTGGCTGACAGCCTGGCGGCTTGCAGATCCTGCAGGACATGATGATCGAGATCGACTACGACGCCGACGGCACGGTCTCGCTGGAGGAGTGGAAGCGCGGCGGCCTGACGACGATCCCGCTGCTGGTGCTGCTGGGCCTCGACTCGAACGTGAAGGAGGACGGCAACCACCTGTGGCGGCTGAAGCACTTCAGCAAACCGGCCTACTGCAATCTCTGCCTCAACATGCTCGTGGGCCTCGGCAAGAAGGGCCTGTGCTGCGTCTGTGCGTGAGCTTGCCCGCGCGGGCCGCCGCCCGCCGCCGCCCCGCCGCCGCCGCCCCACCGCCGCTCAGCCGCCGCCTCTCCTGTTGCAGTCTGCAAGTACACGGTGCACGAGCGCTGCGTGCAGCGCGCGCCCGCCTCCTGCATCGCCACCTACGTCAAGAGCAAGAAGACCTCGCAGACGATGGCCCACCACTGGGTGGAGGGCAACTGCCACGGCAAGTGCAGCCGCTGCCGGAAGACCATCAAGAGCTACAACGGCATCACGGGCCTGCACTGCCGCTGGTGCCAGCTGACGCTGCACAACAAGTGCGTGTCGCAGGTGAAGGCCGAGTGCACGCTGGGCGAGCACGCGGCGCACATCCTGCCGCCCACGGCCATCTGCCCGGTGGTGCTGGACCGGCAGCGCTCGCTGTCGCGCGACGCCAAGCGGCCGGCCGGGCCCGAGGCGGCGCCGGCGGGCGAGTCGCCGCTGCAGCTGCGCCAGCAGCAGCCCGCCATGTCCTTCCAGATCACGCCGCCGGCCGACTGCACGCCGCTGCTGGTCTTCATCAACCCGAAGAGCGGCGGCCGCCAGGGCGAGCGCATGCTGCGCAAGTTCCAGTACATCCTGAACCCGCGACAGGTGCACAACCTGGCCGTCGGCGGGCCCATGCAGGGCCTGCAGATGTTCCAGGACGTGGCCAACTTCAAGGTGGTCTGCTGCGGCGGCGACGGCACCGTCGGCTGGGTGCTCGAGACCATGGACCGCGTGCGGTTCGAGCGCCAGCCCGCGGTCGCGGTCATCCCGCTGGGCACGGGCAACGACCTCGCGCGCTGCCTGCGCTGGGGCGGCGGCTACGAGGGCGAGGCGCTGCACAAGCTGCTGCGCAAGATCGCGCGCGCGAGCCCGGTCATGATGGACCGCTGGCGCATCGAGCTCAGCGAGAGCGCGGCCTCGGGTCCCGGCCCCGGCCCCGGCGAGCCGCCGCCCGGCCCGCAGCGCCAGCAGCAGCACTGCATCCCCTACAACATCATCAACAACTACTTCTCCGTGGGCGTGGACGCGGCCATCTGCGTCAAGTTCCACCTCGAGCGCGAGAAGAACCCCGAGAAGTTCAACAGCCGCATGAAGAACAAGCTCTGGTACTTCGAGTACGCGACGAGCGAGCAGTTCGCCGCGAGCTGCAAGAACTTGCACGAGGACATCGAGATCGTGGTGAGTGCCGCGGCCGCCGCGCGCTCTTGCCGTTGCCGTTGCCATCGTTGCCGTTGCTGTTGCCAGTGCGACGGCGTGCCCCTGGAGCTGGCGCACGGGCCCGCGCTGCAGGGCGTGGCCCTGCTCAACATCCCCTTCAGCCACGGCGGCTCCAACCTCTGGGGCGAGCACCAGGCCAGGCAGCGGCTGGCCAAGCGCGAGAGGCGCCCCGACAAGGAGTTCAGCACCAGCAGCTTCAACTCGGTGGACCTGACCGCCGCCATTCAAGGTGCGCGAGCTCTCTCTCTCTCTCTCTCTCTCTCTCTCTCTCTCTCGCTCGCTCTCTCGTTCTATCGTTGGCTCTCGCTCCGTTGGCAGACATCGGCGACAAGCTGATCGAGGTGATTGGCCTGGAGAACTGCTTGCACATGGGCCAGGTGAAGACGGGCCTGCGCGCCTCCGGCCGGCGACTGGCCCAGTGCAGCAGCGTGCGCATCAGCACCGGCAAGCGCTTCCCCATGCAGATCGACGGCGAGCCCTGGATGCAAGGCCCCTGCACCGTACGTCCGGCCGCGCGCTCCCCGCCCGCGGCTCGCGCCCTCACGCCCCCCCTTGCTCGTTGCAGATCAACATCACGCACAAGAACCAGGTGCCGATGCTGATGGCGCCGCCGCCCGACAAGCGCAAGGGCTTCTTCCGCTTCTTCAAGAGGTGAACTGCGGGCGCCCAGCGGTGCTTGCAGCCCCCGCGCGCCCCACCTACGCCAAGTACAAACGCCAGCAGCGCTGCGCGGCCCCCCTGGATCGACTCGAGCGTCGCAGACTGTCGTAGCTGCCTGCAGCGCTCGCTGAGCCGCGGCGCGTTCGCCGCTACCGGAATCTCCGCTCGGAGCGCCGCGCGCCGTTCGATATTTCGGCTCGCGGCTACAAGCGTACCTCGTAAACAGGCGTCGCAATCCGCGCAGTGATCAGACCAATTCTAAGGTAATCTCTCAAGCTAAGCGTCATCGATTATACATACGCAGTCCAAGTTCACTCGGCACCTATTCTATGTACAGTGTACACGCGCATATTCTCGAATGCTCTTACTAGTAAACAGATTGACGCTAGACTTGTCAGCTGCCGCTTAAACTGTCGACAATGCATTGAAAATCAATTGATCAACGATTAATTGCCAAAATGTTCAGCGTCTCTCGTGGATTCCTAATTTTTTTTCTCCTCACCACTCTAGTTTTTTCGCTACTTCTCTGAATGTTTTCAGATCGAGGTGACGAACATCGGGCTCGAATATCGATCACAAACACTCATTGAAACGCAAAACCAATCAATAAATTTGCCAATTCTTTGTGTTTTTCTATAAAACTATTCTGTTGGGGTGGACCGACCACCAGTCGAGGCCGTCAGCACTACGCGCGCAGACTACAACATCCAACACTGACATAAAATTGAACGGTCAATTTGGAGGTTGGAAGATAAGGAGCAAAATTTATCCGAATTGAGCATTTCTACAAATTCAATTATTTTATGACATCACGTATTTTTAATGATGTCTGATTTATTGTATATTTGTTATAAAAAATTTGAAGTACCTTCGCACACGTGAATGCACGTGGCATGTTAAAATATTAGTACGGGCGCCTTAAGCAATAAAACACTCGAAGAGTATCAGTGTTGCTTAGTTAAATGACTATTTTGGTATCACTCTGAATTACTTATTAATCGATCTCGAATAGCCTGTCGAGCGACACTACCTTGTGGAGCGGAAGCAACACGAACAAGCTTTGGATTCATCGATGCGCATACAACTGGCGGTATCGAAGAATTTGATCAATCGGTTGAAAACACCAGATAAATGTAATATTCCTTAGTATAACGTTAGCGCTAAACCGTTTTGCTCTTCACTCGACAAATGCGGGAGTGCTCTTAAATATATTTATACGCTTTGGTACGAATAATTATCCGTCCCCGTGACGATTGATGCGTCGCTATCTAATTGGTTCGTAAAAAACTCTCCGAATGTTTTCAATCTATCTACAGTCATGAAAGACAGACAGTCTAGATATCGGGATTAACAATTAGTACATTTCGATATGACGCGTGCGAGACGAGTGTTGAAGCGCGCTCGCTGTCGAAAGATTTTCGCTGTACACGCCGTGTCTCCGTAAAAGTATCAAGTGATTTCAGCCTTGTCTCGCTATCCCAAGCGAAACAAAACACAGTTTTGCCATCTTACTTTTTTTATCCAAGACTATTGTGCACTCAATCCTTTTTCTTAACTACTCACCATCGAATCCCAATGAAATTATTGATAAATCCAATCATAGACGAATCCAAACGTAGACTATAAAAAATGATAATGCTTTCGACTTATCAGTTGATTTTTAATCATCTCTTGTATAATATTTAAATAAAAAGTTACTGTCTACATCACAGTTATTGCAATTGTGAGGCTAAATTATTCAAATTTAAAAATTTGACTATATTTTAAAAAGTAACTGTAAAAGCGTCGTATCCAACCGGGACCATTTTCTATAGATTAAATTTTTTCTTTAATACTATAGCACATGTGTTTTGAAGAATTGATTAAAAGTACCGATATATGTATATCACAATTTTATCACAAAAGAAATCTTCAAATAATAGTACATTTATATATAATTTATATAGTAATACAAATATAAATTAGTAAACTGACTCGATAGAGTCATAGAATATAATATGAAGTGATACGCTTATTAAATATATAATGGTAGAAGTAAATAAATTATCGATGATATTTTCACCGCCACTTTAAAAATATTTCATATAAATGTATACAGGCAAGTTAATCCAGTGTGGAATGATACGACACCCAACTAAAAATGTAATTCTGTAATATTCTCCCCCTCCCCCTTATTCTCTCTCTCACTCTCTCATTCTCTCTCTCTCTCTCTCTCTCTCTCTCTCTCTGGTAAGCGAAAGATTAATTCATCATAGCATAGATCTAGCAATGTTTTTTAGTCGCATCGGAAACGTCGAATACGTTGTATTATATATTCATTCTTTTATAATAGTTGTTCAGTCAGCTTAATAGATGCAATCCTTTCCTATGTGATAATCTTTCACACGAACATAAGCAGTGCTAAATGGTTTCGGTAAGAAAAAAGGAGCACCTGAAGCTATGGCTTACATGGACTTGGATCAAAACCTATGTGCAAGTCAACAATATAGATAATTCTTTTTTGTAAATACTGGCGATTTTGATTTATCAATAAAAAAATTGATGGTACTTTCTCGAACGATTGGTGTGAAATAGGTAAATGTAAAAACAAAATTAATGAATTTCAGTTTATTGAAAATTATTAGCTTATACTAATTTGATTATTCTACTCTTTACTTTAATTCAATTGGATGTTAAAAAGCAGCATGATGCAAGATAGAAAGTGTTTGATGGTAAAACATTTAAATTGAAAACTTTTTTTTTTGCTAAAAAATCAAGGGTAGCTTTTCTAGTTGCATTCTTTATATTTGGGAATAACACTAAAAAGTGAAGAAATATTGCCAATACATATAAGTAGGAAATAAATAAATGTAGCAGTGTTCAAAATAATATCTATTAACAGCAGCACTTGCTACCAAAGAAGGGCGCATATGGTTTTTAATATAGAGAACATTTTCTCGCACTCTTCCCTGTGAGACACATATTAATGTGTGAAAGTACGCGTGCGCGTGATGAAATTGTGTGAACGTGTATTTACGGGTTTATAAATAAAAAATATTCAAAAAAGTATTTTTTATCTTCAAACATTCAACTTAAGAGTTTGTATTCTGCATAATTTTATCAGACTACGAATATTGTACATTGCTGCGTACATAGAAAAATGTAAACAAAAATTTGCTGTATTAAAAAAACCAAATATTTACTGCCATTTTTTATTTTAATTGTGAATTTGTTTGATTATTCAAGCGCTACTGCCATTCCTTAAAATTAAGGATGTATTTCTGCGTGTATAAAAAGAAATAAAAATTCTGTTTAGTCATGCAAATTACAATTGAATCGCATATGATGTAAATTCATTGTAGATTATCTAAAATTGTGGTAGCCATTGATGTGTAAATTTTTAAAAATGATTATCTCTATTGTTACTGCATTAGTTGCTATATATTTTGACGGATCAGAGCTTATGTCGCAGTCAATAGACCAATTATCATTCAGTGTTCAAAATTGTAAGTTACTTTTTCGGAAATAACGGTTAATAAAAATCATTCTACAGTGTAAAATTTTATATATACACTTTTATCAATTTGAAATTTTTTACTCATTCCTTTTATGTAAATTTTTAGATGACGAGTTTTTATAAAAAAAATGCATTCTTTCAAGTATAAAAATGAAAAAATTTTCTTTGCTACAGCTTTCAAACGTTTATCTTCTTTTCATGTAATGATGAAAAATACTTGCGAACAAAAAAAGTTTGCGAAAATTAGTTTTTGTCTATATTTTTACTGACATGAACGGTAAAAGACAAGATCTCTGATTTGATACCTTGCACGACCAAACACGACGTTTCTGGCTATCATTGATTTAAACAGTTAATTAAAAATTAAAGCAACATGAAATTATTTACAAAGTATACCTCAAATGTTAGATTTTTATTATAATCTCTGATCAGTTTTATCTGAACAAGAAATGATTAATGCTGCAAGTTGCAAGTAATCATTAGTGCAGTGCAAGATTTCAGATGTAAAATCTTGATTTCTATTCTCCATGCCACTTTCTAAAGATGTAGTAAATAGAATGCAGCTAAGACTACGAATTCGTAGTGATTTTTCACCCATGGCTGACATCTTTCTTTGTCATTTTAATTTACTTTTAGTTTCATAAAACAACAGTAACAACGAAAATTATTATTTTTAGTTATACAAGATGTAAAATTAAAGCTCTTAACTTCTACTATTCATGCTACAATATATACATACATACATATATGTATTCATGCTACTTCAGCATAAGCAAAGAAGCCAAACTCAATTTCAGTGACTTTCACGAAATGCCTAATAATCTAAAAATATCGAAAACTGTAGTTCTCGCAAACTATTTTAATACTCACAAGTATCTTATTTTAAATAAAAATAGGAAGAAAAGTCTTAAAGCTCTAGCGAAGAAAAGCATTTACTTATTTCTAGAGATCAAATTAGTACATTACTTAACTAGGTGCAGAAAAAGTAGACTATTGTCACGTACGAGGTTCCTTACACAACCGAGGAAAGCGAGTGTAGACGATACTAGTGAGCAACTAGCAATAGGTTATGTACTCTCACATCTCGTCCGTACATATTCACTCGAATACTTGCTTATTTACCAAGACCCCCCTTACTCTAGCCCACAAAGTATAGTGAACAGTGAAAAAAAATACCATTCGAAATATTTCTAATTGAACCCAACCCTCTAAAAATTATCGTTATTTTAATTGAACCCTTTTAGTTGTCCCAAAAAAAATTAAAAACTATGTACATTTTTTTGGTTTTTGCAACTGCGATATCTTTAGTAATACTTAATATTTTTGCAAAGAAACAAGACAAAAAAATTTAACCCTTGCTCGTTTTGATTGAACCCCTCTTACTTTTTTAAAATTATTAATATATATGTCGAAAACAACAATATAATTTTATTCTATATTTTTATCAAAAAGATCAGTTAACGCGCATTCGTTTTATACTTACATCCAACATAGCTTGACAAATTTTCAACAGGTTCTGAAATGTATTCGTGATTGCTATTCTGAAATACGAAACGAAGATGACACTGTGATCAGCGCATATCACTATTATCGAAGATAATTTCTTTTTAAATCGAGTTTTCAAAAAGTTACCGAGTTTGAACCAATTTGAACCGGTCTAGATTGTGAACGCGATGTTTGAATCTAATGGATTTGGGGTGTCGAAGTCAGGGGTGGAATTCCATAACTTTTTGATATTACGGTAACCAAGTGTACGGTATTAGTTGGTATTGGTACGGTGATCGGCGTTATGGTACTGATCAAAGTCGAAAACATCGACTCTGGTCCAAATCCCGGAATGTAGAAACGTTCAAAAAAGGAAAGCCTGAAAATTAAAATTATTGCCGTGTTATTTTTGAGTGCTAAAGTAAATTTTAATAAGTGTCAATTGTTCAGAACACTATATTAATTATATATAATTAATATATTTATTAACCAAATGTAGTTTATTAATTTTATTTATTAACTCTCTGCGCGCGTGTATGTGGTGTGTGGGTGTAAAATTTTATGCATGATAGACAAAAAATAGAAAAAAATGTAAATTGTATAAGATATCTATTTATGCTGAATTTATATCGATTTATCGAAACGAGTGGGATGATAAAACAAAAAATTGAAAATAGTTTGCGCTATACATAGGTATCATATATTGCTATTTTGAAAATGAAATATTCATGAAATCAAGCGAAATACAATGATCACAAAATATACATGATAGTTAATATAGGAAATTTTAAATAATCAGAATATCATTTACAAAGTTATAATTTAAAACGTTTTGGAGGTTCATAAATTGATTTGACAATATAGATTGTTGGCAGAAAGTAATGAAAGAATTCATATATATATATATATATATGAATATATATATATATATATATATATATAGTTGACAAAAAATCTATCGATCAATATATAATCAGTGTAATGCAGAACTTTACTTTTAGTTATGTTTGTGTGAAAATTGTGAATGATTTGAACCTTAAATGTTTTAGAAAAAAAAATACAGCTGAATAAAACATAAAAAATTTAGAAGTATTGAAATAGGTAAGTGTAATTGTAGTAGTGCATATATTAATACTTATCGAAAATTTAGTTATATAGGTTTAATATTTTCTCTGTTTATCAGCGATCAATTTGCCTTTCAACTTAAATATTAAGACGTTCTTGGACATCAACATCATCAGCAGCTATATTAATATTCATGGTAGTGCAAGAGAAAGCGAATTACTGAATGTAACCTAGCAAGAACTATATACAGTTTTATTTTTTGTGAGTAAACAAAGTTTTCATTTCATCGTGATTGCCTTACAAATGTATGTTAGTATGAAAAATGTCAACATCATATTATAGGTATCCGTAGTACTTGCGAAATTCAAGTAGTACATATTTTATGAGTCATAATATTTCGCTTCTCTAACTTTTCAGAATTCAAAGACTCATACTTTTACTTATTTTTTTAATATTCACAAAGAATTAATCTGTCGATAAATCAAAATATAGTTACAGAGAAGCAAGTACTGGAGTGCGTAATTGCAATTAGCAGCCTAATTTAATGCATAAATTAAGTCAGTTTCTGCTTTGTATAAAGATTGTGTGGAAAAAGGAAACGACAATATAAATTTCCGTACAATTTTTGAATAAGAACACTCATTTTTTAGGTTTTTTACATTATTAATCAAAGGTAACAGATTAAATAACATTGATTATGAAGAATTGGAAAAGCTTTCAATAGCATATACTGAAAGATCGCAGATTACAACTGCGAGCAAAGTGTGTTTGTGTGTGTGTGTGTTTGCGCGCGTGTTTGTGTGTAGAGTTAATAAATAAAATTAATAAATTATATTTAGTTAATAAATATATTAATTATATATAATTAATATAGTGTTCTTAAAAGATTAACACCAATTAAAATTTATTATAGCACTTACAAATAACGCAGCAATAATTTTTTCGATTTCCCCTTTTTAAACGTTCCATCATTCCGGGATTCGGACAGGGTCGATGTTTTCTACACTGATCAGTTCCATAACGCCAATTATCGTACCAATACCAACTTACGGTAAACTTTGTTACCGTAATATCAAAAAGTTATGGCATTCCACCCCTGGGGTCTTATTGAGATGCATAAGTCTGGTTACGCAGTAGCAACTGCACATTGCGCAGTTGCAATATAGAGCCTCTGCGCAACCGGATACATTTATACCGATAGCACCCCTGACTTCGACACTTCATATCCATTAGATTCAGACATCGTGTCCACGATCTATAGACCGGTTTAAATTGATTCCAACTCGGTAACTTTTTGAAAATTCGATTTGAAAAAGAAATTATCTTCGATAATAGTAATGATTTTGTTTTAAACAAAATGTTGAGCATAAAAATGAAGTTCTTCAATAATTTGATTTCATTGGAATCTCCCCAGCTTGATCAATTAGACATTTCAAAATGGTGCTCAAAGTGCAAAATTTTAGCCGTAACATTCATAAATTTCTTTTTTAGAAATGAAGCATTTTACCGAAAAATTTCTTAAAAGAAAGATTCCTTAGAATTGGCCAAAGAATACACCTGAATTTTTTTTGAGAAATTGCGATCAAGTTTTTTGATTTTGCAAATTGCAAATTTTAGATAAATTGCAAAAATAACTCGAATCGTTTCAACAAAAATTTAGATATACTCCTTAGCCGATTCTAAACACTTTTTGATCTTAGTAATTTTTTCGTAAAGTACTTCGTTTCAGACGAAAAATTATTTCACTATTTTCTGCAGTTCAGTTCGAGTTCTCAATGCTGAGCAGACGGCACGCTCTGATAACAATACCTATGAAACTGAAAAATCGAACTGAAAGGAAGAAAATAGCGAAATAATTTTTAGAAAAATTAGGAGAGATTTTTCGATCGAAAACCCTGTCAATTTCATATTATCTAGTAGGAGGTATGTTAAAAGAAGAGAATACTGGAGACCATGAATAATCACAAACAAATTGAGGCTATGATTATGTTGTGATGTAATCGTTTGCTACTTTTGTTATTCCAAATTCGACAGTTGGCTACATATTTTTTAGTAACTTTTACGTACGTACGCGATCATACGCCTGTGGAGTGTGGACGCTCGCATACGCGATTAGACTGATTCTACAACAGACACGAAAATCGTGCGCGATAAACAATTTCTAATGGATTTTCTGCTACTGCCAATTTGAAATGACAAATGCTTAACGTAACCTCAAAATGATTAGACAAATTTAAATACAACAAGTATATTTTAATAAAAATGTAAAAAATATTCAAATTATTAGCCAATAGTTAAAATATTTCTCAGATTAAATATAATATTATAAAAAACGTTTATAAATTGGGGTAATTTCGTTATCATTATTGAGATTATGTTGCATGAAATTGCAAGGTTGAGTTATTTTGAATTTGTAAGTTGGCAGCAATTTGTTGCGTACAGTTTCGTATTTATTGAAGAATCAGCCTTATGTAGTCAGAGCCTAAGCTCACACAGTCCATTCCCACAGTACGTCTACTTGCTCGCATGTACTATATATATGTTACTATATATACTATCTCATATCACTGCACTCGCCGCGTTCACAATTTCACACTATTCGTAGATTGCGTTCGTGCTTGTTCGCCTCGTTCTATCCTATAGTCCTGTTGCCTGTTGCAGAGATTGTTACAGAAAAACGACCGTTTTTCTGGAATCGGAAGTATTGAACAAAGGCAGCTATAAGGCAGCCAAGGGACGAAGCTGCAAGGATTTGTAGCAGTGTGTGGATAAACAAGCATTTATGCCTGAGGTAAAAAACTAACTTACTCTGAGAAATTTTTATGTACTATCATCCGTTGTCCTTCAAAGAGACATACGAGATCCATTGCTATATCGAAGATACTTCTGATACCAGAACAGAATCGGTGCTTGTGTGTATCTATACGCACGTCGAGGTTATATCTTTCTTCCTGTCGGAACCACTAGATCGCTCTGACAATTTTCGGTGAAATTCATTATGATCTCATGGCTTTTTTGCCTATTATCAGAGTTTTGATATTATTATAGATTACACGGAAAGTATTGGCGAAATGATGAAAAGTGGGGAAGACAACATTCGGCACTACGTTCAAACTGTGTAAGTGTATACAATTTTTTCTTCTCCTCCAGTTGTCCTGTCAAATACGTTGTCAGCGACACATTTGTTTTATTGCTCACTGAATTAATGTTTTTGTTACTTTACAATTATACTTTATTTTATTATCTAACTTCTCTTGATAATCTTTGTCTTGGTATCAACTACACTGTTACTTATTTATTTAGGGAATTTACTGGCCGTGAAGATGAAGCTACAGTTGAAATAATAAGTGGTAATGTTAATATAATACCATCTTCGGGAGGTCACCACCATGGCAGTTCCAAAGTAAAACTGAAAAATATCGTTGACTTTACCTGGGAACACAGGTACTATGTTGGCCAGTTGTTAGCAGTGCATATGTCAGGCAAATATTTAGCTTATGGTATTAAAGGTAAATTAATAACTTTGATTTTTGTAAAAAATAACAAGATTTTCAAAATTACTATTAACAAAAATTTCAACTCTTCTTAGCTGGAAATGGCAATGGGGTTGTAAGAGTTGTAAATAAAGAGTTTGAACTTAGAACCCTTATCAGAGGTATGCGAGGACTCATACAGGATCTAGCTTTTGCTCATGTTGCCAATCCCATTTTGGCATGTGTTGACTATACAGGCAGTTTGTTTGTATATTCTATTGAAGCCACAAGTACAGAATTGTTATGCAATCGGATTTTGCAAGTGGATGCAGATGATCTGTCGCCAATGAGTCATCGGGTTATCTGGTGTCCATATATTCCTGAAGAAGAAGCTAGCGATGGTGAAGAAGTTTCCAAATTGCTTGTTCTGACTAGAGGCTCAAAAGCAGAGCTGTGGTCAATTGCTTCCGCATCTCGTCTTTTTGCTGCACCAACCAATGTAAGTAAGACTGCATAGATTCTCTGTAGTAATATTGACACATTCTTGTCTAATATTGCGGAAAAACATGATTTTTAGGCCTCAGATCCAGAGATAAGTAAAAATGGTGTTATGCTAGAAATTTATCAGCATTCAGGAACAATTGTTGAGGCAACATTTAGCCCTGATGGGACAGCCCTAGCGACTGCAAGTTCGGACGGAGAGGTCAAGTTCTTCCAAGTTTATTTGCATGGTACATCTTGCGGACAACAACCTCCAAAGTGCCTGCACAAGTGGAGCCCTCATGATGGTCGGCCTATATCTTCTTTATTTTTCCTAGACGACCATGAAAATTACAACCCCGAGTAAGATTCATTTTCTTATTTGAGCACGTTTAAGTGAACCTATAAGTGAGTTGGCCTTGTCAAGTATACTTTGTTTCAGTGCAACATTCTGGAGGTTCGCCATAACGGGCTGTGACAACAATTCCGAGCTGAAGGTTTGGTCTTGCGAATTGTGGACTTGCCTACAAACCATTAAATTCGCGCCGATGCCCTCGTCGCAGAAGATGCCAGTGTTAAAGGCCAGTTTGGATCTTGCTGCTGGTTACTTGCTGCTCTCAGACATCTATAACAAAGTTCTGTACATAATGAGCATTAGCAAGGACAACGATGAGGCTATGGCGTGTATAAACACCGTGTCGGAATTCCTGCTACCATATCCCATACTGAGTTTCGCGATAGTTGACGCGGGTCAGAGGCGACTGAGACCGACCAGTGAGTCGTTGGAGGACTTGTGCCCGTGTGAAGATGAGAACGAGGACCAGCTGGTCATAAGAATGTACCTTGTCCAGCCGAAATCGCTGCAAGAGTGCCACATTGCCTTCAGACTTCCTCTACAATTGAGTGGTAATTGTCTCATGGACACCTTGACCCACGATTCACTCGACTACACCGAGGACTTACCCGATATCAGCACCGTCCATCACAACGGTATTGTTGGCGTGAATGACGACGACGATGTTGATGTTGATGATGGTAAGTATAATAAACTCATACGGTTCTTCTGACTTGAGCGTTCAAGTGACGACGTTTTTCAGGTGAGAACGGGGAGGAGGACACAAACATCACCGAGGCAGCCGATCTGAACACCAATCACAATGCCGGCCTGAACTTGATGACACCTGACGCTTTCAGCTCTCCCGCCAAGAAAGACGGTGCGCTGGACTCCAAGTCATCTAGTCCGCATCTCGGCAACATTGAGTCCGCAAGTCCTTCAATTGCTCAAACGGTCCAAGCTCTTAATGCGCTGGATCAGCCGTTGGCCACGAGTAAATTGGAAGAGCAAGCGGTGCCGAGCGGTGGCAGCAGCCCCTCGAGGGAGGTTCGCGAAATCTTGTCTTTGGCCGACCCCGAGGAAAATGAAGCCGAGGTGAAGACCGAAGTACCGACAACAACCAACGAGAATTGGTCGCAAATTCCCTTGTGTGAGTAAACGCTTTCTTAATTACGAGCAGCCCGCCAATAGGTTTGCTGAATGGAATTTCTGTTTTGATTTTTTAGGTTTGATCAAAGACGCAATCCACGCGATGCAGGAGCAAGGCAAAGACGTAGCCGATGGTCAATTGGGCATCAAGAAGGAGCCCGCGGCGCCGTCGTATTTGGCAGCAACTGAGGACGTGCAAACCAAATGGAACGTGTCCAACGATATCGGCGCCATGTCGAGCAAATTAGATTCGGTGCTCGAATTGATGCAGGACCAACAGCAAGAACTCAACGAGCTTCGTCTCGAGGTAAAGGTACCATGCGCGGGTAGCTATCGTAGCAGGCTGTATAATCGTCTTTCGTTCGCTTTGTTTAGATGACCCGACTACGACAAGAGACTCCATTGGCTGCTCGCGTGGAGTCAGCTTTGACGAAAGCGACGCAGCAGCAGAGCACTAGCATCGAGCAGACTCTATTCGCCCAAGTGACGCGACAGCATGAGTTCCTCAAGAGCCTCGAAGCCGGCGTGAAGGAGCAGATCGAAACGACCATACCAAGGGTCATCCAGGAGGTTACGAAGACCCTGGAGCGACAGTTGAAAATAGACGCCGCTCAAATGGAAGCCGTGATTAAGGACAACTTGATGAAGTGCATCGGTGGGCCGCAAGTGCGAGAGGCTATATCGGCGGCTGCCACAAATGCCGCGAAGCCCGCTCTCGAGCACGCCTTCAAGGACAGCTTCACTGCTATTTTACTGCCTGGCTTAGAAAAAGCTTGCCAAAACATGTTCAAGCAGGTGCAGGACGCATTCCTCGTCGGCACGCGAGAATGTGAGTAAATCGACGCTTGCCTCTGCGTCAAGGGCACACGGCGCCTAACTTGGTTATTGCTTTAGATCTTCAGAACGTTGACTCCATTATGGATAAACAGTATCAACGCCAGAGCAAAACGCAGAGTGAGGCACTGGCCAGCGTAGTTCGGGAAGAGTTGCAAAGCGAATTTTGCAAGGGTTTGTCGATGATGCAGGAGAATACCGTGAGGAGTGTTCGCGACTGCGTCAGGGAGAATTTCACGCAACATATGTCAGAAATATCCGGGATACGGTAAGAAACAGCAGTCCCAACTAAGCGGAAAGACGCTTCTCTGAATATCGCTAACAGTAACGATTGCAGCTCGAGAGCAACGACTCCGGGTTTAACGGGTCCAACGCAGGTGGATGCTCAAGCGCGAGTAATGTCACTGCTTCAGAGGGGCCAGCTAAATGCCGCCTTCCAACAGGCGCTGAGTGCTAGCGATCTGAATTTGGTTGTGCTAGTTTGCGAAAACACCGATACAGCAAGGGTTTTCTCATGTTCAATGGGCTCTGGCCAAGGCTCGAGGTGCGTTCTACAACAACCGGTCTTGTTGTCGCTTGTTCAACAGCTCTCGGCCAACCTGGGACACAGAACCGAATTGAAACACAGGTTGGTATTCTTCGCCTTCTTTTCCTCTTTCTGTTCTCATCATCAACATTAATCGTTCTTATTCTAGATGGCTCGAAGAAGCCGTAATCAGCTTGGACCCAAACGATCCGGTCATAAGGGAACACATGCTCAATGTATTATTGTCACTCCAGAGTCAAATTGCAACTTTTATCACAGCAAATCCAAATCACCGATCAGTAAGGCGACTGAAAATGGTCGCAATGGCTGCTCAAGCTCTTTTAAAACCATCATAAACTATTTACATTTTTCTCTGCTTTTACACTGCTGCTGCAGTAATAAATTTTTCTTTCTATTGAATCGTCGTTTCTGCACGCATTGAGGCCTTTGGCGTGCCTGTTTGATTGCATTTATGGCTGGAGACTGTACTATTTTATTTGAGTATGGAATGTAGTTGCTTTATCCATTCAGCTCTAAAAATTTTTCTCAATTATTGACTTTGCAAGTTTTTTTAGCCACAATTCGGAATTTCATAATTTTTTGTCCTGTCGCGTCTTTATATACTCTGAAATATGTTAAAAATGTCTCTTGCATATAAGTTTAAACACTTTTCACGTCATTTCACGAATATTAATACTTTATGAATAATATTAGTATTTTTTAAATATAGTTATTTTTCAGCTTTTGTACTAATTGGTACGGTTTCTACATTGTTAACTAGAGTTTTGTTCAAAGAAGAAATACAATTTAAATGTTCAATTTTTTAAGTTTCTATGTATCCAATAACACGAGTTTGTTTTCAAGTGAAAAAGATGTACTATAATAATAAAATTGAAGTTTTTCATCACTCTATTTTTGAAAAAATTCAATAAATTGCAGCATCATACACACACACACACACACGCATACGCGCGCGCGCGCGCGCGCGCACACACACACACACACACACACACACAATTATTTGTAATTGCTAATTGAAATAACATTGAAATAAAAGTTTTTGTAAAAAAAGATATCGAAAACCCATAAATACGAAATATTCTTTTTTAAATATCAGTAACTCACAAGTTATTTATTGACAACTTCAATAGATTACTGAAATTAATTGTACTAATATCATGCGTTTTGCATATTGACTTGTAAGTATTAATGTTTAAATAATGCATTGTCATTAATGTCATGTTTTGATCTTTCATAAAAACTGAATTATTAACAGTTACAGTTTTCATTAACCAAAAATTAATGGTCCTCAAAAAAGTATTTTTCATTACTAAGAGAATACTTGTACATGTTTTAGATTAGTGTCTAATATGTAGTTTTTCAATCGTATGTGATTTTTATTTGCTTACATCATCGATAAGGTTACGCTACATACTATGAATATATATCAAATACGTAACAGACTAGGTAGATTAGTCGCGATTTACCTTAAACGGTTTGCCTAACTTATAGGTCGTAGATGTTTGAAACTATTACTATCGATAAACGTGCACATATGGAATGTGATTAATCAATTACAGAGTTTCATAGTCATTTTCTCAAAAAATGCCAAAAATCACGGTTAATTTTCGGCTATTAATTTGGTGAGATTTACAACTTTCTGTTATTGTATAAACATGAAAATTTATGGCAGTTGAAAATCATCCTTGATATAAAAATTTCTTTTGCATCGAAATGTCTGTATAGAACAGTCTTCAATTGATGAGTCCCACTCTAGGTATGAACATTTATTGATAGTAATTATTTAAAGCACTTAGGTGTTTACTCGACTAAGTTATTGGAGAGAAGTTACAATAAATTTTTCCCAGGCCTATCCATAGGTCAATGCATATACCAGGCATATTTTAAAGCCTTTATAATTTTGACTTATCGACATTGTTTTTTTTTAAACATCATCTGAATAATGCAGTTTATAAGAATGCAACTATTTGAGGAGAAAATAATTGTGTTGCAAAGAAAATTAGTTTTTTATGTACACATGTAGTATTAGATATTAAGCTTAGTAAATCGTTAAAGTTTATACATTTTAAATCATAAGATTAAATAGCACCTTTGAAAACTTCTTTGATATGAGCTGGAATTTTGATTCTTTTTCTTTTTCGCACTTTAGCAGTTTTGTCCACCTTGTGTTTATTAGTACATTTGGATAGAGAGTCTTTTATTTTTTTTGACTTTTTGATACTTAATGGGTTGGGGTTACCTTTGGTCTTCCTTTTTTTTCGATTAACTGTAACTTCTGTATTTAAGCCAGTTTGCTTTTTAAGAGTTTCGATTGTTTTTTCTTGCAAACCAGTCATAATAGCGTGACTGCGTAGTTCTTCAGCATATTTACGACTCACAGTTGATGGAGGTTCCAGTGTCGGTGCTTTACCATGCAAATAAATTATTGGTACTCCAGGTATATTTCGCAGTTGTTCTTGAAGCAACCTATCTTGAGTGGCAACAATGTATCTATAAAATTATTATTAAGAAACTGTTAATAAAAGCAGTTAAAACACAAAGTTAATAAAATGATTTGGATGTAGAAAATAACCTTGCAAAATTATTAGAGCCAACCATTGAATGCAAACATTTGGAACCAGTTAGTGGCTGTTTCTCATGTCCACACTTATGAATAGCAAATTGTTTCACAATCAACATGGCACCATAGAGTTTTGGGCCTAATTTTTCAGTCTCCAAAATGACACATTGAGTTGTCAATAATTTAACTTGACTTTGAAAATATTTTGATAATTGTTCATGAATATTGAATTTGTTCTAAAAACAAATCGATACCCGTTAATGACATCAACTAATATTTATTGTTTATTGAAAATATAATCTATTGAAAAGTTGAAAAAAACGCAAGGCAATAGGAAAAACTAACCTCAAGAGCAGCAAAAGAAAACGTTCCGTCTATTAGAATTTGATAAGGTTGACGGAACTTGAAATTATTTACATAAAATCCAATATTTTTTTGCACTTTTTTGAGCCTCTGAATTTTCATGATTGAATATTTTTATATGTAAACATTGAACGGACGCCCACATTACTCCTTGACATAACACGTTCTCACTAAAGTGCGTAGAGCACGCATTGTACGTAGTGATGTGATTGGCCAATCAATTAACCGATGCGAAAACAGCCCGACACAAATAACATTTTATAAAAAAAAATGATCACATCTCACGAGACTTGTGAACTGACGCCCAAAAAATTTTTTAATCATATTTTTGAGTTTTCATGAGCCAAAACGTTTTCTCCCTTTTTCCGGATTATGTCTCCGCTTGAAATTTTATTTCCGGATTTTCCGTTTTTAAGAAAATTGCGAAAAAAAATCGGGCGTTCGTACAGCGCGCAAAATGCATTAAACATTTTTCTCCTGTTTTAAAAGAAATAATATCGATAGCGGATGATACTCCTTATTCCCGGATTACGAAACAATTTTCCTTTTGTTGATTTTCTATCCCAAATTAAGGAAAATGTAAGAATTAGTAATATGCGGCAGTTAGTCGATAAAACAGGTCAAACGTTTGCTAATCACCAGATATCCCTATATGAGTTCTACATTGCCTAATTTATAAAATTCAAGAAAAATTACATACTTCAGTCGATATTACAGATTTTAATATCGACATTACTACTCGTATGTGTATATATTTTGAAATATACTTATATATTTATACAAATTTTGACTGAAGTGTGGGAAGTATATTCATTTTTATTTATTAATGCTAATTAAAGTTATTGCGCAATCAGCTTCCTACTAAACATTAGTTACCAAAAATGTTTTTATTGATTGACCTATGAACTAAACTAAAAAGTGTGTGAAGGAATGACCACATGTTCACCATTACCCTTACCCGTTACCCTATTCGATTTTTGTATTCGTATGTCATTTTGGCAATTCCGTGTTCATCGACAAGTTTTATAATTTAGTCAAATAGAGGTCTAATTTTTAGTGTCACAAAATTATTGCCAATGTGTTTTCGACACTCCGTGCGCAAAGTGCGTCTTTCCTGCACGCTCGGCAGAAAACGTGCGTTGAAAATCGCACTTTCCACACATCGTATCAAAAAATACGGTACGACACATGTTCGGGAATAGTACAATACGATACAAATGCGGGAAAGTAGATTCTTGTCTTGTGTGGCGTTTATGCATGATCGAAGCGAGATAGTACACTTGTATCGTAATATACTATCTCGTTTCATGTGCCTTTCCACCCTCGCTTCGCTCGGACGTAAATGCTACACGAGACAAGAATCTACTTTCTCGCACTTGTATCGTAATGTACTTATTTCTTTAAGTTCCGGGGAAATGAGGGAAAATGGAAAATACGAGAGTTCAACGTGAAATATTTGGAACTGCCAAGATGGCATACGAATAGAAAAATCGGACAAGGTAGAAGATGGGGTATGGGTAAGGCCCTTATTCCATACTGAGGGAATATTCCCTGTGATATTCATATTTCGTCTGATTTTGTATCTCCCGGAATGTATATTATCTACGTCCGTGTACATACTCTGTGGATTAGCAAGTAAAACAGACGTATTACACTTTTTAAGCCACTGAATGTTCCGGGAGGTGCAAAATCACACGGAACAAGAACATCACAGAAATATTCACTTAGTGCGGAAAGGCTTTAATGGTGAACATGTAGATATTCCCTTACAGGTATGTGTGCCTCCATTCAATGCGACAAAGTAAAAATATAAGTAAGCAGTAGCTCATTCGATATTGATTATTTTTCCGTTTTTAACTAGATTTTTAAATCTATAGAAGAAAGGGAAATTAAATGTATGTTATTTGACATAAAATTAGATTGAAAAAATTTTATTTAATTTTTTTCCTCATTTCATGTACTTATTTTAATCTGCAACTTTTGCATTTTATGTACAATCATACATATGCTTGGACAATGGTCACTGTATTTACATCTTTACAACACAAAAATATCGCACATCAGTTTTGGCCATACGCCACATCGGGTTTAAATATTGTGTGTATGCGCGCGCGCGTGCGCGCATGTATGTATATATGACTTATGCGTGCTCTTTAACGACATGAACTTAAAACTAATTTTGCACTTTACATAATCACCGATTTTGGCATTTCTAATCGATATCTGATATAATGGATGTCGATTAACCAACTACAAAAATATACAATTCATTATTCATAAAATTAAAAAAAGAAATAATCGATTATTGACAAGCTGTCAATGAAAAGAATGATCTGTTGATCGGTGACATTAGAAATCCTAGTATTATATTACATTGTTTATACATGATCATTTACTAAAATTAACGATTTTATGTTTATATCAATAAATTGTGTATGAATGCATACCCAGAATCAATTACTTGTTAGGTATTGGCATGTAAACTCGTTTTAACAGAGCGTGTTAACTTGAGTAAGTTATCTGTCCGCTTTTTTTTTGTTTCTTCTTCAACGACAATGCTGTCAGAGAATTAGTGCGTTTAGACAAAATAGCTTGGTGAGACAAGATCAGCAATTTCGTACGAAAAGTCAGTGTATTCGAAGTATTTGGAAAAATGGCTTGTATCTAGGTTCGTCCGTACAAGCCTATGTTGCTGCACACAGGCAATGACAGCCAGCCCGTGCGAGTCGATCGTGTTGGAGTGTTAAGAGTGAGGCGAGTTGCTGTATCGCTCGGCGTAATAGTGACACTTTTATGAAAAGTAAATAGCTCGTTGGCCACGTAAATGCCTTGACGAAGATCGATCGATGGAGGTTGAGACTTGGAGCGAGACGTGGTTAGATGCCCCTAAATGCTGAACAGCTCGTGACAAGAAGAAGAGTAGGACGAAAGCGATGGGACTAGCGCGCTGATATGTACAGTAGGCAGTCGCGTGGGCGAACGAATGGTCGACAGAGGAATAAATAGGGCCAGATGCGACGGGGCCACGGCGCGCGAAGAGGCAGGCGGAGCGGGCAGTCAGTCTTCAGGGCTGCAGCTGCGCGAAGTCGGGCACGAGTTGGTCGAGGCGCTGCTGCTGGCAGCGGCCGGCGCCGGGCGTCGCCTGGCCGGGACTCGCAGCGGCGACGACCGCCGCGTGGGCCGGCTGGCAGCGCGCCGACAGCGGTCGCGCGAGCCACGGGTGCCCGAGCACGTCGGCGGCGGCGGGCCGCTCGTGCGGCGCGCGGCGCAGCAGCGCTCGGATGAGACAGCGCGCCCGCGGCGACAGCGCCTCCGGCAGTTGAAAGTGCGCCCTGGAGATCTTGGCGAAGAGGCTGGCGTGCTCGGCGTCGTTGAACGGGTAGCGCCCGACCAGCATCGTGTACAGCAGCACGCCCAGCGACCAGACGTCGGCGGCCTTGCCCGAGTAGGCGCGCCCCGAGCGTAGCACCTCCGGCGCCACGTAGGCCGGGCAGCCGCGCCGGTCCGACAGCAGGTCGTCCTCCTCGTCCACCAGCACCGCGTCCTCCAGGCTCTCCAGCCGCAGCTGCGTCCTGCGAACGAGCGCGGCCGCCTCAGTACTCGCAGCGTCGAGCGCCGAGCGCCGAGCCACCTACCTGGCCTCGTCGGAGAAGACGAACTTGCGCAGCTTGAGGTCCCGCAGCACGACGCCGCGCCGGTGGCAGCTGGCTACGGCGCGGGCCGCCTGGCGGAACAGCCGCCGAGCCTCGGGCTCGCCGAGGCGGCGCCTCGCGCGCACGTACGCGTGCAGGTCGCCGTGGTGGCCGTCGAGCAGGAGGTAGCGGCGCCTGCGCGCGCCACCGGCCGCGGCCTCGGCCTCCACCAGGCCGGCCAAGCCCGAGGCGGCGCCCGAGCCCTCCATCAGCGTCTGTGCCTGCAGCAGCGCCTGCGCACCCTTGTCCCCCGCCTGCAGGGCCTGCAAGCAAAGTTGGGTGAGTCGGGGCCGCACCGAGCGGCCGGTACTCACCTTGGCGACCAGCTGCTGTCCTGTGCGCACGTCGACGCAGCGGATGAGGCTGCTGCACTCGGCCGGCCCGAGCAGCAGGAACCTGTCCGCCAGTATGCTCGGGCTGTGCTGCTGCTGCTGCTGCTGCTGCTGCTGCTGCTGCTGTTGTTGTAGCTGCTGCGGTGGCGGCTGCTCGCCTCGCGGCGCCTCGTCTGTGCCCGGGTTCTGGCCGCCGGGGGGCTGCCGCGAGCGTGGATTGACGAGGAACTTGCCGTGGGTGCAGCGCGTCACCTGCAGCTGCGGTGCGTGGCCTTGCGCACGGCGCGTCGCCGCCCTCATGTCGGCGCTGCTCGCGCGGCCTCCGCCTTCGCTCTCGGGTACTCGCAGCGGCTACGCGCACTAGCTTTCACGGCGAGCGCACGGAGTGGCGATCCTCCAGTGCTCGTACATCTGCTCCGCGTGCACCGGCGACCGCTGCCGCGGCATCAATGCCGCGCCGCAGCGTTGCGTGGAGGCCTGCAATCGGATGACGAGGAGTACAATCGCTGCCACGAGCGTCTAACGCCTCTGACCTTGACTCGAGCCCCGGACGAGTAGCGGCGAGATGGCGAGCACGTCGGCGGCCGGACAGTTATTTCAAAAGCGAATACGCGTTTCGACATCCGCCCGGCGTATCCGGCGAGCGGGGCTTATGCAATGCGCGCTTCTCGACGCTAAGGTCAGGGCTTTACGATCTCGACGCGAGACGAGCGCGAGTAGCTCCGTCCTGAGCTGTACAATGATGCTCGCTCGATATAGTGCTCCGACGAGCAACGCAGGAAAAGCGAGTACAAGCTGATAGGTGCCGCGAATGAAAGATTACGAAATCGGGCGAACGGAACGAAACGGTATAATAGCAGCCGGAGTGACGAAACGAATCAGCCAGCGTGCAGCAGCGCTCAGCGCGACATCCGCTCCATGATATCCTTGGCAAAGGTCAAATCTCCTGCAACACGGCTGCATAGCCTCCGTGAAATCCCAGTTGGCCGCTTTGCCGCTAGGCGCGCCAACAACTAGCATATCGAAACCTGTATGCTTGCATCGATCAGCTACATTTACCCTAATATTTACTTTCAAAGCCCTACTTATTCTAACTATCGCTAGTTGCAAAACTACGCGCGAGGCTCCGATTGCGAGATTATTTCGTGAAAAAATATGCGGCGACGCAGGCCGCTCTGACGAGAGTAGAAAGAGGGGAAGCAAGAGGACATCGCCGAGTCATCATAACTAAAAATAAGCTCGTGACGCGCGGCCCGAAAGAGCGAGATAGAGAGAGAGAGAGAGAGAGAGAGAGAGAGAGAGAGAGAGAGAGAGAGAGAGAGAGAGAGAGAGAGAGAGAGAAAGAAAGAGAGAGAGAGGAGAGAGAGAGAGAGACTCGAAGATATCAAGCAGCTATCGTTTGCGAGCGTAAATATATTCAGACAGGCCATTGCCGATAAGTTAGTGTAATATAATAGGCCACCTCACGGACAGTCTTTGAAATGTCTGAATTGCTTCGTCAGCGCAGCGCACATCGGTTTGCCTGGTAGGTCTAATGCCTGGCGCCTGCTTACCGCCCATCTCATGATCTGCGGCAACTATGCGCGTATGCGTGACGCGGTGGTACTGCTCTTCCCGGATGTACGACCAGGTACGATCAAAGTGAAGACAATAAATGCCCGGAAGCGCTGCGCTGCCCTCAGTCGGCGTTTTCGCTGGCCGTGGCGCAATATCAATCGAGCATGCCAGTAATCGAGAAGTAAACAACCGCGAGAACGCAGCTGCTGCTGCTGAACCGCAAAGATAAGCGACGAGTAAGTCATCGATAAGCGAAGCGTTAACGTGCCATTGCATTCCTGTGATACGAGCTCAAGTGAGCTGCGTACCTGCGTGCGTGCAGAAGGACGCGTTTCTTATACATGGGTCTCGGTTTGTGTCTTGCGGACTAGAGCGGTGCTGCTCGAGAGGCTTGGGAGCGGTGACCTCGAAAAGTTTATAACGAACGAGGCTGCTGACGCGCAATGTAATGGTCGTCGCCTGCAAAGAAAACGTAAGCGGACGAGCGCGAGCGAAGCTACGCCAAACTCCTGCCCTAGTCAGTCGAACGTTGAGAGCTGTCGAGGCTACTCGCGGTTGTCTCCAATTTTTATACTCGTGAGTCATTACTCAAGAAATACTCACGGCGACGGCTGTTTGCTCAGCTCCGCTGCAGGCGTCGTCTGCTTGGAAAACACCACACTCGGCGATGCGATCGTTCAATCGAATGCGATGGCATGCAGTGCACTGCAGTCTGCACGCCGACCGCTGTTCACTACCGCTCTTCGTATCATCACCACTCACCAACGATCAATTATTACCAGATGAATTACTTTGGACGCACTTTGCTTCTTCCCTGGCTTGTTTGCCTTGAGCATTGGCTGGATCCTAGATTATTCAAATCAAGGTTACGATGGCGATGCGTACGAGCTTGCGGAAGGAAGAGCGGAGCGGGAAGTTGCGTTATTCGCGGCAGCAACTGGCTATAGCAGTTGTACGAAGCATGAAAAGAATCGATCAATGTGGCTGATGATGGATTCTTCGGCGAAGTGCTACGGACGAACGGTCCGACTTAACGGGGGCCGAGGGCCGACCTCCGCTTAGAAACGATGGCAGTGGCAGAACAAACGGTAGCCTAGTATCGCACGCGCCATTGTGCAAACGTAAACGACGTGACTGCGAGCGTATAACCAAGAACTACTGCTACTGCTGCTAACCGAAGCCAACCGAGAACTGAACTGACTAGCTAAGTTGTGAAGTGTCAAGCGCCTCGCATACGCCGTCGACTGCCGACTGCGGCGCCACCATATACTATTGCTCACAACGACACACACACACACGATAATTAATGCCTGGAGCAGCCTGAGGCTTTGTATGGGTACTTGCGACTGAGTTAGTAGTAGTGCGCTGTTGCCAATTTGCCGTTGTACCAAATCGGACACTCGTCGCTGTTACCGAAAGTCGAGATGGGTCTGCACCTCGTGGTCCTCGTGAATTAAGCTCAGGTCGACTGGTCGCCTCGAAAGCCGTCAACAGCTTGCTTACGTTGTTTATAAACGGTTTGCAGTTGCCTGCTGTCGCTATTTTCGTTGGTCATTCTTTCTCCAACACTAAACTACAGTGCTTTAACGCCCGCATAAGTAATAGTAGTAGCAGTAGTAGTAGTAGTAAATAGCAGTAGTAGTAGTAGCCGCCACAGCAGCAACAGCAGCAACAGCAGCAACAGCAGCAACAGCAGCAGTGGACCAGCGCCACCAGCTAAAGGTCAGTCACTGACTGCAGGTTTCCTTTCGTAGCTCGCATTATTCTACATTACATATTATAAGGTGAGTGTTCCTATTACCGATGCCCACTCACTACCCGACCCCTTTCATTTAATTTATTTTAATTTAATAAGTTTGGGAAATGTACAAGTAAAACAATTAGTTTAGCATTAATCTATGCGACCTGTTTAATGAATTGCAAATCGTTTGGTTACATAAAAATATCAAATAGATTTATTTGACAAGAGTATAAAAGTGGCCGGATAGTGGTACATTCGACCTTAAGACGAATTAACGGCCACAAAGCAAAGGCAAATAAAAGACGTTTTTTTCCATCTTTTCCAGTTATGTAACCGTTTCAAATTGTGCTGCAGTACATATGGAACAATTTGATATGATATTTACGTACTATCGTAACTATACAAATTAAATAGCCAGCTTAAATTGCCGGTAATTGGTACGTTGATCCCTTAAACTGCCGGTAATTGGTACACTCACCCAAGTGGAGCTCTTCGAAATATCGATTCGTCCAAAATCCGAACACTTGGGTGTAGTGACACGTTGCGTTTGTCGATTGTTTACAAAAATCAGCCGTGAGTATGTTCGATTGCATTTGACTGTTCGGCAACGAAAACGAGCGATTTCATCTCGAATTTTGAGAAAATCGTCTAATCAATTGGCTGGCACATTTGAAAATGAAATATGACAAACTAGATTGCCCAATTACGTAATACTTTATCAGTCTTAGTTCCATTGTACGTACTCCCCTGCCGAGCGTTCTCAACGAACAACAATAAGTTGACGTTGCGATCAATTCCACGTAATCCGTAATCGATATAGGTAGGCATATAAGCACGCGCGTCTGTACGCATGAACGCTCCACAGATCTTGGCTCTCGAAATTGTTCGGGCTGATTTCGTCATGCTTCACTTTCGCAAGTGTCGTCGGCAGTTCAGTCGCTTTACGCAAATGAACTAGGATAAAGAGACGATCGAAGAGCTTCACTGTCGGAAATTGCTGTGAGCCGCAGCGCCGCGATCGAACTGGATGCCGAAATTTGGGCGTCCGCGTGCGTAGAAGCGCGAGCGGAATGATAGTTTGACGAGGACGAGCGAGACGGACGACGGAGGAGTGGGAATCGCTGCGTGGCACGCGCACGAGGCTCGCTCACGGAATGGACATTTGGCCGATTGGTCGAAGCCCCGGTCGACGCTCGAGCGGCCGCGGTGACCGTGGGCGTCGCATCGACGACAGGTTCGCGTGAACTCGGGACTCCTGGGCCCGCTGACGCGCCACGTCCTCTGGCCGCTGCTGCGAACGCGACGATTTATCGCAGCCTGACATTGCGAAGCCTCGGCAAAGCCATTCGCGGCGTTGCGAAAGTCGCGCGGCCTCGACTCGCCGGTGCTCTGCTCGTCCTCGCGCGAGAAAAAGGCACACAATGGGCAAATCGGCTCGCGCGTACGTAACACGCGTAAACTGCGAACTTGACTCGCGCGTATCCTTGGCGCAACGACCCAGATCGCCGTGAGCCGCGGGAGCCGTTGGGAACCGGCCGTAGCCGACGAGTTTTGTGCACGCAGGGACATTCGCCAACGAGCTGGGTTGGGTTGGGTATCGCCGGTGCAAGCTTGTTTCTCGGCGGCTCGCGTCGCGGCAGCGGGCAGAGCTTTCGAAAGCTCCCGCAATACAGTCGGCATCGACCGCCAGTTTCTTGTCGATGTTCGGTACTCTCCTTGAAGTGGAGCGCTCGATTCAAACGCGTTCCACTCGAAGGAATCGAGTTGATCGACTCGCGAGACTCGCCGTGAAGCTGCTTTCAATTCTTTACGACGAATGCGATTTCACGTAGCCTTGGTTATCGTGCTCCAAAGTAAACGTTACGTTAAAACAATGCGCGTAAGGCGATTGCGTCTCGTTAGACGAGTATGTGAGGTTCCTTGCTCGCCGAACAAACGAAGCGACACTCTGCAGGGGAACAGAATGACTCATGGCTGTTGAAGGAATAGCGATTTGCCAGTGCCATTTTCTTATATGTATAGTATCGAATACCGCCTAAAGTCCTGGCTCACTGCTGCGCGTACGTTTTCTGTCATGTTCGGTCTATGAAGACGCATTAATGCTTGACACCGAACCAGCCGATACATCTTACGCGTAAATGTGAAATAACGTCACGATAAACAATAAATTTCTATATTAAAATGCACCCAATATTTCAGAGTAAGCAATAGCTTCATCGATTTCATTTGTTCTCATCAATAAGATCCCTTTGGTGAATTTACATTGGCAACAATTCTTGAAATAATTGTCCAGCAGATGGAAGAACTTAATTGCTTAGTAGTATGGTAAAAATGTACTTGTAAGAAGATGTTTTCGTCATGCCCGTTCAAGTGGGCAGTAATCGGAGCCGTGCGAGCCGAAGCGGCGGTACGGCGGTGGTGGGCATATAGGGAAGGCGTCCTTTCGTGCGCCGACGACCAGTCGGGCAAGGCCAATAAGAGCAGAGAGCGCGCGCGCGAGCAGCAGCCAAGGGCGAGGACGGCATCGGTCTGGGAAACGGTCGCAAGGATAGACGCGAGCGTGTCGCAAACCGGCCGCCATCCCGCATCTCGTCCGCGGAGATCGCGAGGAGCGAAGGTCGGTGCGCGGCTATGTAGGTCGCGGACGACCGGCAGCCGCTTCGACCGCGGCGCTGTTGCCAAAGCGCACGATGGGCTTGCAGGTGACGGACTGCGGCATGGACGGCCCGCCCGGGCCAATCACAGCCAACCCGGGGGCGAGCGTGCACGGCAATTTCGCCAACTACTACAGCTTCCATCCAACGGCCGAGCGCATCAGCCAGATGCCCGACGGCCTGGTGGCCGCCGAGGCCAGCCGCCACCACGGCCCCGACTACGTCGCCCTGGACATCGGCTGCAACTCCGGCGTGCGTATGGCCACACGCGCGCACGCGACGCGTCCTAATGTCGCGACTGTCGCAGGACCTGACACTCGAGCTGCTGGCCTACCTGCGGCGCGAGCTGCCGACCAGGCGGATCTGGATCCTGGGCGTGGATCTGGACGCGCGGCTGATCGAGCGTGCGCGGCTCCAGAACCGACACCCGGACGCGGTCAGCTTCGAGTGCCTGGACTTCACGGGCCCGGACCGCGGACCGCTGCTGGACGCGTACCTGCGCCAGCGCCGAGTGGTGAGTTGCCCGCGGCAGGCGGCGGCCCGTCGAGCGCACTTTGACCGGCGGCGGCGCAGTGCCGCTTCCACGTGACCTTCTGTTTCTCGGTGACCATGTGGATCCACCTGAACGGCGGCGACGCCGGTCTCGAGCGCTTCCTGCGGGACGTCTGCGCGAGCAGCGAGGCCGTGCTGCTGGAGCCGCAGCCCTGGCGCTGCTACCGCAACGCCGCGCGGAGGCTGCGTCGCGCCGGGCTGCCCGGCTTCCCGCAGCTCGAGCAGCTGCGCTACCGCGGCGACCCGATGCTGCACGTGCGGGCCATTCTGAGCGAGCAGTGCGGCTTCCGTGAGCTGGCGGTCAGCGAGCGCAACGACTGGCAGAGGAGACTGCTGCTGTACGCGCGACCCGCGCTCTCCGGCAGCTCCGACTCCGCCGAGTCGGCGCTCTGATCTGCCTGCCTGCGCTCGCGTCGCTGCCGGCTGCACGGCGGTCGACCGCGAGCTGGCAGCAGCGGCTGTCCGGGCCTGCGGCGCCTCGCGCTGCTGCCAGCTTGCTAGTATTGCTGCGGCTCGACTCGGCTTGCTGACCAATAGGCACGCTCCTCGCGGCCGCACCGAAGCGGTGGGGGCCACTCGGCACTATCAACGCCAGCCGCCGCTACCATGAATTCCGCTAGCAAGGTGAGTCGAGAAATCTGTACGCGGGCATAGCAGCTACGTTTTTCCCGCCAGTATGACTCGCGGATGCGCTTCCGTCAGTGATCGAGACCCTTTCTCTCTTTCTCTCTCTCTCGCTCTTCCCCCCTCTCTCTCTACTCCTGGACGTTCAACTTGCGTATAACCCATAGCCTTTCACCTCTCATCGTTCTTCTTCGAATCTGCTCTGACAGATACGGACGCACATCGTATACCTACACATTATTTACGTACCCTTCGAGCTATGGAGCTAAATAGTGGCAGCAAGGTTAGGTTTCTCTTTTCTTTTTCTCCTCCTCGCTTTATTCTTGCTGTTTTGTTTACTTTTTTCAATTAAACGTTTTTGCTCTAATCTGCTTCCCATTTTCACTGAAATCATGTTTGCTGTTCAATTTGTGTTTTTCATCTATCTTTTGATGTATCACTTGCATTAATCCACAAATAAATGAAAATCATTGTCAATTACTTTGCATTTGCTTTGCAGGTTGGTGAAATTTTCACTGCTGCAGGAGCAGCTTTCAACAAATTGGGAGAATTAACTATGCAATTACATCCTACGTCAGACTCTCCTACTGGGTAATTTTAAAACATTTGCATGTATTCATCAAAGATAATTAGCTCAAACAGTCTTTATTGTTTTATTTATAAATATTTTAAGTTTATTGTAAAGTACATACATTTTTTATGTATAGTAAATGGACTGACGAGGAAATTGAAATGCTCCGTCACTCGGTTAAGACCTTCAGTGAAGATTTGAATAAAATAAGTGATCACATCAAAGGCAGAACTGTGTAAGTTTTCTGTTAAGTAATATTCAGGGCTTCGAGAAAACGGTGGTTGCTCGATTCCTCAGTCAGAATTGCGTTCTATATAAAATTTGATATTTCCTTGTAGGTCACAAATTCGCTCAACACTTAAAAAAAAGGCCTTTGAAGAAGCTGGTGTACCTATAAGACAACAACAAATCATTTCTCAACAACAAAGCACTCAGCAGATCAATGTTCAACAGCAAGTACAGACATCTAAACAAACTGCTGCTAATCAAAGTCTCATGAGTAAATCAGCAGAGGTAACACTAAACATGCTCAATGCACCAGAATCAGAAGTTGATGTCGAAGGTTTGCAAGAAGAGTGTCCTGTAAAATTAGAATTTGATGGTACAACGGAAGAAGTTACATCGTAACAATTAATTTTCTTTTAAATATCTGCCTACAGTTTTTTACAAGCGCTAAGGTCGCATGTATATAAGTGTGTGCACTATCGTTAAAGTACATTTTCCATAATATTGATTGTAAAACCACTTACGCCAATGAGGAATTCTCTTTTCTCAGCAATTATCGATCAGCTGTAAAGCAAAAAAAATTAAAAGTACAAAAATTTTTCATATTCATATGTATTATTTTAAGTTATTATTCATGCATCATGGTGGTTAACATATCATTAAAATAGTATGTAAGTTTCTAAATAAAAGTTCAATCTGTATTTGTGTGATTACAGTAAGTTTCTATTTAGAAAATTTAAATAATGAAATGAATTAAAGATAATGGAGTAAAGGATTTTTTGACACTCCTTGTGCAAAGTGCGTCTTTCCCGTACGCTCGGCATAAAACATGCGTTAAAAATCACACTTTCCACACGTCATAAAAAAATACAATACGGCACATGTTAAGAAAAAACGTTTCTTGTCTTGTGTACCTTTCCACCCTTGCTTCACTCGGGCGTAAACGCCATACAAGATAAGAATCTACTTTCCCGCACTTGTATCATAATGTACTATATAAAATTCAATGTTTTGAGTAGCTGAAAAATGAAAATGAACAAAGTGCAAAGAATCCTACTATTTACTTTAAATAATTCGGCAATAAAGATTGAGCATTAAATGAACCTATTATTATTTTCCATATTCCTTAAAAATAAAATTTTTGATAAATAATTTATCTGCTAAACAAAGTAGTTGAAAAACAAAATTGCTATCCTATTAGAAAGTTTGCGATAGTGTTTGTTTGATTTTTTGTAACGTTATAGGTCGTTATACATTGCAATTATGAGCTAATGTGTTTTTCGACCGTACCAAGTTTTTCTTCGCAATATTTGATAAAAATAAAAAGAAGCGAAAACTAATATTTTTACAACTATATTTACAACTATTTACACTCATGATTAATTCATCCTTGCTTAAGACGAGAGTATAAAAAAGAACGCTCGAAACATCCAAATACAATTGAAGATAATGATTACTCGTGGAAAGTTATAATTATAATTAAGCTCTCTAACTAAAACTGCCAAAAATATACTTTGAAATGATCTTTAATAAATGTATACGAATTTTAAACTATAAATGTGTAATTATGGTGGCAGCACTATAGTGCGTTTACGTTAACAGAATGACAATTTTTTTAAAGTAAATTTTTCTTATATACTAAATATATTTTGTTATAGAAATGTGTAATATCGTTGCTTTTATGCACGTGTTCTATGACTGACTCTTCAATTGATACGAAAATTGTACGCGACAAATTGCTGCCAACCTATGAATTCAAAATAACTCAACTTTGGAATTTCATGCAACATAATCTCAATAATAACAAAATTACCCCAACTTACAAACGTTTTCTTATATTATTATATTTAATCTGCGTAATATCTTAGTGGTAAGTATTGGCTAATTTGAATAATTTTACACTTTCATTAAAATGTACTTGTTGAATTTAAGTTTGTCTAATTATTTTGAGGTTATGTTAAGCATTTGGTATTTCAAGTTGGCAGCAGAAAATCCACTAGAAATTGCTTGTCGCGTACGATTTTCATATCTGTTGGAGGAGAATTAACCTATATACCAACCAGACGTACCGACTAGCCTTTGGGATTATATTATTGCGGTATCCATAAGGTGGCGCGCAGAACAATCATGAGTCACGACGAACGACGAGCTGACGAGTCTCTAGTCATCCCTAGAGCTTAGTCTCAACTTACTATCAGCCGCGCCTCTCCCGGCGGGTATCAACAAACTCAAGTTACCGGCGGGGAATTACCATATCCCAATTTTTTGCTTAAATTCTATATTTATATATGATCGATGTGTAAAAATATAAATTTGAGTATACTGTTCAGGTCTGGATGAATAATTAAATATACTCCAATTGATATTTTCACACATCGATTATTTAAATAGTATTGCAACAAAAAATTGAGATATAATAACTTCCCTCTGGTAACTTGAGTTTACAAGTAACTGCCGTGAGAGGCGCGGCAAGTACTAAGGTCCTCCGCTGATCTGACTTCTCATTACCTCATTGGCCATTGCCAACCAAAGCTGTAGATAGGAGACTGTCGATGCATAAATCTCTGCATAGTGCATGGAATATAGTATTTATAGATGGATCATATACTTTATAACTTTATATTCTGTATACTGTTTAATAAATATATATCCCTAAGGGATCGTTGGATAGTTAGTACTAGGTTAGTGTGAGTATGAATATGCTGATGTAAATGTATTGTTTGTTATAATGTATTCCTAAACTAGTTATTACACTTGTGGAATAAAAAATTTTTTGATTAATAGTGTTTTGACTAAAATGAGTAGTATAGTATTACAGTAGTTATTGTTAAGACATATTTGGAACAAATATTTGTTTTGATAATAGTTTGACCGTACATGCTCCATAAATTCATCGTTTATAGTAACAGCTTCAATAATAGGTAATTATTTAATTAAATACATTAAAAACTGTCCGACCACTATGCAAAATATATTAATTTCCAATTCATAGCTATAAATCCTAGTTATTTCACATAGTATATTTAGGTTAGTACATGTGTTTCTTGAATTTATTAATTATTAATTATTTTTATCTGAACACACATTTCAATTTATGTTGTAACAGTAACATTTATTCAATATTTCATCATTTTGAGAATATTTAAAACATTAAGTAGTTTTTAAACAAACATTTTTCAGTATTGAGCTTTGCCTTGTGTATTTCTTTTAATGTATTATCCAATATTTAAAAAATAACCAACTATTTCAATTGTTACAGCAAAATAATTTTAAAATGAATCCAGATGATTGGAGAACGCCTGCCTTCCGACAGAATATGATAAATAAAATGTAAGATACATAGAATTATTTACGTTGTCCAATGGAATGTGATCAATAAAATATAAGATATAAGTCATTTATACATTTATAAATTTTATTTCAGAGAAGAACTTATTCAACAATTTCAAACTCCAATGACTAGAAATGCAACAGATATGGAAAATCACGTATATACGAGAGCTAAATCTAGGGTAAATATTTTTAGTTACATAACTTTATCATTTTCAAAGAAATGTGTAATTATACCAGTTTTATGATTACAGGATGAATATATAGGCTATATCACAAAAGTCTTAATGTTTATAAAAAGTATTTATTGATTTTTTACTTTAGTATATGTGTAAGAATATTTGAATATTATCGAAACATTATTCATTCTCTATATCTTATAGGTAATAAAAAAAACCCTCCTGGAGAGATGGTACAAGGAACAAACAACATCAATCCTGTTGTACAACAAAAAGGTATGCAAGATCCAATTGGAGCATTACAATCTCTTGCTCGTCAAGGTACTGGCAATAATAATATGGGCATGCAAGGTCCAGGCCCAAATCCATCGAACATTAACCAGCAAATAGGCCCAGGAGGAAATATAGCATCAAATTGTTAGTTATAATATTGTTTTATTTTAGAAAATAGTAAATAATGAAAAAATATTTTATAGTAGATATTCTCATAAAATGAATTTATATTTCAATTTCATAAAAATTTACTTAATAATACACAAATTGTTTTATAGTGCTACAAAGTTTAAATAAAATGAATCCAGGACAACCTGTAAATATACAGCAAGCGCTACAGAATAAAATAACTGGAATAAATATGCTTCAAAATCAACAATTGAATCTGACGCAAATGGGACAAATGCAAAATATGCAAAGCAACTCAATGATGAATCCAATGAATCAAGGAAATATGCCTCAACAAATGGGACCTCAACTAGGTAATCAACAGCAACAAATGGGTGTACAGCAAATGGGATCTAATCAAATTCAACACAATATGCAGGTTTGAATTAAATTCAAATTAAATTCAAATTAAATTCAAACATTAAAATTTGTAAATTTTTACAATGATTTTAAAAGCAGATGAAGAATCAAATAAGTGGACATCAGTTAGGAAATCAAATCAATCCAGGAATGCAATCCATGATGCAACCACAACAATCAGCATCACAGCAACAGCATCAGCATATGAACCAGATGAATGCTACCCAAATAAATGTTAATCAAATGTCACAACAGTTAGCTCATATGCAACGCAAAGTAAATGGAATTAAAAATTACTATTATTTCTTTTAACTTCTTATAAATTAATATACGTTTATTTATCACTGTAAACTAATTATTTTGTTTCAATTAAAATATCTTATTGAGTTATCTTTGAAACTTTTCAGCCGGTGGACATGATGAATGCTAATTATCCTGGGCAAAGAAATATGACACCAAATCAATTTTTAAATCAAAGCCCGTCACCCTCTGTTCCAAGTCCCGGCGGACTTAGTGCGCCAGGAAGGTAATATTTTTGTATTTTATTTTTTTTATTTATGAATAATAAAAACTAAAGCTAAAGTAATTTAACTAATACAGCAATCAGATGGTACCATCACCCGCACTTGTACCATCACCAAATCCTCAACATGCTATGCTTGGAGGACAAAGATCAATCGGTAAATAAAAATATCTGCCATAGATAATCATCTGGAATTGCATTTTTGAAACGTGAAATATTATTTACAGCTATGGCACCTTCTCCCAGCAGTTCATTAAATACTCCCGCTGGAATTATTGGAGGTACTACTCACAGTCCTGTACAAGATGAACAAATTTCTCAAGCTTGCAGGGAAAAAATTCAAAAACTTCGCAAGTACATAGAACCTTTGAATAGAACAATACTGAAACTGACAAATGATGGATGTAAGAAATGTCATAAAAAATTTTTGTTGTATCTTAAAACAAGTTTATAATATATTCATTGAAATCGTAGATACTGAGAAAACAATCAAGATGAAAAGGCTATTGGAAATATTAACTAATCCTAGTATAGTCACAAATTTAGAAACTTTAAGAAAATGTGAACAAGTCTTGGAAAAAATGGACTTGGAGAGAAGAATGGAAGCTAGTGTAGGCCCTGCAATACCATCTACCATGAGTGAATTCAAGTTTTTATCACCTTTATTTGAAGCAGTGAGGTCTCTTCTTCAGACTCCAACTCCCAATCATACGTTACACAGGACTTTTGGACCTTGTTTGCAATCTTTGTTTGGACCTGAAATTAAGTAAATATTAGAGAATATTTACGCATAAAATGTATTTATTTAAATATCCAATGAAATATCTTTATGCAGAAATTTACCTCCACCATTAAAAAGACAGAAGATTGAGGAAACACCTAGCGAGATACCAGATGTTTTACAAGGAGAAATTGCTCGTCTCGATCAGAGGTTTAAGGTCAGTAAGACATTTTCTTGTCTATCTATTTCATATTACACATTTCTTTATAATTCAATACTTTTATTTGTTTGAACAGATAAGTCTTGATCCGACCCAACAGAATGGTTCAAAATGCATCCAGCTAATATGTTGGCTAGATGATAAGCACTTACCTTGTGTGCCTCCAGTATTGATTACAGTGCCTGCAGATTATCCAACAGTTCCTCCAAAATGTGTTCTCACAAGTCATGAATACACTACTCCATATTTAAATTCAGTACAAAAAGCATTGGATGCTAGACTTGCTAAATTGCCAAGAAGATATTCAGTTTCACAAATTTTGGATAATTGGGAAATGAGCGTTCGTAAAGCTTGTGCACCTAGTAAAATCCAAAAAGTTGAGGAGTTAAATACAACCTCCAGTGCAATGACAGGAACAACAAAAACAACTACATCTACAACAAATGCTTCTCTAACGAATGGACTATCTACGAATTTGATAAACTCCATAGCATCTTGAATACATTATTAATATTCACGTATATATTTACTGAAACATTGCTATTGTTCAAATTATCATGACTTATGATAAGTAATTTTGCTTTTACATCTCTTATGTATATATAGTGTACAGATGCAAAATTTTTTAATATTTTTTATCGTCGTTGATTATTATAATTTCAAATTTGATCCATGTATTATACAAATCCCAATTCTAGACATTTTCTTAAGTGACTATAGAATTTTACTTAACATTTTTTTAATGAATGTTGTAGAATCTGATTGCTCCGAGGTTATGAAAAATATTGTTTATTACAAAATTTTATTCTATTCAAAAATAATAATTTTTATTTTATCAATTAATAATTTAGTAAATATTTCCATGAATTTTGAATATTATTACATGTAACTGCAATTATTTAATAAATTTAGAAAAGAATTTCCAATGTATCTTTTGATGATAAAGTATCGATTGTGCACCTATAATATACTGATATGTATACTAAAGTATTTTTATGAAAATATTTTTTATAAATGTTTATTTCATTTGCAAATGAACTTTTATCAAGATAGCGAGGTTTTTATACTGGCATCAGCTCATCGTTTATTGCATTTGCAATACTTGAATCTAGATTTGGAAAAATCAAGAAATGGAGATAACACGACCTCAGCAGTCAGCACAGTCTTCATGCATCATTATCCACAATAGTGTATAAAACCTTTGACTTTATTAAAACCAAGGCTTTTAATAGAACAAGACAGAAGGTAGAAAAAGAAAGATGACGGAAACATTTTGAATTAAAAAATTTCATTTCTAATTCTTATAGAGCGCTTCCACCGTTGTCATTCGCAAAATTAAAATAGAGAAATTAAAATCTTTTTTTTTACTTTATAAAAACAATATATAAATAAAATTTATAAATTATAAATAAAATTTGTATAGCGATTATTAAAATTAGCATTAGTTGACAAAAAATATTTTTCGTTACGTTATGAAGATGAGAAAAAACCAAATAATTAAAATTGAAATTCAATTTTTATAGTTTTAAATATAGAGATGTTTTGTAAAGTTATATATTAAATTTTAGTTACCAACTTTGTTAAGAATTATATATAAAATTTCGCATATTGGAACTATTGTACAGCATTACTGTATCAATAATTTGATTTGTGAAATGATGTATGTTTCACAATTAGTTATACCTGCCGTTGAGATAGACTGTTTCTACTTTGCATAAGGTTGTGTGAACAGAGAATTGGTCTTTATCATGACCAAAAGTACATTTTTTTTATTGCAAACATCTAGTATTCAACATGTGCATACACATCGATATTAACAATTATAAGAAAAAAGATTGATTAATTGTCTAAAATTAAATCAATACGTGATAATATTATGAACTAGAAAAATGTAAGTTTTTAGATATATAATAAAGATGTTTTTCTAAGATTAATGAAAAACGATCTTTCTAGGATTTCTAAACCTTTATTATAGCAGTAAAAAGATTAATTATACATAGCAAATTAGCGGTGGCAGTGACTGCTGAAAACAAAGCATACTTGCAGAAGGTAGGCATAACTCACGTGCTGAACGCAGCCGAGGGTAAGAGATTTGGCATGGTAAAAACGGACGTACAACAATTACTACAAAGGCACCAACGTCAAGTGTCTGGGTTTACAAATGAAGGACCTGCCGAGCATGGACATCAGCCAGTACTTTTATACGGCAGCGTCGTTCATCGAAGGCGCTTGTGCGTCTGGCGGTAAGTAGCAAAACGCTAAATTTCACTCACGTCCTCAGATTGTCAACTCTCCTTTGGCTCTTGCTTCTGCAGGTCGAGTTTGCGTGCAATTCGTTCAGGGAGTGTTCAGAAGCGCGATGTGCGTGATCGCTCAACTGATGTCAGTATGCACACCTCGACAATCAACTGCGCAGACAGCGATTGTGAAATTTCTCTTTTGAAGCCTTCTGAGATGATTTCGAAGCGAATAGCAGAGCGCGCGAAGTCAATAACGCCTGATCCGTTATGATAAAAAGAAACATTAAGACATTTCTAACATTATTATTACAAACGTGAGAGAAATTACTTTTTAATTGTCAATTTGCATTACTTTAGCACTATTTTCTTATGTCTTTAATGTGATTCGAGTAATTAATCAATTGATTAAAAAGTAATAATAAACATTGTGTTATTATTATATTAAAATTGTTGTTTTAAAGACGAATTTAATGTTTATGTTTATTATTCATCGGTATATTTTATAGATTTGCGAGCAAGTACAAGAAATAAATGATTTTCATATACTAAAAACTTCTGCATTGAATTATTTATATTAAATAAGATGAGATAATAATTTAACAAACAAATATTAAAAAAAATAGTCCATTAATTACTTTTTTATACATATTTATTTCTTAGCTTTCTTGTCTGTTGCTGCGAGTTTCGTTACATCATCGGGATTCTCGGCAGCATCTTTGACACGTTTCACTCTAATGCCAACTAACCTGGCATCAGCCCTGGCTTTACGGAGGGTAATATAAGCGCTGAACTTACGCTCCTCCTCGGTAATCACGCGAGCCTTTGCCTTGGCTGTGGTGGCCTGATGAAGTCCCTGTGGCATGACTTCTTTTACTTGAGAGGCTACTTTGCATTCCTCAGGCGTAGCTTCTCCCTTCTTGATCTGTGAATAAAATTGAATATTAATGTTGAAGAATCAACTATATAGTCAGACAAAATATTAATATATAGAATAATAAACTAATAAAGATATTTAAGTAAATAAGTGATTAAAGTTATTTGAATAGACTGTAACGATTAGTTTCAAAACAACAACTTTGGACATATATCACTGCACAACTAAGCACAATCATTGAAAAGTCACACTGTCAAACATATATATTTTCAATAAAGCTTTACTATTCCAAAATACACTGAACTTTTTGTAGTAAAAATAACTTGTTTCAAACTAGAAATTATTAAATATTCAAATGAGTAAACATACTTTCTTATCATTCAATGGAAACAAAATCAATTTGGATTGGTACTCCTTGAGTCTTAGTACGTTCTTTTGGAGAGACTCAACTGACTTGTTTCGTCTTCTTTTGTCAATAGAAATTCCAACTGATTTTGCAAAATTCTTGCAGAGACCAACAGTTTTTAACTCCGTATTAGTAAATCCACGACCAAGTCTACTTTTAGCGTGATAGCGGACCGTTGGAGAATGCACCAACGGTTTTAGCAGCTTGACTGGACTAAAAGGAAGATATTTGAAATAAAATAATGAGAAACGATCTAAACCTTTTTTAGTTTTGTGGTAAATGTCAGTCTTCAAGCATACCGTGGAGCAACTGTTCGGGCTTTCTTGACGCGATTTGTCTTCCTTCTGTATTTTTTGGCTGGCTGATTGAACGAAGTTTTGACAAATCGTTGCCAATCCTTATGGCCATTTGGAATCATATTATTCCGCTTACCCATTTTGTAGCTGTCGATGAAAGAGAATAAGTAATTTACTGATAAGTACTACTGTATCTCATGTTGCACTGTTCAAGAATTACGCGCAAACAATTGTCAACAAATAAAAATTAATTTCACTGAACAGTTATTACAATAAAAGACGAATTAAATAATTTTTTACAAAAAACACTTTTGGCTTAATGTAAATATGCTGCTATAACCTTGAAATAACATGACAATTTAATAATTAATTGCAAACAAAATATCAATTCAAGCCCTAAAACCAGCTATGGTGAAATAAACTAAAATAAACGAACAGCTGTTTATGATGAACTATACGGTGGTATTTTGGCGACGGCAGTGATTATTTACGATTCATTTTTCAAAAAACTATCCTTACCAGGGCTTTTCGCGAACACGAGAAAGATTGTATGTACATACCAGATCTGATTGTACCAGCTCATATACTACGCCGGCAGCTATTCGCGGAACATTGAGCAACTATTATCTGAGCCTGGTAATTTTGAAAATTGATATTAATCTTTTTTATTGTAACTAATGATTCAAGCTGATATATTATTGAAGGATAATGGATAATGTCCTTTTTTTCAACGCATTAAAAGCGTACATAAATTTAACGGTACGACACATGTTCGGGAAAGAATTTCTCGTTTCGTGTACCTTTCCATCCTCGCTTCACTCGGGCGTAAACGCCACACGAGACAAGCATCTACTCTACTTTCCCTTTATCGTAATTTACTAGTTCACAGTACGTCAAAAGTCATGACTGCTATTGGGATTGAGGCTTTGGGCCGAATCGTTTAAAGACCCCGGTCCCATAGCTACGTATGAATGCGGACGGATACGGACGCGAATCGCAACTCTAGTAACATCACTAAAAATATCTAGTTCGATTATTTAGTACCAACACTACCGGTAGTGAGCAAAAGTAACTGTTGTTTAAAACTGTAGCGCCGAACGTACCACATTTAATGAACGCTTATCTAACCTTTACATTATTGCAGTCTATAAGATGGCAAATGATAGAGAATTGATAGACTTTCAACTACAATTAGTGGAATTAGGTCTTAATTTTATGGAAGTACTTGAATATATGAGAAGAAGAAGAAAAAATATATGAATGATATGTATTAATCATCCCAAAAGCTTTTTTTACATTAGCATACTCATCAATAAGCAATATTCATGAGAATTTGAAAAGTAAATTGTAGACCTGACATTTGAACATTAAATGTGGTGTACGTTCGGCGCTACAGTTTTAAACAACGTTACATACTTTTGCTCACTACCGGTAGTGTTGGTACTAAATAATAGAACTAGATATTTTTAGTGATGTTACTAGAGTTGCGATTCGCGTCCGTATCCGTCCACATTCATACGTAGCTATGGGACCGGGGCATGGAGACAGTCTCCATGGACCGGGGTCTGGTTGACAGAGCTATTTGATTTGATCCAAGCAGTGGTAATTTCTATTATTTCTGAAACACCGGGAGGAAATAATTGAATTTTATTCAAATTACATTACACTGATTGATTAAATAGCGCAATGAGGTACAGCATATTATCAATATTCAAATATTCCTTGAAAATCCGAAATATTCCAAGTAACATTTTCTCAAGACAAGCATCGAGTGGTCTAAGACTTTGGGTAAGGTTATGTTTTATTTTTAAAAATAAAAACAAAAGCTATTCTGTGCAAAATTACAATTATTGAAATTATGACATTAATTTGATTTAATTTTTATTAAATCAGAATGTAGAACTTACCACAGAGTACAAACATGAGGTTGAAAAATATTGGAAAGAAAAAATTCATAAAATTAATAACAATGCAGGATCAGTAAAATTCAAAGATAATTTTTACGTTTTATCAATGTTCCCATATCCATCAGGATCACTTCACATGGGGCATGTAAGAGTTTATGCAATTAGTGATACTGTTGCCAGATTTTACAGAATGCAAGGTAAACCTAAATAACTTTCTTTTTAAGAATCTTAAAATAATAAGCATTTTGTAATAACTATAGGACTAAATGTCATTCATCCAATGGGTTGGGATGCATTTGGTTTACCTGCTGAAAATGCAGCTATCGAGAGGAAAGTTAATCCTGCAAATTGGACAGAAAAAAATATCAAAAACATGAAAGAGCAGCTGCATGAGTTAGGATGTACATTTGATGCTCACAGAGAATTAGCAACTTGCCACCCAGATTATTACAAATGGACTCAAGAACTTTTTCTTAAATTGTTTGAAAATGATCTGCTTTATCAAAAAGAAACATTTGTTAATTGGGATCCAGTAGATCAAACAGTACTTGCTGATGAGCAAGTTGACGAAAATTACAGATCTTGGCGATCAGGTGCTGTTGTTGAGAAAAGACTACTGAGACAGTGGTTTATTAAAACTACAGCATATGCAGAGTAAGCATCAATTGAACTTGAAAGGGACATATAAAAAAGTATTCAATCTAACAAATTATTTTGTTTTGTTTTTCAGATCATTATTAGAAGGCTTAAGAGATAGAATGTTGAAGGATTGGAAAGATATCATCAAAATACAGGAACACTGGATTGGTGAGTGCACAGGTACAAACATTGATTTTCAATTGATATCTGATATCTCTGGTTACCCGTCATTGTTAACTTTGTGGACTGATAAACCTGAGTTTATTGAGAATGCTAAGTTCTTGGCATTATCAAAGAATAATATTTTGGCTAATATTGAGAAATCTGACTCTAACAGTGTTATTAGGAAACTGAAAGCTAAAATTGTGAATCCTTTCACCAATGAAAAACTGCCAATATTTGTTACTGACACAGGTATGGTATTTTTAAGCTCCCAAAAATATATTTTTAAACATCAAATTATGGTGTAAATTCACGAATGGATTTTTTTTTATAGAATCTTTACCATACCCTGCCTTCAGAGACGATTATCTAGGCATTCCGTGTTCTGAAGTTGACATAGCATTTTGCGAAGCTAACAACATTAAATATGAAGTTCCACCGATCTATTCAGTTCAAGAGCTCCAAGAAAAACGACTTGATGTCCTCCGAATCGCGAAAAAATTAAAAATTGGTGGTTACTTAGTAAGCTCAAAATTAAGAGATTGGTTAATATCACGTCAGAGATACTGGGGAACCCCAATACCAATTGTTCATTGTGAAAATTGCGGTCCTCAACCAGTGCCCAGAGAGCAGTTACCAGTTGTACTTCCAGAACTAAGCAGATCATCCACAAGTCAAAGTTTGACTTTGAAAAATGCCGAGGATTGGATAAAAACTTCATGCCCCAAATGCAACGGTCCTGCAAAGCGAGAAACGGATACAATGGATACTTTTGTCGACAGCTCGTGGTATTTCATGAGGTACATCGATCCCAAAAATCAAAACCAAATGTTCTCCAAGGAAAATGCTTATCGTTATTTACCGGTAGATTTGTACGTTGGTGGCAAAGAACACGGTATTAACTTGAAAAATATCCATTTTTTTCAGAGTTTTGATAGATTGATAAATTATTAAAATTCAACTTGCAGCTGTACTTCATCTGTACTATGCTCGTTTCATCAATCACTTCCTTTATGATCTTGGGCTGGTCCCCACGAGAGAACCTTTCAAACAGCTTTTAGTTCAAGGAATGGTAATGGGTCAGTCATACTGCAATAAGGCTGGCAAATACTTGAAACCGCAGGATATCTTGATCTCAGACGATGGTTACGTTGAAAAGGAAACTGGAGAGCCTGTCGTTGCGACCTGGGAAAAGATGTCTAAATCTAAATATAACGGTGTCGATCCGACTAATATGTTCAAAGAGTACAGTGCTGATACTATTAGGTTATTGATGTTGGCTGATGTTGCGCCGACTTCTAATAGGCATTGGTCTAAAGACAGTTAGTCGATAAAATTTTTTGAAAAACTTTTAACACTGTTTATATATCGTGGTTTTGTTTGAAATTTACAGCATTTCCAGGCATTCTAAACTGGCAAAAGCGCCTCTGGCAAATGCTACGTGATTTCATCTCAGCTCGTCAGTCTCTTACACCAGCCGACTTGGAAACCCGTCCAAAAGACGTTAAATTCATCAAGGAAGACGACAACATGTTCGACAGCCGTAATTACTATGTACATGGAGTGACGTTCAACATCATAAGCTCACAGCAGTTAAGTGTGGCCATTTCAAAAATGCAGGGTCTTACTAATGACATTCGCAAAGCTTCAAAGCTCTGCATAGCTCGAAGTCGCGAATATGAACGTGCACTCGCCGTTCAAATTATTATGCTTGCACCGTTCGCGCCACATTTCGCCTCTGAATTGTGGGCTGGCTTTTGTATGGCTAAACATAGAATTGTAGATGATGGGGAAATTCAGTGGGATAAGGATGTTCTGGAACAACGCTGGCCGGAAGTTGATATGGAGTATAAGCTCAAAGTTCGCGTGAAGGTACGACTTGCAAATTTGTGAAGTTTTCTATTCTTTATTCAAATTTCTAAAATTATCCATTATAGGTGAACAATAAAGAACTTATGACACTGCGAGTGATGCGCCGGGACTTGGATGTGATGACGAAAGACGACGTCTTGCGGATAGTAATGCAGGAGCTCAAGTTTCAAAAGCAAATGAAAGACCGTAAGATCACCAAAGTTATTTATCGATCAGATATAGGCTGTGGAGCAAGCATTACAATAATTGCTAAGAAGATTCAGGAAGAGAGTTTGCCGCAGGAGGAAGCTTTATAGTTTGACGTTAAGTTATTTATGATTGTTTAAGTTGCTTTTTAATTTTTAGTTTAAGTTGTAATATATATGTAAATAAAAAGTATTGCTTATTGTAAAAAATGTAGATTTTACTTAGATTCAGTCATGCCGTTGTAACCGTTCTAGCGAAATGATTTTAAAAATTGCATGTAATCTACTGGAATTTGATAATTTTTTACTGGTAAAACAAATAATTAAGTAGCTCAAGATTTCTTTTTAAATGAAATTTTATTTACAAGTAGACGTACGGTTGTCTATTTTCTAATAGTTTTCTAGATTGTTGCTCTAGATTCGTAATAATCATTTGGCAATTTGCATTGTTAATAAACCTCGTAATTTAATCTCCTCTTCAATTCTAGTCTCAATGCTAACATTCTTTAGAAAAAAATAGATCTTATCATTTATATTGTCCTGATTGTCCTGATTTTTCCAGAAACACACAGGGTTCAAAGTAACATAAGAAAGACGTTATATCTTGTTTCATAGTGTGTAAATTCGATGTTTACGATAAATGCTTATTAATTAAGAGTTTTATTGTTTCGCCTACAGAATGCGCATTTGAAATATTCACGAATAAATAATTTTCGACGGAAATAGGAGGTAAAGTTTTTTCGCAGTACGAAAGAACATTATTACACGACGCGATAATATGTCATGGTAGTTTTCGTCTATTTTTATTTTAAACATTTCTTTTATTTAATTGAAGATAATTTTTGTACAAATATGTTAAATAAAATCACGTTCCCTTAATGTATTAGATTTATTAATATTAATTTGTAAAATATTTTATAATCTTTATAGAAAAAAATTGTTATAAGTTAAAAAATATTGTCACTGTGTTACGCAGTTACTCTGCCCAAAAATGATCAGTAGTAAATCTCACATTGCACAATATGGTCTTATTAACTCCTTTATGGCTATAAAGTTAAATGTAAATGTAAGTACTGAACTGTGTAAATCATTATAAAAATTTTATAATACTTACAATATTTACTGGACCTTTATAATTATTATGACGAAATGAATTCAAGAATTTCAAATAATATGTAGGAATCTGGTATTCTTTAGCACCTTCTATAATTCTATTCCTGCAATTAAAAATTTTGCATACATTTTTTATTCAATAAATCTCTAGCAGTTAGTGTTAATTATAAAAAGTGATAATTTTAGTTTTAATAAAATAGAATAGAACTTGCATGTATGCAAGGGAAGGTTGTCTTTCAGGAGGTAATTCATTTGGTTGGATATACTCGTCCGGTAATTGAGTTTGTTGGTAAGTTCTACACTCTACATCGTCACCATTTAAGGTTTGGACAGTAACATTTTTAACTAAATATATGCCAGCATCCACACCTTCTTGCTTATCCAAATTTGGCATATCCTTCATATCTATTTCCCAAATCACTCCCCAAACTTCAGAACTCCGACTTGGTACAATTGTTGCAGAACATCCATGCCAATTATCAGAATATCTTATGAAATCCAATCGATAATCCTATAGAAAAAATATAGAGGGTATTAATAAATCAATTATTGATAATAACTATATAAAATGGAAGTACAAACATCTATTTTTCCAATTCCTTTTTGTTTAGCTGATGGACTATTTTTGTGTATTCTGTCTGACTGCATATTACTGCCATATGAGAAGTACATGAATGATTTTTGAGCCATATTTGATTGTATTTGTTCACCATAAAACTGGACAAGTAATATTTCCTTTTAATTCTTCTTAATAATCTAAAATCTCAAATGGTATTAAAAACAATTGATTTAAATTATTATTAAAAGTACTTGAATAAGTAAAATAAACAACAAGAAAATGTTTGGTTATCAAAAAACATTTTAAATACAATAAAAAATAACCTATCCAGTTATAAATATTTAATATAATATTATGAGGCTTACAATTATCATGTATCACAAATTTGATAGCCACGTAATTAAAAGGACTATTAGACGTGGCACTAGTTAAAAAACGCACAACAATGCAAAATTTTTTTCAAAAACAAAAATTTCTTGAAACGTCATAGATCTAAGAACCACTAGGGACTTATTTCATCAATAAGCAACAACCATCACGTGATTAATTACCGGCTACTATCCCGCCAATCGAAAACAGCTGTTTGCCGGCCAATGAGGGAAAGGCATCTCAACAAAATAACCCGCGAAAAAGCATTACATACTATATATACATGTATATGCAGTAGATTGTACATACACAGTAAAGATGGCCTTTGTTGTGGTCGTTTGCGCCCATTCTTAGGTGATTTTTTAAGTAAATTATTATTATTCCGTTGATATTTTGTTTTCGAGAGTGTAGCATTTGATGAGATAAGAGCACAATGATTGTGGACGTTTTGCTACCGTCAGAGATCGCAAGACTTGTTTACGGTGAGTTTTGTATTTACTTTTTTGAGAAAATGCTAACCTCTCCTAAGCGTGACCTTTTTTTACGAAATTCTTTAAAGTTGATGTGATATTTAAATAAGAAAATACATTCGTGGCATTATTTAAACTTGAAAGTGAACGAAAGATGTCACACAGTTGCAAAGAAAGCAAAAGTTTCTTTGTATGTGTTGTTGATGTTTATATTTATTTAATCATTAAATACTACCACAAGCTTTTAAGAATAATGTTAATGAAATTATGATAAAAGTGGTTTAATAATGGTTTTATTTTAATACTTAATCATTTTTGTAGATCTGTAATTTTGAATATATTTTAATCATCTATTTTTCTTTACACAGGATATCTGTTGGAAGAAAAGTGTACAGAGTCAGCAAAAACTTTTTTAAATGAATCTCAGAACTTGTACGAATGTCGTAATTTTTTACAGTTTGGGAAGGCTATCCCAAGTCGTATTCATGGATATGCATTGTTGAATATGTTGGAAACATTTTGCTCAATCAATTCCATTGGTAGTCTAAATTCAATACAAGGATTAGTTATTAATTTAAATACAGTTATTAATTTAATAATTTTTTTCATTTTAGTACAAGATCAACTAACTCTTTTTGATAGTACACACAAAATAAGAAAATGTAATGATATTATTACTCAAATAAAGTTCCTATTGGAAGAGTGTAGAAATAAGACTCTTCACAGCACAAGTGAACCAGTTCAGGTATAACATGAAAAATTATACTTCTTAATAGTTTATTAAGATTGGATTGCATCACAATATATTTTACCTTTTTAAAAATTTTAGAGCATAAATACAGTTGTTAATGGGACCCCTTCAAAAATTTATAAAAAACGTCATTCTGGTAAAAATGAAAATGAATCAAATGTAGCAATACAATCTGATGATGGATATCAAACTGAAACCCCACCAGAATCTAGTTCATGTGTGTAAAAGAAATTACAGCAATTTTTATATATATTTTATTCAATGATTCTTATTATTATAAATACACTTTTGCAGTACACAATATCTCATCAGTAGAAGCTACACCACTTGAACATTTACCTGGATATACTGAAAATTTACAAAATACAAAATGTGAGACATCTCAGTCTATGACAGTCAAAACTCCAATAAAAACAACAAATAAGTTTATTCAAAGTCAACAGATTGTAAAAAACGTTACATCTCAAGCAGTACAAACTTTATTAAAAGATGCACAAACACAGGTTCATCAAGCTTCTCAAACAGAAAAGACATTTCAATCTCAAGAAGTGCAAACGTCAAAGGGAGAACCTGATAAATTAGTACCTAAGTTAATTGCAAATAGTATTCTCAAATTAACAAATAAGAATCATAAAGGATTTGAAGAAAATCTAAATAGATTGACCACTGATGTTTCAGTGATTCATGTACAGAATAATTTATCCAACTTTTTTGATCCTAAAAATTTAACGCCTGAAACTAATTTATGTAATGATTTGGAAAATTGTGGCAGTGATCAAGAGGTAATCAATTTAGATAACAATGAAGATCAAAACTATCTGGAATCTGCAAGACAAATCGATCCAGGAATTAAGGTATCTGAAGCGTGCATTGAAATCTTGGAAGTAAGTGTTACAAATTTTTGTCTACTTATTTATAATGCAACAATAATAAAAATATTTTATTTTCAGGATGTGCAATCTGAACTTCTGAGTAGGACAGAAATACATGAAAAGATAGCCAGCAATATCAATAAATCAATGAAACATACACAATTACAATCTATTCAAGAAAGCGGAAGTGACGGGACCGCTTCGTTTATAAATGAGCTAGATAAAATAGTTGGAACAGCTGTAGATATAACTGAAAACGATCCAATGTTCATTGAGTTGCTCAACTCTGTTATTCAACTTGATGACCATATATCGAGTTCGGAAGAAATTGAAATGGATATTGATAAGTAAGACAATTTATTTTATTAACAAACGGTATATGATTTACGGGTAGCTGTTGATATTATTATTTAAATAACATAATATCTAAAATTTTCTTCAGTTGTCAAAATCCTAATTTTGAAGAAAACATTTCTAATGAAAATGTAACCATTGCGGAAGAAATCAATCAATCTAATCCACAAGTTATTAATACTGATAGTATGAATATAACTCCAGTCATAGAAAGCGTACTACTTACTGAAAAATTAGAAATGATTAAAGAAGGCACCTCAACTCAAAATACAATCGTTCTTGAATCCGTTTGCGATGGGATATGTCTGGCTAATCAAAATACTACATCTAACCATATGCTAAATAATGTAGGTCTGGACGAGCAATGTCCAGTTAATGCAATGCAACCATCATTTTTTGACAAGAATTTTCTAAATTCTTCAGAGTTTTCAGACCATAAAAGGTCTACGCCTCTGAAACTTTTTACAGCGACACAAAATTATGATAGTAGCGAGTGGTTTTCAACTGAACCATTATTTTTGTCGAATACTGTTCCTATCAAAGAATCCATAGTTGTAGGCATGAATGGTAAATTTCTCTGAATAGAATTATTTATTACAAACAATCTTTTCTAATCAGTTTTAACTATAATTCTGCAATTCGTTATAGATATTCAAACTGCTACTGAAAATATCGTGAGTCCTGTCGATAGTTTTATATCGCCAATTATCAGCAAAGGTATTATATTAAAACTTTTCTTTGCATTAAAATTTTTGTATTGTCAATTTTGTATATTTTTCAGAGAACATTAAAATAGCGGAAAGAACATCGTTAATTTGTACAATTGAAAATTCTAAAACAGGTCAGAATGCGAAATTAATCTATTTACTATTTATGACAAAAAAAACGATGTTTATCATTTTAAAACTTTGTAATATTTTTTTAGATGATACTTTGCACACGCCAGACATTCCATCAGTAACAAAATCTTTCATTCCAATTATGCCAGTTCCAGTGCTTCCAGTCATGAACGTTCAATCAGGGAACAAAGCTCTTGATTTACCGAAAAATAATGACGGAGAAAACGTACCTTCAACCCTTCAAACATCGCCGAGATTTATTAGCATATCGTCGCTTGTCAAAAATACCGAATTCAACAGATACTTTAGCATTGAATCAATTACGGTTTCTCGAATGGAAAATACTGTCAATAGTGTACAAAATTCACCGACAGCACAAGAAATTGAAGTCGACGATTCGGTTGAATTTACAGAAAAAAGGTTTTCTCCGTGTTTAAAAATGTACAAAAAAACTGAAGATAACGCAGAGTCTGAAAAAAATAAAAGTAGTAATGGTACAGCAGTCAATAAAATTGAAGATTTTGAAGACTGTAAAATGAAAAATATTCAGAAGGTAATGTTAAACCCTGTTGTCAATCCATCAGCTAATGATATTGTTGCACAAACTACTGTAATTGAAGATAAAGAAACTTTAGAAGACGTACTGATTGGTGAAACTAATAAAAAAATTGAAAAAAATGAAGACGTAGCGTCAAAAGCTCAAAAAGTTGATATTAACAATGATATCAATGGAGATTCTACATTCAAGGATGTATCAAACACAGCTAATAATAAAACCAATAACAAGGTAGAAGATGATATAGAACAAATTATTAAAACTGTAGTCGGCGAAACCAATCAAATAAATAAATGTAGTGAAGAAAACAGTTCAGGTATGACAAATAAAATTCACAATCAGATGAATGTTATGACTAAGAATGTTCCAACATTAAATCAAACTGTAAATATAATAAATATTGAGCCAAAAGATCAAGTAGGATCAAATAAAAAAGAATCACTGAAAAGCTTGATCTGCAAAACTTTTGAACCGTATATCGACAAAAATAAAGATAATATTGCATCAAACTATAAGTAAGTTAAATAAGATTTTACATAATTTAACTCAACATCATTTACAATTTTTTCCTTTACAGCAACGAAGTCTTAACAAGAAATACGCCAAACATATTAGTAGAGGAACCGGCAAAGAGTCAAAGAAGGAGTCTATCCACACCGAAAAAACCGAATAGTCATATAAGGGCTCTAACTTTTGAAACACCAATTTATTCACGATCAGATAGTAAAATTAATGATATAACTCAATGCGCATCGTCTGAATCGGCAAAAAGAAATTTGAAAAGGTTACACGAGTCTTTTCAGTCGCCGCCTGTCATTCATTATGATACTGATAACCAAGTGCATGACAGTGGAGGTATAGCAATTAGTAAATTAGTTTATTTCATAAATATAAATTTTATTATTCAACCATATAATTTTAACCATGTTATTTTCAGTTTTACAAGCATCGACAGCAGTAGCTAATATAGTGGCTGAAAAAGAAAACTTGGGGGCTGAAAAGACATTTGGCGCAGATGGACAGTTATCAAAAGAGAAAGACATGAAAAAAGAAGATACTAAAAAAACATGGGATTGTGATTTAAGAATGCTTTGTCATACGTTAGAACCACCGATAGTAGAAATACCTGAAAGAAATTGCAAAATAAAATCTAAAGAAGAAGGTTTCATTAAGAAAAAGAAAAGAGGTAAATTTAAAACACCACGCAATGAGAAAAAAAGTCCATATAATAAAACATCAAAAATGATCGAAAAAAAGACGCCAAAGAAGATGAAAAAACATGGCAGAACAAGCGAGCATAAAGATCACAAAAGTAAGGTTGGCAGAGATAAAAATACTAAAGCTGAAAATAAATTGTCTGCGAAAGAATGTAAAGACATAAGCGCTCAAATCGAGAACAATTTGTTGTCTAACGATAAAACTGTGAGTAAAGATGAAATCAATAAGGTTAGCGATAAATTGTCTACGAAAGAATGTAAAGATATAAGCGCTCAAATTGAGAGTAATCTATTATCAAACAATAAAACTGTAAATAAAGAAATTAAGAAGGTTGATAATAGATTGTTTGTGAAAGAATGTAAAGATACATGTTCTCAAATTGGTTGTAATTTATTGTTAAATGAGAACGTTAAAGTTGAAATTAAGAGCAAAGATAATGAAAAATTACCCGTGAAAGAGAACACAAATATTTGCATAAAAAGCAACAAAAATTTAATAGAAAACCAAAACAAGAATGTTATAAACGAAGATAAAACTAATGTGAGATCAAATGAGAATAAGATCTTGCTTTACAACCAGAATAAAGTCACTGAAAATGATGGGAAGAAAGTTCGTAATAACGATAAAACGAATTCGTTATCTAGTAAAAGTGAAGAAAAGTCTAGTAAATTAGAAATCCATTTGAATAGGGAACTAAATAATGAAGAAGTTATAAACAATGTGAATAAAAATCAGCGAATAACAATGGATTTTAAAAAGACAGAAGTAGTTTCTAACATAAAAATAATTTCAACTCAATCCGAAAGTAAGAAATTTCTACCAATTGTCTCTAAAACAACCACAAAGAAAGATTCGCTTGAGTACCTTTTATCCGATAGTGTCAACGACGACGAAGCCTTCAACGATATGATGGAAACGAGTTCCGCGAACATACGGTATCACGAGAAGTTGCCAGAAGTCGGAAAGTCGTTCGATAAAAACATTGTGGAAAAAATGGTACAAGACGAACAAGCCATTGCGACTGTTTTGAAAGAAGCAGATAATGCCATTAATAACAAGTATAAATTAAATGAACAAGACTTTTTCCCCGAGACGAGTTTGATGACAGACGTAGATGAGTCAGAAGAAGAAAGCGAGATACAGCAGGAAGTTGTGCCATTAAAGAAAGATGAAAAATTTATCGATAAGAAGATTGTAGAAGCGAATAATCTGCAACCTGATAAGAAAAACGAAAACCAACAACAAAATAAAAAACACACCAAACTAAATGAAACTATTAATAAGGTAAGAAAATCAAATTCAAAGTAGTCGTACTACTTGTATAGCTGTTTTGATATTATTTTATTGTATTTTTTTAATTAATTGATTTTACGTGTATCATTAACAGGTTCCAAGCACCTTATCAAAACGAACAGTAGACTATGACTCGATCGAAGAGCAATTGAGCATTCTAACAAACACGGAAGTATCATCTGCTCATAAGGTGATCTACGATCAAGTACACAAAATAGAGGATGGCAAAGTTGTAAGTAAAAAGTATGCTCGCTTGAAAACTATCGATACAAATTTAGCCACAAGCAAGAAACTGACGTCAATGAGCAGCCACAAGATAGCGCTTGATTCGTCATCATTAATAAAAGGTGACGACTCGATGGAAATGCCACCAACTCCACAAATCGCTGATCCTGGTAGTAACAGTTGGATACCTTTAATTAAGGAAGATTCGAGGACTATTTCATGTTCTATATCTACGCCACTCGAATGCCCACCTACCCCAAAGATCTTTATTACACCGCAAAAAGACGAGGAAAAGACTATTACTCATGTTGTTCTTCAAGTAATTTAAATTGATTGAATTTCGTTTTATTTTAATTATGCACCGCGTAGTTTTTAAGTTTATAATTAATTTTGCAGAAAGCGAAAATTGTTCCATCCTATCATTTGACGCCGATAACTTTTGAAACCACGAAACAGCCAGAAGTCACAGAATTCAAGGTAGTTAAAGAACTTCTGAAGAAAACGTCACCAAAAAATCCCAGCGTGAGAAAAGAAGAAGAAAGTAAAACTGATACCAAAATGTCAAAATTCATAGATTCAAGTGACAGGGATGAAAGTTCATTTCGCTTGAATAGCGAAGACTCTGACAGTTCGTCATCGTCCGATAGCAGTGATTCTTCGTCCTCGTCGTCTGATGACGACGACGATGGTTTGATACAATTTCCAGGTAATATTAAACATGTCATTCGATAATTCATCTACATTTTCAGATTTATTAAAAAGTTTGATAAATTTCAGTGCTCGCAAAGGTGAAAGAAGACACTGAAGAAGTTAATTCAAATTTCGAAAAGAAACTACAGCCATTTATTTATGACGAACATATAGTAGCTGGAAACGAGATCATGTTCGTTGAACATGAAGAGGTTGTCATAGCACAAGAGTCGTCGCCTACAAAAGTATTTTCTATTCACAAAACCGACAAGGAGCTTGAAGAGGTTATTAAAGAGACTCCAGCGAAAGATGAGAATATGATTCCCGAGGAAGGAATTTTCGAGACACCCAACATCTCTAGACCACTAGACAATCCGACTAATCTTCATGCGAAAATTTCTCAAATCATGATTTTAAAAGAACAAGAAAATAGACGTCTCGAAGATCAGCAAAAGTTGAAAATAAGCAATAGCGCGCAGTGTTCGCCAAAAGATGAATTGGATAGTTACAAGCCACAAGTAAAATCTGCATCACAGGTAAAAAGTGTGATGATTGAGAAGAGCGAGGTCGAGGTAGCTAAAGCAATAGAGAGTATTACCAACGAAAAATTTAACGAGAGTCAGGACGAATTCAATGTAAGTAATGGATGCACTATTTTACCAGAGGTGGAACCAGTCGACCGGGTAAAAAAAAGTGAGCTCACCAAAGCGATTCAAAGTATTACTAACAATATTAAAGAAAAGAGCAACGAATCATTGAGCGACTATGACAATAGTTGCATTGGCGAATCAAATCTCGAACTAATTTGTAAAGATAATGAGGTTAAATCTGTGCATTGTGAGCTTAATATTGAAACATTGGCGGACGATTCACTTGGATTTGAAAACAGCGAAATTCAGAACACCGAGTTTCACATCATTTTTAACGAGGCAAATTATAAGAAAAAAAGGAGAACAGAGTTTTTCACTGATGATGAGATGACATTTACTCCGGCAGACGAAGACGGCAATATATTTGCTACAATTGCTCCTACTTGTGTCGATATTTTGCTTAATCTTGTACCTCCTAAGAAAAAATCAGGACCGAAAAAGAAAATTAAGGAAGAGGTCAAGGAAGAGGAAGAGGAGGAATTCGATGATGGGGATTCATCAGAAGATTTTATACCTACTAAGAATACTAGAGGTAAGAATAAAAAGTTCTATTGTAATCTGAGTTAAAAAAGTACTGTTTATTTTTAAAATTAAATGCTATAACTTAAAAATATTAAAATATGAAGTACTTTTTTCTCTTCTTAATTGATTTTCATGTATCCAACTAAGACTTTCCTTCAAATTAACTGTTTGTTTTTACTTGTAGGAGGTACAAAGCGTAAAAAGTTGACAGATCAGCCTAAATCAAGAAAACGAAAAAAGAACATGTTTATATACTGAACATCGGATACTGACAAATATTAAGCACTTAAGGTAAACCCTAAAGACTAAAGTTAACATCATAGGTAGTACACTTTTAAAAATACGGAGTATTATTTCGTGAGTTCTATCAATAAAAAGTTTTATTGCATCATTATTTTTATTTTATCAAAATAAAGCTAGAATCAAGTCACTTAATGTCAAATTTAAAATATTTAATCAAACCAGATGTTAAGTGATTTACAAAATATTTTGAAGATAGATAAATGTAATGATAAATAGAGAGAATATTGTTACTAGTCAGATATCAATTTTATAATTGTTATTTGTTTTCTTTCTCACAGAAAGTTTTTATACGTGAGACGTTTTGAAAATTTACAAGCAGGATTGTAAAATTTAGTTTTTATACTCTTTATTACTATGATATTTACGGTTTGGATTATATACAATTCATTACTCATTTTGGATTAATTTTATGTTATTCTGGGTAGTCTTGTTCATTACATGAAAGAGCAATAGCCCAATCAAAAATCCCGTTATAAAAAATCAAATCTGTTTCCGAGACGGATGATTTAATAATTTTAACATTAAGCAAGTGATATCAAGAGCTTTTCAGCATAGCTCTATAGCGAGTTCATGGAATGTTACTTGTACGATCTTCGTGCAGCAGTAATTACACTTTTTCAAATTTTAGCTGGTAAAGTTTGTATCATTTTTTTAAGCAACTCTGTTCAGTTAGATTAAAAAATTATCTATTAATTTATTTCGATCTGGTACGTGTATGTGTGTGTATGTGTATGTACATATATGAATGTGTGTATATATATGTGTGTGCGTGCGCGTATGTGTGTACGCGCGTGTGTGTAAAAATTTATATTTTTCATACGTTAAATATAAAAATTTCTAAAATATATATTGCTTTATACTTTTGCTTAACCATTTTTTATAAGTAAAATTTCAATAAAACAAACGACGTGCGGTATGTGTATGTTAGCAATATTTTTTAACCGTCTTTTCTCATAAATTAAAAAAATGTCTAATAATGCCAAAGACAAAGCTTTAAAGAATAATCATATTAAAAGAGGTATCTAAAAATAAATATTAATTCCGAAATTTACAATCAAATTACAAATTTCTTTGTATAATTCAGAAGACAGTGAATTGATGCAAGAACTATTAGAAGAATATTTTCCAAAACCAGAAGCTAATAGATGCGAAATTTTTGCTTTGTACGATTTGAATAAGCTTGAAAACGAAAAAAGACGGTGCTATTCTCTAAAAAATCCAAAGTTGTATAATGGTTGGAGAGAATTCATAAAAAATTTACCAAAATCAAATGAGGAAGTGATACTTGCTCCCCAAGAAAAGTATATAACAGTAAACACATATTATGCACGGTTTTTTAGTTGAAAATTGTAACGTAGGTACTGGCGTTGGCAAATGTATAAAAAATACATTCCTGAAGACCGAACGTATTTTCGAAAAACAATGAGAAGTGGGCCAGGAGTTGACAAATTTGGAATATTACCAATGACTGTTGAAGACTTGCGTTTATATCGACAACCACATAAGAAAAGAAATTATTTCCCGCGTATAGAAGAAATTAGTAAGCAATCACGATTCTTACACGCTTATTCATTTTTCAGTAAGTTTTCTGATTATCTTTCGTGTTATAAATAATATTTGACACGAACTTAGTGTCGGGTTTGCTTTTGATGGTTTAATCGCAATAATTTTTAGAAGTGCAGTAAGAATTATTTTTACTTTATCTTTTATCATGGTTTTTTTAATTTGTTAGCGATTTTTGAATTTGAAAGAATGTAGACGATAGTATACAGTTTCATATAAGATTGAAATGAATTTTAATCGTTGTCAAACTTAGACGTACTAATGACATTTTAATTGATCTATTATGATGAATTATAGATTTACTGATGTAAATGTATCATCTATCAATTTTTTACATTATGTGTTCTATTTTTTTTATGTGATGTACGCAAAATATTTAATTTATTATTACAATACCATTGGACGTATTATGAGCAATCAAACTTTATCACGTAGAAATAGATTTAGACTACTCGGAATAATTTAATATTAATTTTCTAAATGTCATTCATTTTACTACCCTAGTTATGCACAATTTACTTTTATTAGAAAAAAAAATCACTATAATAATGGATGATAGAAACACTGAACGGATATTATTATAAACAGCAGATGTATTTCGCCAATCTAAATTAATATCATCATTCGTAATTAAAAGTACTAATATGTTATAACGATCATTTGTATGTATAAAAAATTATTCAATCGAATTTATAATTATTATAAACTTCGCGGAACATATCTCGACAATTAATTTTAACATTCAGTTTTGCACACAATAAAAATACTCCGGATAGTTTTCTATGAAGGCTGTAAATTTCTTCAGGTGGAGGGCAAAGGCGGTGATGTACGATCGTCGGTACTAAAGCTTGAATTCTGAAATTGATAATAAAAGTAATAATAATCTTGTTTTACGACTAAAAAGTCATCTACTACTATTAAATGGTATTTTGTTACCTTCTAGTGACATCTTGGCCGCCAAAATCAAAGTATTCGTGATCTCTATCAAAAACTTGTCCTAAAATCATCACTGCATCAACGTGCGCTTCTTCCATTATCTGCCAAATAAAACAAGTCTTAATTAAATAACACTCTGGGACGAAAGAAAAATTAATAATAAGAATTTTTATTCGTCACACCTTAGATTCATAACCAGTTAGAAATCCCATTTCTCTGGATATCGTTAATACTTTATGCCTATCTCCTTCACTAGCACCATTGATGACTTCGATATATTTATTCATGAATTCCTTAGTGTAGCTTCTGCATGCTCCAAAATCTAGAAGGATCATCTGTAATTGACGTTTATTTTTAAGAATTAAGCGATGAACACGTTTCTATATCATCATATTATACCTGTTTAGTTTTAGTATTATAGAAAAAGTTAGACCAATTGGGATCGGTCTGCATATAACGGAATTCAAATAATTCTTTCAAACATAAACGCATGATGAGCTTACAGATGTGATCTCTCGTTTCTCGATCTGCATCAGCACACTTGTCTACCGGTATCCCTTCGATAAGTTCTGTCGTAAATACTTGAGCTGTGCATAGATTATCTAAAAAACAAAACTATATTTTTATAAATGTTCGAATTTCTCATCTTAAAAAACTACATCAGAGAAAAAAAAATTTACCGATAACTTCAGGTACATAATATTCAGGATAAGGCTCAACAAGTTTTCTATATAATTTAGTACATTCAGCTTCCCTGATATAATCCACTTCCCATGCTAGCTCCTTTTTAGCTACTTCAACTACATTGTCGATAAACATTCCTTCAGGAAACATATTCCATACCTTAAAAATCAAAAACTTACTTTATTCATCCAATTTCTTCAGTTTAATAGTATAGTTAAAATGTATAAAATACAAACTTTCATAACTCCAACTAGATTTTCAATGTCGCTCTGTATACCAGCTGCTACACCTGGATACTGAATTTTCATTGCAACAGGTCTCCCATCTAATAAAGTCGCGTGATGAACTTGTCCTAAAGAATAAATATATTAATTAAGCAAATGAAATACAATTTATTCTCCGACTTTGCAGAATATTACAAACCAATAGAAGCAGCTGCAAACGGTTTTTCATCAAACGTCGCTAGTTTACCTTGCCAACCATGTCCCAGTTCATTATCAAGAACTTTCTAAAATAGAAATACATGAATGTAATAATATATTTAAAAAAATCTCAAAATTAAAAATTGAAATATGAAAAAATAATATTACATGTACTTGCCAAGTCGGCATGAAATCTGCGCTTTGCCTGACTCTCTCGAAAGCTTTCTGCAATTCAGGACTGATAATTGTGTTATCTTGAATACTGAGAATTTGGCCAATTTTCAAAGCTGCTCCTCTCACTTTGCAGAGTGTCGAAACAATTCGTTCAGCATTCGCTTTCGTGAGAAACATACTGTCAAGAGTTTGACCAACACTTTGTTCTTTTAGTCCTAAAGTTCTACGTGTATACTCTGCTATTGTACCAACTCCAAGCCCTACTCCAAGGGTACCAAAGCTGATCATTCTGCCTATCCTGGTTGACGGTACCTTTCTTGCTTTGGCACTGTGTGATAACTGTAAGAATGACACAAAATATTATAGTAAAATTTTAAGTAATCATACATATTTTAATACTAACTGTATCCTTTGGTTTAACATTTGCATCTGGACGTGGTATTTGTTTTGCTTTGACTTTTTCTTTGGTTTGATTAATTCTTGCAGATTGTATGGAGATTCGTTGATCTGGCTTTTGATTCTCTGATCCTTTCTTTTTGATTTTTTTCTCATGCTCTTCCTCCAATTTTTTCAATAATTGTTTATCTTTTTCTGATAATTCTATAGGTGGTATTTCTAAGCTACCTGTGCCAATAGTCTCAATTTTTTGTTTCACACTTGCATACTTGATAGGAGACTGTTTGCTTTTATCGTTTGTTGCTGTATATTGTGCAGTTTGACTACTTTTCTCAGAGCTTTTAAAATTTTCACTATGAGGTTCATATGTGTCTGGAGGCACTTCTTTGGGGTCTTTTGCTGGATTGTAGACATATAATTTTTTACTTAATTCATTCAGATCTGCTTTGAGCAGATTGGATAAACTTTTTGATCCTAAAACTTCTTCAAGTCTTATTTTTGTATATTGAGAAAGACCCTTTTCAATAACGTATAATTTTTCTGCGAATTCCTTCAAGTCTTTCTTCATATTTTCCTGAAAAATGAATCTCATTAAAATTGATATTTGAAAGAATTATCAATTATTTACGTAGTTAAATATATATACGTATATATAATTTACAGTTTACTCTAAAATTCTAATTGAACAACTCTTTCCAAATAAGCCTACTTTTGGAAACTTACAGGAACCTTACTTGCATCTAATTCCCCTACTAATTTTTCCAAACCTTTAAACCCTTCATCAGTGATATTTTGAATTTTAGATTGTTTCACCATCTGAGGAAACTTTTTCTCTTGTTCTCGCAATACTGCATCAACAATAATTTTCATTCCACGAAGAATTGCAACAGCATCTGAAGTTTTACGACCTGCCATTTTCCCTAAAAATTGTCAATAACATTATTATAGTTAATTTAATAGAAACAGTGCAATTGTTGTACATAATTGACTTAATTTTGACTATTTAATGAAACCTTTATTAATGTTATGCTATTTATCTAGTAAAAATACGTGGTTAATAAAAAGAGAGTTTTTTAAATTACTTTTTGTTAGTGAATGTTTACAAGCTACACCCACATGTGACTGCACAAATTAATATCACTGCAACTGCAGGTAGGTGCACCTTAAAATAATTTTGAACTTGAATAGCAGACGAGGCCACGAGACACGAGATCTTGAAAATTACGTAAGCGAGGTTAGGTATATCGTTAGTATTTATTATTAAATTTTTATATGTATTATTTTATATAAAAATAAATATATTTTTGTCAAAAAATTTCTTGTATTTGGAAAAGTATATTTCTGTCAAATGCAGTAGTACTTGTTATTTGGTTAGTAAAAGAACGTAATTCTTATACGATGTGTAATTACGAATAAAGATTAAATATAAAACTAAATAAAATTTCCAAAAGATTTCTAATCCTTTTTGTAAACCTGCAATCTGTTACAACATAATTTTGCAGTTTTTATTTTATTTTTTGATCATATTTCAACATTAAATAGATGCACTGTAATTTATAAACGCGTAGTTACATTATTATCAATAAATAATATAGAAACTTTTTTTTTTTATTATTTAGGGTGTTTTTCAGGGTTGGGCAATTCTGTCAAAAAGCTTCCAGCAGTTGACAGAATCGCCCAACCCTGGTATTTTTGGATTAGTACTTTATGATACAAGTGCGGGATAGTATATTCCTGTCTCGTATGGCATTTACACTTTACACCCGAGCTAAGCGAGGGTGGAAATGTTCACGAGACGAAATTTTAGTACATTACGATACGAGTGCGGGAAAATGAGTTTCAGTTAGTATACTGACCAGTAACGATATGGCAACATCGCATCATTTTTTCAACGTACTAATGTTATGTGTACGTCAATCTCGTATCGTATGCATGGAGGTCTCCATGATCATATGTATATTCCCCTTATAAAAAAGTGGATGCCATATTGAAGCATTTTATTCGTGATCTAATTGGCTGAGATATAGTCACGTGATATGTTGTTATGGCAGCAAATATGCATGTCGATGTGATTTCGAGTTGTGATTTTAGTAATAAAAATTCATTTTATCACAATTGATACGGATAATTTTGAAGATAATGAAAATTAAAAAAGTGATGCTGCGTTATTATTTTTACTAAAATTATTTTTATAAATTATTTTTATAATTATTTATAAAATTATTTTTATAAAATGAGAATTTTATAAAACTAGCAGTAAGTAAATCGTTTGGTAAAATCGAGAGGTTACTATGCTTTTGAATTATTCTGATAATCTGATATTTAAACGTAATAAGATTGAAAAAAATGTTGTAATATCGTAATCTATTATTAAAAGAGCAGGATAAACGTTTAATAGTAATTTGACCTATATAGCTGAAAAGAACTATAGAGATTGTTTATGTTTGTTTTTGATATAATAATTCATGAATTTAGAATACGCGGAACTATTTTACTAATATAAGTTTTCCACCATGATGTGTTTTGTAACCGTTAAGTATGGTAATCGATATGACAAAAAATGAAAAAGTAGATGGAAGCGCATCCGATGTCGCTAATACACTAAGGGTCTGTCTCCATAGGGCCTGCCTGAGTCCGTCCGAGCCGGCCGAGATTTTTTATGGGCACGCCATCTCTATAATTTCGTGTTCATGCGTTTCTCGTATTGGCTGCGTCCGATCGGGCTCGTTTATGTAAACGCAGCCATTCACTATGAAACTCGCCATTGGATACGAAATTATAGAGATGGCGTGCCCATAAAAAATCTCGGCCGGCTCGGACGGACTCAGGCAGGCCCTATGGAGACAGACCCTAAAATGAACTTATTTAGAGATGAATCGTATAGTTCCAGATATCTAATGTTGAAAAAATGGTGCCCTGTTGCCAGATCTTTACTGGCCAATACACTGAAACTCATTTCGGAAAACATCCTTGGTTTCGAGCTTAAATCAATGGGAAGTTCGGGCCTTTCCACATTGGACTGAGAGAATGTGATATTTTTATTCTGTGTGATTTTACACCTTCCGGAACATTAGTATAGTTCACCGTCTACCATCTTATACGTATTCAATGGTTTAAGAAATGCAGAAGGCGCGCAAAATTTGTTCGTCTTCTTATCTTCTTAAACCGCAGAATATGTACACAGACGTAGATGATGGGTTGTACGAATGTTTTAGCAGGTACAAAATCACATAGAATAAAAACATCACAAGAATATTCCCTCAGCGTGGGAAGGTTCTTAATTCCTCAACACTCGCCTCAGCCCTCCTCGCCGCTCGCTGACTCGCCTGTCCAGTCCACTGTCCAGTCCAGCCCAGTCTTTTTCTTGAGCAGCTGGTCCACCTGGTGGTAGTTTTCTGACCCAAAACGTGACCCGCGAAGTTCGAAATCGACATTCGTGTCGTGGATTAAGCTTCACTAGCGTGGTTTCATCGACAAGGAAAATTTCAACCTAGTCTTTATCGTTTGGCTTAATCGACGAAATCAACTTCGATTTTGAACTAGGCCAAACGTACATACGGGTAGCGTATCACAAGCCCGTAGCGGAAGGATTACGTTCTGTAAGTGAAGTCGATATGTCGGACAGAATATTATTGAATTAGATGCAAGGACATAAAAGTTTATGGAAAACGAAGTTGAGATAACTGTTGGAAAATCATGCCTTGTGGCGCAAATTACGAATCAACTCGTGTTATAATCAGATCAACAGACGCAAGCAATACAGTGCTGATTCGAGTCTAGTGGGCGAAATATCCGTCGTTGGCGTCAGCTGCGTAAAGTTTACCTCCTGGAAATTGAGAGAGAGGATTTTGGCGAGCTTGCTAAGAACAAGAGAGTTGATACTGGCTGGCACGCGCACTACGTGCACCCCGCGGTGGTGTAGGTTAAGCGTTGCAATAGAGTCGTTAACAAAAGGGGTAAGTACTTATTGTCGTTGCCCGACGAGAAAGCCATTTGTTTTATTGTTTCATTAGCTAATCTCTTCAAAGGGATAAAGCATCGCTTCGTCGGCTTTTTTCCTGGTACCACCGCGGACAATTGCGCTGTTCGTAATGATCATCGCGCGACACTTATTTAGCGACAATCCATGTAATTTTCAAATGAGAATCCCTTCGAAATCATCGCTCGTCCACGGGTGAGCTCGCGCCGACCAATCGCGATCAAAACTTCGACTCGCTTCAGCAATCCAGCGCCGTACGCAAATACACTTTCATGCGGCTAGATTGACTCCTCGCCTGGATGGCTTGATCGTACTGTGCAACTTGTCCTTTGCACTTTTTGACCAGCAGCTATGCACGATACCGAGGCGCAGCACTCTTCTATACTCACCGAATGAATAAGGCGCGAGAGAGCTGCAAAAGTCAATCTCCCGAGACTCGAGTAAGCTTTCATCTCGCGTCACTGTTACGCTTACTCAAGTTACGGATGCCTTTGAAATTGCTTCTTCTCTTTCTCCCTGATGCTTTGCACTGACAATAAGATTCACCGAGAGCGTATTTTTGCGAGGGAAACGGACTGTAGACAGCTTCTTTTTAACTTTTGTTGAGCTTGTCATTCAATGACAAATGTTGTTAATTACTTTTCAGTGTTTTTTATTTTCGCTTTCGCCATTGCGTGCTGTCTTTCGCTTCAAACGTATTTTCCATTCAGACTTTTTGCATTTTCGGATATCCATCAAATTCAATTTCGACACGAATTAGTGACATTACTTTCCACCGAATTTGTTATCAATTCACGCGAAAATGCGCGTCACTCGGAAAGCGAATCGCAACGCATAACGTTGACATCGTGAGAAAAGTTCCGTCGGTGGAACTAAAAAAGCTCATCAATAGCGTGGGTAAGAGCGAACTTCCAGTGCTCACGAAATCGCCGCTTCATTTTGGCCGCGGTCTCGATCGACTCAATTTTCTGTCGCTCTGTTTGCGCGCAGACTGGACTGTTTGTCCGCGCGACGAGCGAACGAAAACGAAGAAGCTTATTGTGCCAACGCCGATCGAGCAGCGAACATTGGCCGCGCGAGCTCGTTGGCGAACGAAGCGAGAACGCGAGAGCAAAATGTCCCGCGGGACGCGCCGACGTGTCCGATGTGTTCCAGGTTGCGAGGTTGCGATTATGCAGCGGAATTCGCTCGGGGGTGTCCGTGTGCCTTAGCCCCCGATAAAACCCGCGCGAGGGTCACCCATAGCGTGCAATTGAAAATAAATCAACGAGGAAACTGTTTTAGCTATTAAAGTGATACTTTCAACTTGGTCCGGGATTCAGTGAGTGCGCTTTTTTTCAACGACACGGTTCACCGTAAGAACCTTCGGAATATTTGCTTGGTCTTTTTGGGCTTCGCGATTTTCGGCGACGCTTTAAAGCTTGGACTATCTTGTCATCAAAATTTGAATCGAAATGCTTTTAAACTTACCTACGCCGTTGATGGGCGTGCACGGCAAAATTAGATTGAACATGGGCCTTCGTCGGAGTCTAATCTCGTAAGTGATATCTGGATACGGCTCGGGACAGCTTCGAGTAGAACTACACGTTGCGCGTAGCCGAGAAATTGACGAGCTCGAACTAGCCATTCGCTATGGTAATTGCTCACGTCACCCTGCTCCCTCTGTCTCTTCAACTCCAGCTGCAGAAGCAGCCACGTTTCTTTGCGATGCTTTGAGTCTCGGGCCTATTTTAATCAAGATCTGCCTTATCCCATTTAATTTCAAATAAAATTACGTCTCACGACACGTGTTGTTTTTTAGAAGGTGCTAGTGTTGCTCTTTCTTTGATTTTTCTGTTTTACATGATAATTTTGAGATTATAATGGTATTTACGCATAGACAAATTATGACGTTTAAAATATACTAAATCCGTAGATATTCATTAATAAATAAAAATAGAATTTGCACTGATTTTTTCTAAAAAATCGTTCAACTTTTACTCGTTATAAGGTGATCAAAACCTATGATTAATAATATTATACTATTATACAGTACTGAACCTTACATACTCAATACATGTGATTACGGCCCCATTCTTACATTAATATGAGTAATACATTTAATATCGTGCTTTTGTGTTGCCTTGTCAAAAACACCTGTAAAAATTCTTCTAATTTAACGAATTTAATATTATGATAATTAGTTTTTGTTGACTGCATACTTCTTCATTTTCAATATACGAAAGATATAAATGTATTTTCCTCCGGTCTATTCATCATCGCTCTCTTCCAACCCAGTTTTAAGACAATAATAATTTTTTTATCACAAGTGATTATAAAATTATTGATTTATACTAATAATTTTACAACATAACCTCTTATTTTCTTAAAACGATTTATTAACTGCATATTTCTATTTTTGTATATTATTGTTCATTTTTATCATTCATAACTTAAATTTACTACAAAAATATAAATATCATACTTCTGAATTTATAATACAACTATTTTAAAGTATATAAAAATTCAAAGTTTCGCGCTCTTTCTTCGCATCAACCAATTACAACGCTGCATGCTGCGACGGTTCTCTTTTTGAAGATAGGAGATGGCGTGAGTTGTAAAGTAGCGCGCATGTATTGGTGTGGGTGCCCAAAAAATTATTCTCTTTCTAGCTCTTGAGCAGCAGCGGCGCTTGCCATATAGGTTCTGGCGCAAACAACTACTACGGAGGATTTGCGGTTGCAGTGAGGAGGCTTCGTTTGCACCGCACACTCGGCACTGCTGACCGGCGAGAACAGAAACACTCCTCGAGAAGTGATCATGTCGTCGGCACCTAACACCGGTGTTGGTAAGTTATCGTATATTTTACCCGGCCTCTCTCTTTCTCTTTCTCTCTCTTTCTCTCTCTCTCTAGGAGTTCCGTTGACGAACTTGTTAACCTTACGGGTGGGTCACTCCGAAAAAATGAGAAACTACACCACAATTTATTATTTTTTTAATGGAATTTTTTCCTTACGTAGCCAATATTTTCTTACAGTTGTACCAAGAAATTTCCGCTTACTAGAGGAACTTGAGCAGGGACAAAAAGGAGTCGGAGACGGCACGATCAGCTGGGGTCTTGAGAATGATGATGATATGACGTTAACCCACTGGACTGGCATGATCATTGGGCCTCCCAGAGTAAGTTATCTCGTTTAGATGTTTTCTAGACACCTTTTGTAAACTTTTAGACATGTGTAATACGCGAAATTTCTACACTATTCTGTCAATTGTTCAGTAACTACTCTTACACTCATAGGTAATTTCAATTTGTTTCAAAACGACATCCCTATTTGCTTTCTATTTTAAACACTATGGGCTTGTGTTATTTAAGTATTAAAGCTCTGTAGAATAATTTGAAATTTATTTAATGGAGTGGGCTTTTACAAATAAATAAATTTACTACACTATGATTCCTCAGTAGATTCTAGCGAATGTTGCATGTCATAGTTACGTTTAAACAAAATGTTCACATCTTCTGTATGTAATTATATTATTTATTTTTATCTTCAGCTTAGAAAAATACATTTCTTAAATCTGATTTTTTTACATGTGTTGATAATGGAGTGAATAATATTGATTTAACTGTTTCAGACGCCATATGAAAATAGGATGTACAGTCTTAAAATTGATTGTGGGCAAAGATATCCAGATGATGCACCAAGTGTCAGATTCTTAAGTAGAATTAATATGAATTGCATCAATTGTACTACAGGAGCGGTATGTTTATAGCTTACAATATTGCATGTCAAAAATAAAAATTAAAACATAATGTTATTTATATTATCTTTTTATTTTATTTTTATTTATCTTTATAATTTGTACTAGTCCTTTAATTTGATTATAATGATAAAAATACAAAGACATTTATATGTTTTATTCTTTTTAATATTATCAAAATCAAAATGAATATGACATACTAGATTAAATTGTACTTATAAAATCACATGATCTATTTAAACCTGATTAGATAGTGAAATAATTGAGTTAGGAAATAGTTTTCTTATGCTATGAAAACTTAAAGGTAAATATTCACATTTCAGGTTGATAATCGCAGTGTACCAATCCTGTCAAAATGGCAACGTGATTACACAATTAAAACGGTTCTTACAGAATTGCGTCGTTTGATGACGTTAAAAGAAAATATGAAACTGTCTCAGCCTCCTGAAGGCAGCACATTTTAGCCTAACAGCATGTAAATTTTATATCACCTATATGCAAAACAGCATGAGGCAAACAAAAAAATTGTAAAACAACCAAGGTACCAAATAATATTGCACTGGTGCCCATTGAAGACGTATGATAAGAACAAAGTGATTACACCTCCATGATAATGAAGCTAGGGTGTGTTGGTGTTTTGAACAGTTGAATCTTCATTCATGCTCATATCTGTAAGACCTTAGAATTAAATACTGCTAGTGATTCTTTTTTTGCTATTGAGCTCCAAAGTTTTTGAGCTAAGTTACAATTGTATTCTAGGCAAGTATATATGATATGAAAGCTGTAATCACATATTCTTACTCGACTTTGAGCAAAGGAATGCAGATTCGATTGGACAAGATTTATTAATAATAGCAAAAAGTCATATTTTGAATCTTATAACAAAGAACAACTGGAAAACTTGGAAACACAAATTGTGTAATAAAAATTAATATTCAATATGAAAAAGAAACTGATAATACGTTCAAAGTTTTTTATTAGTAAAGTGTTACCTACATTATTCTGTAATCTTTCTTTTTTTATTAGTTTCATGTTTAAATATTGGGGTGAAAGATTTGCTAAACGGCATCAACAGTAATTTAAAATCTATTTGATTAAGAAATCAAAAAGTGGTTTTAATATGTTTTCTAAGAAGTTTTTGTTTTCTATGTAATTTGGAAAATAAACAAATTGAACATATTTTTACAATAATAAAATTATATATATATTACACATACACACATGCACGTATACATATATATATATAATCCTTATAATTAAATTTTCAATCACGATGTTGCGAAATCTTCTGATAAATATAAAATCAAGATATTTTAAACAATATTTGTAAATAAATATTAAATTAAATTATTTAAATATTTTATGAAAACAAAAACATCTTGAACATTAAATTGTCAAATCTATAAATTGAATGATCGTTTTAACTTGAAATAATTGAAGCCATATAGTTTTAAAACATATATATAAGAGGTTTTTGCGTCATGACTGCATTTTTCAAAAGTTAAAAATTGTATTTATACGTAAAATATTTACAAATTTTAGATTTTTTCACATTAAATATCATTTGATTATTTTACATAGAATAACTATTGATTTTTATCAATATTTATTTTTATCAATTTTTATCAATCTTTGACAACTATTTTGACATATATCGTGTAGGTTTTTTTACTTTTCCATTCCGTGAGTTTATCTTTGTAAGCCATTCAATTTTAATTAAGCTATTTTGTAAAATTTCACTAGAAAATCTAACAAGTGCATTTCTAATCCCCAAACTGATAACAAATTTGTTTTTATGATGTTATATTTATCGCAATAAATATGATGCTTCCTAAAAAATTGTTCTCATCAAAATTTTTGTTGGTTTAGAATCAAAAATAATACAGTTAGTTGTTTGACTATTTGAATAAATAAACGCCAACAGAGTTTATATTTTTTATTGGCCGATAGTTACGTTGGTCAGACTTATTATGATATTGTATCTACAGTATTTTCATAGCTGCTGTGCAGAAGGGAAGAGAAGTTGGTTTTGTTTCATTCGTCTATTTCCCGTGCGTCTTTTTTCGCTATGAGATCTTCTGTCACAGATTTTTCTTCAAAAGTTATTTCTTTTTCGAGAAATTTTGATTTATCTTTAAGATGTTGCAATGGATCAACTTCAATAATTTTACATTTCAGTTTATTAATTAAAGAATTTTCAGTTCTTGAAGTAATAATAATCGTTTGCTTCTGAAGACGCTGTAATATGTCGGAAAGTTCCTCAAATAATTCGTATCTAATTGATGACTGATACGATAAAACAATGATTTTAAATTCATAAGTTTTTAATAGCTCGATCAATTCAATAATTTCTTCTTTATTCTGTGGTAACATTTCTAAGTTTATAAAAATGCAACTTTTATGACTCATTTTTCTAAGTTCTTTTATGATTTTTATTGAAGACAATACAACACTAGCCGTTTTTAAATCCTAGACCTTTCTTATTATCAAACCAATTTCGAGGAATAATTGAGAAATCGTCATTAAAGATTAAATTATACTTTTTTTTCACGTCTAATAAATCATTTAAATGTACATCTGACAAACATAATTTTTGGTACATAAAATTTAGTTTGCAGATTTTCAATAAATGTTGATCTTTGATTATGGAATAACCATCTTTCTCTGTTATTTACGTTAAAGCAATTTGGCCAATTTTGTTCAACTAAAAATGATATGAGTTGAGGTTGAATGTCTAAATATTTGAAAAATACTTCCTTTATTTTTTTATTTTCAATTTTTTCTAGTATACCTCGGACTCCCGATTGCTCTATTCTAAATTCTAAAACGTCGAAGAAATTCTTTTTGTCCTTATTAGTTATCTCGTAATTCGGTAGAAATATGCCATCAATCGATTGTCTAATACCAAAGTCATCCGAAAATTTCCATTTTACCGTTGCCATATACACTTGTATTAATTTATTACCGAAGCCTTTACTGTATAAAACACTGATTAATTGGTTTCTCAACTTTTGTACTCTGGAATTTAAGTCTAGACCAATTATGAAATATTGCGTAATTTTGCATACGATCGATCCTTTCGGTCAATAAAATTTTCGAGAACATTTTCGCTTATCAAAGCTGTATGGTAATAATGAAAAACGCGTGTGTCACTACTGTTTTCCCTAAAAACGTTAGTTGTCATCCATTTTAGCTCGCTACTTTTACCAATAACGAATTCAGCTAATTCTTCAGCTAAAACTTGTAAGTCGCATTTTATATTTACCACTTTTTCAAAGAACTCATCTGTTTCCCATAAAATTTTATAACATTTTAAATCGTTACTATCAAATGTTTCTATTGCCTTTATAGATATCTTATTTTGACGCATCTCTTCCTCGTTAAAAGGAGCATCAGTGAAAATAATCAATGTCCTAACTTCACTTTCGTCATTTCTTGACTTCAGCTGGTCTTTAATTCTTAAATAGGAGATGAAGTACTCTTTTAAATTAAAATCATCTTCTCTTTTGGATATTACATTTTTTTCTAATAATACTTTTGAACTAATGGATTGCACTTCAATATCAACAGTTAGCACAACTCGAAAAAAGTTATACGTATTATTATTATCTTCATTAGTTTTAACAACTAAGTGGCCCCATTTATCTCCAAATATAATTCGTCTGCCAAAATTATTTTTTTTATTTTTAGCATTAATTACCATCTGTATGAATATCGCTGCTTCATACAGATCGGCTTGTCGCATCCTGATTTCAAGTGCTTTGTTGTGACCTGTCGCACTCATCATTCTAGAAAAATATATAATCTCTTATTTTTTAATTTATTCGTTCAATCTGTTTTAATTACATTTTAATAACGAGAAAGCAGTTTCTTATGTATTACACAAATGCTTGTAATATTTCTATCACTTTGTTTGTAATTGTATTATATGAAAATTCAAGTCTATCATTGAGGTAATTAGAAAATTAGCGTACTTTACTTGTTGGTTTTCTACAAAAATTTGACGATTTTGGATGCCAAGCGGAAAATTGGTTGAAATTATTCTATTAGCTGTTTAATTTTTCGGTCTACTTTTTCCTCTACTTCGGAAGTATATGTATACTCTGAAATTACAAAATCATTTACTGCGTTTATTTATTGGCAGTACTTTAATAATAAATATACATAAAATATCTTCAAAGTATACTTGACAATTTGAAAGTAAAATAATAAAATGTAATGAAATATTATATAATAACCGCACCAAGTATGCCAATTCAGTACTTTTGCTGCATTCTATTGCTATAAACATACGAGTGTTAGGTAATAATATTAAAGGTCTTGTAAACGCAAGACTAATAAATGAAATGCAAAAAATTGTATTATTGCATGAAATGTCTCGTGTGAAGCACTGAGAATGTGACTCACTCTATCACGACAGATCGAATCTGTTGCCGTAACAAACGCAATATCGCTCATTTACTGACTGGCACATCCCGCAAAAATCTACGTATACCCAAACAATCAAGAGGACGACGCTCGTTTCAACTATACGAAATCAGACTCGGTGCTCTTCGATCACTGTGGCCGCTAAAGTTGATGTCCGTTGCTCTCGGGTCTCCACCTTCGGGCATGCGTGATGCATGATCCGTTGAAATTACGTCGCAAATTTCCTCTTTCTCTCTCGCTCGCTCTCCCTTTCACTATTCATTCATTTTCTCTCTATCCATCCCTCGCTAAAAAAAATACGAAGAAGCTTCATCAAAACTTACAAATTTATTCTTTTAGTTTCAACCGAAAAAAATAGATTATCCATTGTACTGTTTTCTGAACACATTTTACATGTGTGTGTTATCGGTACTGATAAATTTTTTAATTTTCAAATCTAAGATTGATAACTGAATTTCTACAAACAAAATTCTCTAAACGTATTTTGTACTTTTGACTTCGCATTTTTAGGGTGTTTAGTTATGTGAAGGAAATTGCAGCTGTTTAGGCTATCTTAGTTTTTTAGAACAAAAAATTATCTATTTCACAACGAATAAGTGATATATTTTGAAAAAAGAAAAACATTAATCAGAAGCTGATACAGAACAGTTGAACTATAACAAAAACCTGTGATAGCGTATTACCAATTTATTTAAGTATTACAATTTTTTTCTAAAAAAGATACAAATGATTTTCAATTTTAATTCTCCTCCCCCATTCAGAACTCAAGATAAATGGCAAAATTAATGCAAGACCGAAATGCAGCTATATTGACAATGGTAAGTGCGGTTCCACGCTCTCGCGTCGTTCTCGACTTTAATTACTCTAATTAATTCATCACATTTTCAATTCGAATAAATATTTTTACGATTTACAAAACTCCACATAATTTTGATTAATCTAGGAATTATTCTAATATGTTGTAAAAAGTCATGTGCATTTTCAGTTTAAATAGCGTCATTAAATAGTAGTACATTTTGCACTAGTATCGAATTGCACTATAATCAACTAAGATGTTCAAAAACTATACAAATTATAGAAAACGATACTATAATGGATAGTACTTTCAATGGCAATTTATAGAAGCTGACCTTTGGTCACAACACGAGGTTCCAAATACTATTCGTTGTATGACTTGTTGTATATAATAGATTAGTGTTTTATAAAAAATTTCCAAGGAAAAAATTTTCAATCAAATGTTATAATAATTACTATAATCATCAAAATATTACTGCCAAACCTTTATTTGGTAGAAATATAAACGTATATAAAAACTATGAAATTATTAAAGGTTTGTTTTTTATCGGGCAATAAATTAAAAATGTTAGGTTTAAATTATTAGAATTTCAGTATTTATAATAAAAAAAATATTTTAAAAATAATTATTAGTTACAAACATACGTGTTTTTGGTAAGATAGAAAAAAAGGAATTTATCTATCTTAACGAAATACGAAAATGTACTTTTATATTAATAAGAAACGAACTAAAAATATAAATATTGAATTTTATAGTTTATTAAGATTATCTTATTCATTTTTATTGCATGATTTTGTAATCTCTCAAGTTCATAACAAGGAAGCTAACTTACAAGAATTGACCATTCATAATTATGTAGAAAGTATAAAATGAATGTCAAGTGGAATCTTGGAGATTGGTTACAATAATTATAGTTACCAATTCGTTTGATAACAGGTAAAAGTCAACAAAATTTTAAACAACAGATTATATAGGTGAATTAATGATTTAATTCGACAAGACAATGATACCATTGTCTGTATTACTTTATGTATGTACATTGTACAATTTTACTCATTGGCATCGATAACAAATCGTTGGGTTTTTATTTTCTTTTTTTTAATTTCGCAACTGAAAGAAACAAATAATGGATGTTGATAACAAATGGCGCGGCTCTTAAAAAACGCAATTTTCCTTGACTTTAGTTCAATTGTAAAACTACACATTATAACCAGAACCGCTATGTGTTCGAAGCAATTTTTCGTGAGCTATCAGATTTGAATTAAAACTTGTTGATGGTAACAAAAATTGTTTACTACTGTTTCTTGGCTTTCGGGATGAACATTAGTTTGGTAGTTTTAATGTGAGAGAACTTGTGTCTCTTTAAATGATACATTCCAGCCAGCAGAATAACGCCAATTCCAATAACCTAAGGATATAACAAATGTTAATCAATTGTTATCTTAATATTTTTGTATTTAAAAAATGCCACTTTCTTACCTTGATGGCTAATCGTTGCCTCTCGTCGTATTCGCGGTTCGAAGTCCACATAAGAAATGTAGTAATATCTTTAGCTATTTGAGAGGCTACTGGTGGCGTACCGTCCTCGAACTCAAGTACCTCATCATACACGACCTAAAAAAACAGGAAATTGTGAATCATACCGATAATATACTCAAATTCAACATCTTATAGACGTGTATGACTTACCTGACCCATACCAATGGCTCCACCGGGGAAGTAAGGATTAAAGTTCTGTCCTTCCCTAAGAGTGACTCCAGCTGGTGCATCACAGTAACCGGTCAACAGCGAAAAGACGTAATTCTGAAAATGTCAATTTTTAAATGTAAAAAAAATTTTTCCGCTTCGATATGGCATCATATGAGAATATAAGCTAATTATTTATAAGTCATTTTAAAGTTAAATTTTTATTTAATACAATTTCATAGTTTTTCATGGATAGAATTTTCAAATTTAAAAATATTGTAATGAAATTTTTCTCACAGCTTATTAACTTTAAAAATATTGTAATATGATTTTTATTAATGAGGTTCATTTTATAATCTTTATTTCAAACTTAAAGCAACTAAAAAATTATCAATCAACAATAATCACCTCTCCTCCGTGTCTAGCATTGACAATGTATGAAAGATCAGGTGGGTAAGCACCGTTATTTGCCGCTCGAGCAGCCTCCTCATTAGGATATGGCGAGGGGATGCTATCTGAGAGTTTTCCAGGGCGCATAAAATATTCACCCACGTCATTAGGACCATCTTTTACCTGACATTTCAAATTTTCATTTAAAACATTTATTTTAATTTTCAATAGAAGAATAAATATGAGTATTTACCTGAACTTCTTCAGCCAAAGCTTTAGCCTCGTCCTCGGTATGAGTAACACCAACAAGGTGACGATAAGCTAAATATTGCATACTATGACAGGCTGAGCAGACATTTTTGTAGACTTCCCAACCCCGTCGCATACTTAAGAAAATATATGATTTAAGGAGTGATTTTCTTTAACAAAAAGGCTTGGACTACAGTTTGAGTAATTACCTAGTATGATCCAAAGATTGAAAAAGTCCAGAGAAGCTCCAATGGTAATGAGGTGGATGTGCTACAAGTTCGCCTGCCTTTACTGATCTATCTAAGGCAAATAAAAGAGCACTGATACCACCAGCAGTCACCCCTAAACATGCTGTTGCCTGTAAAATTAGAAATACAAGCATTAACATCAAATTACAAATAATACAAGAATTTACACATTAATTTTTACTCACTGAGGGCCACTAGCTTTAGAGTGAAAGGAACCATAGGGAAATCTGATTTTGGATATGGGAGATGTGCGTTAATTAGGAGTTTTAATAGAGACAAATTTGTACATGTAGACTTACCAACTTTTGAGCCTTTGTCCATTCTTTGGCTGTGGTGTAATTATTACTCTGAAAAAGTTTCATTGATTATTTTATGTCATAAATGTTAGACATAATTTTTAAATGTTACTATCACTAATAATTGTTTGATTCACATTCACAGAACACTAATTACAATGAAATAGAATCAATAACTTCTATGTCAAAAATAGCTAGATTTTGATACAATTAGTGAATACGATATGAAAAAGAGTTCAACCTAAATATTTCAAGATATTTTTCACTGACAAATCTGCAAACAAAAGTCACTAGTCATTAACAATATAATCTGTCAAATAGTTTTATCTCAATCAACACGACACAATTTCAAATGACATAACTGTTTTTTAAAAATAAACATTATTTATTAGGAATTTGCACCTCAATAACTTTCATGAAATCAAGTGGCCTTTCATTTAGGTAAACTAAGTTTGCTTCAAAATTTCAAAAAGCTTTCACAGGGGAAAACAGACCTAGTGACATTGAATTTTATATTATTGAGCGTAATTCCCAAAACAGTGTATCGACAGCTTCCACTAATACACGTATCTTTGTCAACTATCAGTAGCTATGGATTTCAAAAAACCTTTAAAATTACATTAAATTACAGCAGATGCGCGAAGGTTTTTGGAGCTCGTCGACCGTGGGGGTTACATAACGCGCGCGTAAAACCAACACCCCCAACACCCGGGTGACTGAATGTCTTGCGACATTAGCGTCGAATCAACTTCGACAACAAATCTGATTAAGTTCATGATGATGTCTACGTGGAATTCGGCGAATTACATAGTCTTCGAATGGAGGCTCTTCCATAGCAGCCGACGGCAGAGCACACGAGGATAGTCAAAACGGTGGCTTAGTTCCACTTAAATTTAACATCGTCAAAGGTGACCATCGCCAAGGAAAATTTACTTAGTCGTCCAGATCAACGACAAGTCGGTTGGTAAAGTACATACCTGGCTGTAAATTGGCCCATTCGCGGGTTTTAGCAGACTTGAAGTACGACAGATCCGTGCTAACGATGCCGCCATGTTGAGTTTGGATGGTGTGTATCAAGTGCAGCGCTGCCAGGCGCTGCTGACGACGCGCTCAACTGATGTACATTCACGGAACGAGACCCAACTAGACACTCGTCGAGAACCTTTGCGATGGGTTGTTTTCATGAGAAGTTATCATTTCCTTTGAGTTCACTCGCAATGTATTATGATTATTTTGATTTTCTTAAATAAATATCAAAGTTATCAATCTTAGAAAGTGAATACAACATAAATAATGTAGCTATTATATTGTAATCTTTATTGTAAGTTTAAATGCAAGTGCGTCACATCTGAAAGCAACTATTTAAAACTTATTTTTCGATTAGAATGAGTAATCAGAATCATTTCTGATGGACAATTACACTCGAGAGAATAGCAAGATATTATAATTACTTATTAACAAATAAAATCGTCAATCATTCGTTTAAATTTGACACCGTTATAGACTGGAAAAAGTCCAGAACCAAATCCGACGCGCGCACATCAATATCCCCGCTCCGACCGGCGCCGCCGCTACACGTCACAGCACGGCTACAGCTGCGCCGTAGTTAGGTAGAGTCTGTTGCGAGGATCCGTTAATATCACGTCGATCAGCAAGACGAAAGGAAGCCGTGAAAATGAGCGCTGGAATGCCGGAACTTGGTTCGAAGATCAGCCTGATCTCAAAGGCTGACATTCGTTACGAGGGAAGACTGTTCACCGTTGATCCCCAGGAATGCACCATTGCCCTTGCAAATGGTGAGTTCTTCTGTCTGGTCTCGCTTTCTTTCTCTCTATCTCTCTGTCTCTTTCTCTTATATTCAAGATGGACGCGACGCTTTCTGTGTTCCCTCTCTCTTACTTTCTTTCGATGCTGAGCAAATTCTTGCAAAAGAATAATCTCGAATACATCCATTCTGATGACTCTTTACCGGCAACGTCGATGATACTCCGATTTGATAATGATTATGAACGATGCCCTACATGTTGAAAAAACAATTACATTACATACGTTTCGCCGCGTTGCGTATATAGTCGGTCTCGAAAAATCTTTTGCTCCTGATTTTGTAACTTTACGCGGTAATTCCTAAAAGTTCGTTAAACTTAATTTTCTAATGGAATTTCGCGAGGATCCTGTATCATATATTTCTTTTGCGAGTATATTAGACTTGTTTACATCGGCAGCTTGTTTGATTCTCCTTGAACGAGTCTCGCGATATATTCGAAAGGTCTCCGTTGCAAAATAAAAGATTTAAAATTGACTTTTGCGCTCGGAATTTTGAGTTAATGAACTTTAGTTTATTGAACTTTGCTCAATTTGTGATTAATCTTTCGCTTTTCTTTTTTATTTTGCTTTCGATGAAGATTCTAAAGGATTTTTACACAAATATTTTTTGATTCTGTAAATTGGTCGACGTTTTTCATAAGTTTCATAAAAATCGCGGGATTTCGTTAAGATCAATTTTATAATTTGATTTTTCGTTAAATAACTTTTTAATTTAAATTACATAATATGCGCTGATATAAATTGTAAATTATAATTCAATAGTATAATTTTTTTTTATTTGAAATGGCATAAATTACTAAGTAAAGAGAAGATAGAAAGAAAAAAAAATCAATTTTTATAGCGTTATTTTTAAAATTATCGTTGTAATAAATTCATGACTATGTTTACCAATAATGACAATAATTAATCCTATTTTCCAGTTAAATCATTTGGCACAGAGGACAGGGAAACACAATTTCCAGTAGCACCTCAAAATCAAGTTTATGAGTACATCTTGTTCCGTGGCTCAGATATCAAGGACATCAGAGTTGTCAACAGTGTTAGCACATTGCCCAATGATCCAGCCATTGTCCAGGTATATCTAGTTTTGTTTTTAAACCAGACTGACTATCCAATTGATGATGCTTTCTAATTTACTTTGTCATGTTATTTATTTTGATTTTGTTTTCTCAAGTGTTTACATAATTCCAATTAAATTTAATTTTGTTTTAGTATTTGAAACTAACATTAAAATAACATGTAATCTTATTAATTATCAAATATTATTATTATAACTGGTCTTTTGCTACTTACTTTTCAACAATATTTCATGATTTTTTTATTTTAATTAACTTTCATTCAATTTCAGATCCAGCATAAAATGATATGCTAATAGAATATAAATAGATATAGTTAATGCTTGTTTGAATTAAATAAATAATATATCAAAATTAAGCATACAATCAAATAGCATGCAAGATATTATTACAAGTTTCTTTTAGATTTTTAAGAAAAATAAATGGAGCAATCATAACATTGCATGTTTAATTGCATAATTAATTTTATAGATGACAGTTCAGCCAATGGGACAGCAGTCATATCAACCTCAACAAGGTTTTGCACATCCCATGATGGGTCAAATGGGTGGCATGGGAGGTCAATTTGGACCACCATACAGCATGAGTTCTATGGGTGCTATGGGTCCAATGATAGGCATGGGAGCAGCGCCCAATAGGCCAGCCATGAACAAACAACCAAGTGAGTTAGGTCTAGGTCCCATAGAACCCAGTGCGACTGCATTATCAAACTCACAATCGACCACCAATATCGAGTCTTTGCCAAAAGATCAATCACTGGAGGATGGTAAACTGTTATTGCTATGATTCTATTATCTAACCTGCCAATGGCATGCTTGCTGCTGAGATGCTTTTGCTGTTGCTGCTATTTTGTGTGATACTGCTTTTTTTATTTATTATTTTTAATCTTCTTTATTCTTTACGATTTCTTTGGAAAAACTATCAATCTTTTGGCTTTTCTAAAGAAATTTTGATATTTAGTAGTTTCATTGTAGAATGCATTATACATTTCTGTAGATACAATTTATATTGTTTATTGAATTAATTTTTTATTTTTTTTTTGTTTTTATAAAAATCAGCTGTCTAGAATATTTTACTAGTTGGTTTTGATTAAAGTTTGGGTTAAAAATTGAACTTTTATAATAATTTTTATTTGAAAGTTACTAAGCTATTTTCTTGTTTTTAACATACTGCACAATCTTACATTTTTTCACCACTAATTATAATACTACATTTCTCTTTACAAATTTTTCTAATTTTTCAATCTAATATCTTAAATAATAGCCTAAAAATTACCTTTGCTATAAACTATTTTTGCTTACCTATGTTTTTCTGTGTATAAAAATGAATTTTATTTTGAATCACTAAATTCTATTTAGTATTTAGTATTATATTTTATAAATACTACAATGACAATTCTTTTATGTTTTCATTTTTCAACATACACAACTTTGCTTTACTTTTGCGATCAGCTGCCATTAGTGAGTTGTAATAGAAAAAATCAGAAATGTTAGCAAGAACAGTTAGGTACATCTGTCATTAAAAAATATTTTTTATTTTTGCACATATGTTAACTTTCAAAATTTATGAAACAGTATTTTGTAGTGTTTTGGAACTCGATTTTGTATATCATTTTAAAAATGTTTTTCATTGAAATGTCAAATTTGCAAAATTAATCTGTTGCTTGCCATCTTTAAGTATCTAATTGTCTGACTACTTTATCATTGTATAAATCTATTAGGTGTATTGGATATCATTGGTGGAGGATCTCGTTCAACGACTCCGACCTCACTTCTGACAAGAAAAAGTCCAACAATGGACCAAGGTGTCCAAGTTAATCAGCAATCTAACAATATTGGCAAGATTGGAGATAAGCAAAATTTGAGAAACACGCAAGTACCTCATAGAGATCGTGATGGGTAAGGATTTTTATCAAAATAATATATTCATTGTTTGTTAGGTAACTTATATTATTATCGGTTTCATTTGAAAAAAATAGTTTGGTTCTCTAATTAAAATGTGGATATTAATTACATCTATAAAACGTTCCACAGTGGAAGAGCGAGTGGTATGTCTCAGTATAGCGAGGGTAAACAGCAACAGCATCAAAGAGACGGTCAGATGCATCAAGGCGGTCAGAACATGCGTAATCGTGGTCCAGGAGGTGGGGGTGGTGGCGGCTGGATGAACAACCAGCAACGTGGTCCTCAAATGATGCGAGGTCGTGGCGGTCCACCTGGTGGTCCTCGTGGTGGACGTGGTGGTAATTTTAGGAATCAGCCTGGTGGTAACAAAGCCAAGAACACCCTAAAATTCGACAACGACTACGATTTCGAGCAAGCCAACACCGAATTCGAGGAGCTTAGGTACGTGTAGGGTTCTTAATAATTTTATGTGAGATTGATGAAAGTGTTTACAAAAACTTAATCTATTAATGTATTATTGACTTATTATTGCGTTTGATAGATTCGTAATAATTTTGTTGTAACTTTTTTATTATAATAATTAATTATATCTTGAAATGATGTTTTGGAACAACAATCAAATTTTTCATTTTCTACAATTTAATTCTATTACTAGATCTATCTAAGTTAGTCCTCAGTTAGTCAAATATGAAACTTGTATACTGGCATTTCCAGTCTAAATCTCACCTTATTCAATTTTTAAAGATCAAGTCAGGATTCCACTGATAGCTTGGTCAAATAATAAATAGAAAAACTCACGCATGATATGTGCCGGATTTGTTTCAACGATCAATTTGAAACAATGAATGTGGAACTCATGCAAAATTAAAAAATTGTGGCAATTTTTAAATCGAAAAATGATGCTTTATCATTTTCGGTTACGCGTTGCTTCGACATTTTTTTTTATTTTTATTTTTATTAAAATTGGGTTATTTTTCCATTTCATGTTTTTCAGAAGTACAGTATATTATATCATTTTTGTTTTAACAGATCGAAATTGGCAAAAACAAAAATCGATGGTGGCGTGGGTGGCCCTGAAAGTGAGAAAAAAGATGACAGTGGCAACGAGACTGGAGCGGGTGACAATGAGCCTGAGGAGGAACAGCCTGAAATTGTACATTACGATAAAGCCAAATCATTCTTCGATAACATTAGCTGTGAAGCTGTTGAAAGGAGTAAAGGGTTAGTAAATTTTTTAAATTCATTATTCATTCATAACTAGCGGTATTAGACTACTATGAAACGCTTTTCTATTTGAAAAGTAATATATTTGCTAATCATTTAAGAAAGTTTTTACGAAATCTAAAAATATTTAATTAGAAATATTTAATAACTTTTAACATTAAACTGTCATTTTTCAGCTGAGAAAAATGAATGTATTTTCAATGTGTTTGTAGTCGATCTCAGCGTACAGATTGGAGGACAGAGCGCAAGTTGAATTCTGAGACATTTGGCGTGGCGTCGATGAGACGCGGCAACTTCCGTGGTCGTGGTTACTACAACAATCGTGGTGGGAACATGGGTGGTGGCAATATGATGTACCACCAACGTAATAATCAGGCTGGCAATCAGAACTTCAACCGTGGTGGTTACAGAGGCCCAAGAGGTGGTGGTGGTAGTGGTGGTGGTGGTGGTAGTGGTGGTGGTGGTCAACGCAGACCCAACCAGCAGCAACAGCAGCAAAACTCGCAGACGGTTAGTACATAGTACTTTGTCGGCGTGAAACATTCCTACGACTGATTTTATCTTTGTATTGAGATATTTTGTGTATAAAAGGTACAGATTGTCCGATTAATAGGCTTAAGAATTTCTCTGTAAAATGTACATTGTATTGAATTATTGAAAAATAAGAAAACAAACTTTATCAATAAAATTAATTGCATACAATTATTGCGGTATCATACATTTTCACGAACTTAATTTGTTTTAGAATTTTTGTAATTCTGACTTATTGTTTTTTTTTAATTTTTGCGCGTAGAGTTTGTAATTCTTGTTTTCGATTAAAAGTTTATGTTTTATATATTTTTTAAACTACAATTTTTTAATATTCATATTTACTTTTAATTAATTTTTCTAGTAGATTTTATTTATTATTTAATACTAAAGTAATTCAAAATAAAATCGTGTTTTTCCTTTTTATGCTTGTATATTGGTAAAAGTTGTTTAGCAATGCAATATCTTCATAAAAATAATACTACTACATTTTAAAAAAATAAAACTGACTAAAGTTCTTTTTATTCAATAAGTATAATATTTCAGTCGTTAATTTTTATAAAATGTACCATGAAATTCGGATAAAAATTCAAAATAATTCTTTTTTTGAATCAGGGATCGTCAAGTGGACAAAGCAACCAAAGTAACCGCACCACCTTGACTAATGAACAACAGCCAAGTAATAACACCACCAGCACTAACACTAGTGCAAGTAATACGAATGCAGCCTCATCGTCAAGTACCAGCACGAGTCAGCCGGCGAAGCGTTTGGTGACAGGCACTGCGTAATCTCAGCCCTTCGACGAGTCTCACGCGCTCAACCGAACTGTGTAACATGTGAGGTCGAGCGAACATGGAAAGGAAATAGAAAGATATCGGGTCTGTTTCGTTCTCATTCATTCGCCAAACAGTTTTCCGTATGGCATTAGAACGAAATGAATCCGATAGTTCAATGAGTAAAAGGGAAAGATAAAATAGACACGCGCTATTTATAAATAAGTATTCATTTAGTGTATAAGATTTTTACGGTAAACGCGCGTTTGAGTGAGAGCGAGGATTGAACGTGGCTTGTCTCCGTTAGGCGATCGTACGCCGATATTATGAAAGAATTATCCGAGTTAGATTATTATGGGCTCGCAACATTAATTTTGCTAAAAAAGAAAAGTAGACGAAAAAAAGAAGAGAAAGAAGAGAGAGGAGAGAGTGAGAGAGAGATGAAAGAATTTACAAGGATAAAAGAGTAAATGTAACTTTATCATCATGCGCCTGTGTATAAAGAAGTGCGCCGGATGCATTTCAAACTTACAAGTTTTCTTTTCTGCATAGGAGGTACAATGCTCATTATAAAAAACCAAATAACGAAAAGAAATTATAAAAATACGCGCATGGGACCACGGCACTTTTCGTCTACAATGCTATTTATATATGTATGCATACACCGTCGTAATTAATTCAATTTGACAAGGAGAATCGTTAGATCGATGAAAAGAAAAAGTAAACAAAAAGAAGTAATTTTTTAATAAATATAGGAATGGTCTTACATAAGAAAGGCGACCCATGGTATAGCTGGATTGTATCCGCGTTGTCGGAAGTGACGGGAATTGATAAAAATAGAAACGTTTTTTATGTACGCATTTATGCATTTTTTTTTGACCGAATTCAGAAAATGCGTGCGAATTCTCCTTTAATAAACTTGTGTTATGTCCATATTACGCGTACGGTGTCACTGCTAACGTTTCTTTTTTTACAGAGAAAAATGCTCTGCGAATAAAACTATAAATATACATCTCTCTCGTGCCGTGGTAATCTAACAAAATGAAATTAAATCGGAAGAAAAAAAAAATTTGCCGTAACCTGCTTTGATACATCGTCGTCTTTACGAGGAACGTATTAAAATAACTTTACTTATAACTTTTGTACAAGTGAGAGGGTTACCAGTGCCTGGTACACATACGCGCAGTTGATGAATTTTGTCTTTGTCGTCGATGGGCGTCCCCCGCGTGTTCTTGCCCACAAACAAGAGAACACGGGGGCGATTTCCGGACGTGCATCGTCGTCGAAAAAATAAGCAGGTTACACATAACTATTAATTCGAGGTGTTATATTGTTCCGGACGAGTATCAAGCGCCGTCGATCTTGATCCAAGTGTATTTTCCTTATTATCATTACTATTTTTCTTGAATGAATATTTTCCTTCGTTTTTCTTTTTTAATCATATAGATTCGCTGCGATTGTTTTATCTTCATGAATTATCCGGTTTTTGATTATTTTGAGTGGACGAGTGTCGTGCCTGCGAAAATCAATTTATTCTGGCTTGATATAATAATCGAAAGACAACGCACTGTATCTCACGACACTTGGAATTTGAAGAAGAAAGAAAAATACAAGGAAATTGAATGAAAGAAAAAGAAAAGCATTAGTCGTAATGTAACGCATGGGGATGACGTTCGTTTGTGACTGTTATAAATTTTTTTCTGGGAAAAGAGATACAGGATAGTCGTGTTGCGAATGATGACGTTTAAGGATAAAAAAAATCGAACAGCGGTGCACGATTTCCTGACGATGTGTATGGGTCTCTTTCTGTTTTTTGTACAGCGGACATTGTGATTCCCGATGTTGAGATAATACAGAGAAGAGGCAAAAGATCATTCATCGTATTTTCATTAGTATCAAAATCTTTTTCCTATATCATTTCCATTAAGTGCATTACCGCACATGGCAAAACATTCGTAATGACTCGGAATAAACACAATCAATTGTTAGAAAAGATCGTTTTCCTTATTGACAACGGATTCAAGACAAAGAAAAGCAGTTCACCTTAAGCTCGCATCTCCGAATATAATCGAAAGCGCTTGCAAGTCTAGACGTCAAAGTTTATACGACGACGACAAGCTTATCTCCTCGATTATATAAAAGCACATATTTTGTTATTGAAATTACATGAGTTAGAGCGCGCGACAATTTACAAACTCGCACAATTGCAATCTATCCCTCACCGTGGATCATATACATGTATCTGCAATTTGAATGCAAAGCATTAACATCAAGGAGATGGATTTTCGTGTGTACAGTATTTCCAAGAAATCATCGTTGATCACGCGTCATGCAGACTTTGGACCATTTAAAAGTATTCATTGTCATCACTTACCTGAGGTGGCCTAGCATTTTGATGAGCACGATAAATAAAAATAATTTTCAATCTCCGATTAAGCTGCATATGGAACATGATTTTTTAGCACGACTTGGTCGAAGATTGCAACGAATTTATTTTTAAACCTTATCATTATTCGTCATGCGACTTTATAATTGGTAATTTTAGCGATGAGGCGAACTATGAAGTAATCATTCGTCGAGGGTAATTATTTCTATTAGGGAGTTCGCTCAACTCTCAATGTCGCGCCTCGAAAATCGAACGCTAGAGCAGAGCAAAAAGTTGGATCGCTCTCCGGTGTAGATAGCCGCGTGAAAGAGAAAATTTGCAGCGCCAAGATATCGACGCCGAACCCGAGCGCGCGCACACGACGTGTTGAAAAATCGCATTTTTCTTGATAAACACGAATCTTCACGCAGTCGTGTACATTCTATCAGAATGTTCTTCGCGCTTCTGCAGACGATATCATATGTACGACGCTCGAAATGTCGCGAAACGTATCGTATATTACTGCACTCTAAGTCGAATGTAGACGACCTCCTTTATCATTGTATCGACTTCCTGTCTTCCAGTTTATCGGCAGACCTGTAAGGTTCGCGCCTAACTCGAATCGGAATAACAGACCAACGTTTCTTTTACGTTTATTTTCATGACAATTGCATCAGTACAATTGAGCTGTGAACGTTTGTCTCTACTCGCGTAAACAAGTAGTTTCTTGAATCGGCATCGAATTTCTCAGCTGAAAGATCTTTAGAAAAACTTTCCTGGGTCAGTGTGCAAAGTACAATGAATAGGCATCGATATTTTGCACTTAATTACTCGAAGACGGAAGACAATTATTAATCCGAAGAATTCAAGGAAATGATAATCGATACAGATAGACTACAACGAAAACTCTACGACTCTTTCATCCGCTCGTTGTCATCGGGAAGCTTCTGTTTTCTTTCGAATTTCTGCACAATTAAACCGACTAGTTACGCATTATTACGAGAATCTCGAATTATAAAGCAAACCAACGATAAATCATCGGAACGCGATAATGTAGAACCAAAAAAAAAAATTCTGACGCTCTCTCTTATCGTTCCGGAAAAGAAAAAAAAAAGAAACTGCGCTTGTAGAATGTCCGAGAGCCAAGGCATACTCGCGCACACGCAGATAAGTTATTGCTCTGCGCACTTCAGAGCCAGCTTGAACTTTTGACCTTTATTCTGCGAGTTCGAAAGCTTGCAAGCATTTTCTGAGGAATATTTTTTTTAGATTGGTTTTGATGCAGATTATTGTCTACTCGCTGAAATGTTGCTGGTGCCATTGAGAAGTGATTTTTTATTAATAAGCATAAGGTTGAAGCACGTAAAAGTTCACAGAGCGAGATTAGAATACAAATAAATTTTTGGAAGATGTGGGAAAGTCGATTTCCTGAAGAATTTGGCATGCTGGCAGAAGGAAAAAAAATGTATCGAATCGCATGGATTATCCGTACTATTCGAATGAGTTTGTATTATTTAAAAAGCGATTCTGTGCTAAGGCATTAAAATCGTGGTTTTTAATGAACAATGAGAAAAGCTATTAATTACATTTGTCATACACACGATTCAACGTTATAGCATAAGTATATGAAATATAAAAGCAAACTACATATTACAGAGGCCAGAAACAAATAAGTTTCAGCTCGATTCACCACTCTCACTAAATCAATGAATTTCGTGGAATTATTAACTAATTTAATCAAGCCGATAAGTTATCGAAATTTCTCATCATCACAAGCTATAAAACATAAATTTCTTGTACGAACTAATATTCATGTTGTTGATCATACATTTTTACAATCTTATTTTAGATATTTATCGAGTGTCTTGGTCCGTAAGAAAAAAAAAAATTTTTTTTATGTACAAATTATCGATTCTGCGTTGGCGCATCAAGTTCACATTTTGCCACTGAATGGAAGCCGCGCGAGATAGAATGCAGTTTAATCTCCTTAATCCACATCACAGTATCAACACCAGACGATTGATCCGTAAATTTATTTATGCACCCTATCCCCCTCTCTTTCACGTGCTTACGTTACAGAGTGAATTACCAATGCAGACTATCGTAAATTTCTTTGTAGGCCAAATGCGTTTACAATTAACAGAGATTTTTCTCCTCGTCTAGCTCGTCGATAAAAGTTTTATCTTGGCGTGTTATTGAAATTTCGGTTGGTTCTCGATAAGCACTGACATAGTTATTCAATTGTCAACAATGCGTTACATAAATTTTTAATCGAGCGGAATATTTTTCGAAAACTAACTATCACACAGAATTACCGCTTTACGCGCTGTTTCGTCTAACTTCGAGAGACCGAAGCATGGGGAGTGTCGTCTTTTTTCATTTTTTTTTCTCAACACGCAAAATCATACGTTAGCACTTAAAAACGCTGAGCTTTCACTGTAGCACCGCGATTAGTTTTCTACATCGTAATTTTGTCACCTTTGAAAAATGTTATCAAGTACGAACTTATCCCTGCGGGTTGTAGTTGTATCCAACATTTTTTACGGGCATATTTAAAATGTATACATCCAATTGGGCATGAAAACACCACTGTTTTCCTAGTCTCGAGAAGACGACGTATATGCGAATTAAAAAAAAGAAAGAAAGAATAAACTATTCGTATAACTCGTTCATTCAGCGCGCGATGCCAGAACTATGAAGTCTGAGAGTAAAAGGAAAAGAATGAAGCGAAAAAAGTCCATTCGCTAATTGAAATCGATCGTCGTTGTTCGAGCATCAGCGCGGAAGGATAGGTCAATCGCTTGGCGCGCTTCTTGCGACGACGCAGAACAATAGCGAGAAGTGACGAAGCAACTCTTATCCACGCGCCTAGATTAATTGCCACGGAATTGCGTAGCTCGCATTCTAGAATCTACCGGCGCGCGCCAGCTGCGCGCCAGCTGCGCGCCTCTCTCGATCGACGATGCGCCTTCGTTCGACTCACTTCTGTTTATCTGCTCTCTGAAACAATGTCGCGGCGATGTCTGGCGCGCGCTCGCTAAATGAATCGCCAGGCGTTTATCGCCGAGGCAGAACTGCACGTTCGCTGGTATGTCGTTGATAATCAATTTTCCCCTTTCTTCGACTGCGATGCTCGGTGCAGCGGAGGGAACTCCGTTGAGCGCCGTTGCGTCGCGTACGGTCGTTTCCAAATTGGCGTCATTCGAGAAGCCGATCGCGATAACGCTCGACGTGTTACGCGCGAAGCCTGTCCTTCTCGAAAGAGAAACGAGCGATTATTATCGCGAGACGTCCACAAGGCGAAAAGCTCTCTCTCGCATTTTCCGTGAACCGGCGCGGCGCAGCAGTGCAAAACGAAGAAGCAGTACCGGCGTCGATATCACGCCAACAAAGTGGTCGGGGCGCGTGCCGGCTTTATCTTCGCGTCTCTCTGCCATCGGCAGCAGTATAAATTGGCGGGCGTGCACTAGCCGAGGAGCAGTTCTCTCCGTACGAGCGCGTACATCCCAGTGACGAGTCGCGCTGCCGCTGCTCGCCCGGACGATGAGTAAGTTGGCCGCACTTTCCTCATTTGGCACTCGGAGGCCGCTCGCGCCGTCCGTACAAGCTGAACGCCAACGTGGTCCCGCAGTGACTGCCAGGCCGAACCGAAGCGAGGACAAGGCGGCGAGGATGTCGCGGCGCTCGTCCGACGACAGGGCGCGCGAGCTCGAGATCGCCGGCGTGGTGTCCGGCAGGAACGTGCTGATCACCGGCGGAGCCGCGGGCCTCGGCCACGCCTTCGTCGGCCACTTCCTGCAGTTCGACGCCAACGTGAGTAGCCGTGCGCGAGCGAGCGAGCGAGCGAGCCGCCCCCGAGCCGCGCTGATCCGCTTGGTTTGCGCACAGAAAATCTGCGTGCTCGACGCGGACGAGGCGTCCGGCAAGCGGCTCGCCAGCTCCGTCGACAAGTCGCACGGGCCCGACAAGCTGATCTTCGTCCACGCCGACGTGTCCCGCCACGACCACGTACGCGGTAAGTGCGCCCGCGAGCATAGGCACGCGACCGACTGACGCGCCATCGTCTCGCGTTGCAGCCGCCTTCGCCGAGGCGGACAGCCTGATGGGCGGCATCGACATCGTCGTGAACAACGCCGGCGTACTCGACGAGCGGCGCTGGGAGCGAGAGATCGCCGTTAACTTGGTGAGTGGCTCGTCGGGGGCGTCCCCGGCAGCGAGCGTCGACCGAGGCAGCCGATGATCCGACCGACCGTCCGTCCGTCCGCTTTTCGCAGGCCGGCATGGTGTCGGTGGCGACGCTGGCCATGGAGCACATGGGCCGCGACAAGTCCGGCCGCGGCGGCATCCTCGTGAACGTCGCCGAGCACTCGGACACGCGCAGCACCGTCCAGCTGCCGGTCTACACCGCCACCAAGCAGGCGGTCATCGGGCTGTCGCGGTCGCTCGCCGTGAGTAACGCGACGCCGGCGGCGAAGCGTGGTGGCGAGCGAGGCGGCGTCAAACGACCAAGCTCTTTCTGCTCGCAGGCCGCGTGCAACGCGCAGAGGACCGGGGTGAAAGTGCTCGCGCTCTGCCCGGGCCTCACCGAGACGGCCCTCACCATCGACAGCCCCAACAAGCTCTTCTCCAGGTTCATGAAGGCCGACTTCGTCAAGAACCTCGAGCAGCTCGCCATACAGACGTGAGCGCCTCCCGCCTCCCGCGACTTGCCCGCCGCCCCTCCTCACCGGCCCGCGTCCCTTTGCTTGCAGGCCGTACGTCGTTGGCCAGGGCCTGATGTCGATTCTGCGCTCGGCCGAGTCGGGCTCCATTTGGGTGATCCAGAACGGCCAGCCGCCGTACCAGGTCTTCGTGCCCAACTACCGTAGCCTGCGACGCCTCTACAAAGACAACTTCACCGTCAGCGACACCTCCAGACACTCGAGCAAGGGACGACCTATTCGCGAGGTCTGCGACAACACGAGGACTGGATTGATGAGCTGCGCCTGACGGAACCATCGAAACAAGTATTCTTCGCCGCTGACGGTTGTGTGCCACTACTGTGATAGTTTGTTTTCTTCTACTTCTTTTCCTCCCACTTCTTTTAATGCCGCACTCTGTGAATCTCTTGTTTCTTAACTCTACAATGCGTTTAGATTTAGCTTCATGGGTGCCGCGTTTTCACTAGGACGTAATGCCAAAGACTTATATTCTTCTGTTTCTGTTTCGTTTAATTTATTTAGATTTAAGAGCATAACATGTCGCTGCTACACTGACACGTTTTGTGTGATCAAGTTTTAATAATAAATGTACGTTTTCTACGAGAAAAGTTGTGTATTCCCCCTCACTTCGATAACGAAAGCTTTGTACAGCGCCGACGTAGCGTTGAAAAAAATATTTTTTTAATTTCTTCGATATGCTCGGTTACAATGTGCGCGCGTGTTAATCCGACGTTAGTGGTCGGCAAGATGCGCCTCATTGACATGCGATCACGAGTTTTTCTCCACCACGCTGACGTTACTTACCGGTTGATAATGTAAACAACGCGGGCGAAAGCGCGCTCGACTTAGAAAAGACTTTTCCGTATATACATACGTACGTTGGAAGCGAGCGAAGGTCGATGAAATGTGGACGGAGCGGGGGAAAGCCATCGCGCGGTGCGGTCACACGTGCTCGTCGGCCGTGATCATTGGCGATACGTCTGCGGCGATAAGGCGGGGATCATTTTTTCGAATCAACCTCACGAGGAAATGCTAGTTACTCGCTGTCATCGAATGATTAGGATTTCGCTTGAGAATTAGAACGACTTGGCTTGCTTTTTCCCCAAACGCCATTAGAATCTAGAGCTGGTAAAACAGAACATTTGTAGCTCCGTCCAACAGTGAAATCAACAGGTTTCTTAGTGATCCGTAGTTGTTCTCGGTGCAATATCGATAATTTAATAACCATTTGACGATGGTTGCCGAGTAATTTCTAATTGCCGGTAACGTATCATTCAAGTGATTTCCCGATGATTTTAATGGAATAATTGTGAAAGCAAGTTCGTTGAACTGCGGCGTGTTGTAATAAAATGCCTGCGTGTGCAATTACTTTGCCAAGTCTTTTATTCTCCTGAGTGATGTGAAAATTTCGTGCCAAAATGACTGTCCACTGGCGGAGCCGGTGGCCAATTGCCAAGCAGCTCTTTACTTAACGATCTCCACTCGTGAATTTCGATGCCCCACCACGGGGATCGAGAAAGATAAAGCACTCGTTGTTCGAGTTGCAGGCGTTGCACATACGTTATCGCAACGTGCCCACACAGATCGACACGCGCGCACGGGGTCAAAGTGTAAACTCGGTACGCAAAGACCGAGTCGAGCGCGGGGCTACTACAGTTAGGTCAGTCGCAAGCTCAGCGCAGCCGACGGCGCGTTTCCGTCTTTCGAGCGCTCGCCTTCGAAAAGGCACAGGCCGACCATGCAGATCAAGGACAAGAGGGCGATGATCGTCGGCGCGAGCAACGGCCTGAGCTTGGCCTTCGGCAAGGAGCTGTTGCGCAACGGCGTGGCGGTAAGTCGGGCAGCGGCGAGAGCCGAGCGGCGCCGCGCCAACTGAAAGCCATCTGCTCGCAGAAGGTGCTGATGGTGGACCTGGACGCGGCGAGCGGCGAGTCTCAGGCGGAGAAGCTGAACGAGGAGTTCGGCAGGAACCGCGCCTCTTTCCTCGGCTGCGACGTGACCAAAGGGCCCGAGTTTGACTGTCGGTGTCTCGGTCGTAGCGCGCGACCGCGAGCCCCGCCGCGGGAGTAACGGTTGCGTGTGCTTGCAGCGATCTTCAGGCAGGCGGTCGGCGAGCTCGGCGGCCTCGACATCGTCGTCAACAACGCCGCGACGATCGACGAGGTCAACTTCCTCAAGACCATCGACACGAACGTGGTAAGTTGGGGCGGGCGCCGCCGCGGGCCGACGGCTCCGACGGTTCACGAGGCTGCTCTCGCGTTCGCAGACGGCGGTGTTCCGCGCCAACATGCTGGGCGTGCAGCTCATGGGCAAGGACAGCGGCGGTCGAGGCGGCGTGATCGTGAACGTGGCCTCGGTGCTCGGGCTCGAGGCTTTCCCCCAGCTGCCCGTCTACTCGGCCACGAATCACGCTGTTATCGCCTTCAGCCGCTCGTTCTCGGTAGGTGGCACGCCAGTCACGCACTTTGTTTGCCGAGTCGTTTGCTCGCTCCGATCCGCCCACTGTTCCAGCAACCGTATCACTTTCAAAGGACCGGCGTGAGGATCATCGTGCTCTGCCCGGGACTCACGGAGTCGCCGCTCCTCGACAACTTGAGCAAGGACGAGTTCGTGGAGAGACCCGAGGAGCTCGTCCAAGCTATGAAGGATATACGTCCGCAGAGGTCGTTTCATTCCTGCCTCTTCTATTTGTCCGTGCATTTACTTATTTACTTATTTATTCATTTTCTCGTCGCTTCGTTTACTCCTCGTATGCAGGGCTGAGAGCGTCGCACACGCGCTGGTTTACGTGGTGAGATGCGCGCAAAACGGCAGCGTTTGGATCACCGAGGACGGCAAACCTGTCTACGAGATTCAGATGCCGGATACCCTGCCCACCAAGTGAATCGGCGACGCAAGTTTTTTCCCCGCGCCTGTTACGAACCAATCGCGCGCGCTCTCTCTTTCTCTCTCTCTCTCTCTCTCTCTCTCTCTCTCTCTTTCTCCATCGACACCCAGCGTTAGTTTTAAGCCGTTCATCAATAATTTGTAACACTGCGAACTTGTCGTGATCGAATGAAAAGCAATAAATTACACTGAATGTATCATCACGAAACGCGCGTTAGGTCGATGTTTTTCTTCGATTATCCCCAAAAATGTTCAACGGACTCGTGAAAATGTCCACGTACGGGCGCGCTCGTCGGTAGAGCCGATCGATAACTTTCGATAATCCAGACGGTGACGCGGGCGCGTCGCAAATCTTCAGTGTGCCGCTCGACGATGACCGGTGTCGCTTCGAGGCGGAGGTAAGAGCTCGCTCGATATAGTTGGCACTGAGTCACGATCACCGAATGCTCGTGCACCTCGGCGCGCGTCGCGCCGACAACGACGACGACGACTGCTATATATACTTGAGTCTGCACTTCGGCGGCACTTGGCAGGACGAGCCTCTCGCCTGGGCCGCTCTCGGCTCGTCTACAGCGTGATCGTTCCTGTCATTTGCCTCTGCGGCATCCTGGGAAACCTCGTCAATCTGTTGGTCCTGCAGAGACGGTGAGCACGAAATCCCGTGGCTCCGGAGTGCGCAAAATGACCCGGTCGCTTCTGACTCGACAGTCCTGGCAGCGGCGGATTTGGTCACCTGTATCCTCTTGTCGTTCTCAGGCCTGGCGCGTGGAGTGTTCTGGAAGCGAGCTGGTTGGATGGAGTACGACGTGTTCGTTTACATACCTCTGGGCTCGATCTCGTCGAACGTCGCTGTCTCGGCTGCTGTTGGTGTGGCCGTAGATCGTCTTGTCATCGTTCTCGGGGAACTCAATCCAAACAACATTTTCACAGTCCGATACAATAGCAGCGACCTGGAAGCCGAAGATCATTAGAGCAACCTATCGCACGATAAACTTGAAACAGTTTATTTTTAACAACCAACGAAATGCTAATTCCTCGCGTCGATCAGAGACGAGTATTCCTTACGTTTCGCCCGTGAATGGCAAGTCTAAATCAATGGCGGGTCTTCGTTTCTCAAAGCTCTCCTTCCTTCTGGACGGGAATAATCACAATGCCCTCTTTGCAGGTCCGCCAGGTGTCGACAACCGAGCCTCTGCACGAAGGCCGTGGCGAGAAAGCTCATGAGCTTTTGCGTCGGCGTGATTGTCCTCGTCAACGTACCGTTTTTCTTCATCTACACCTTCGACGACAACGGGATCATCGTTACGAGGGCGCTGTCGGACACCTCGCGAGTGTACTCCGGACGAGCCGTCGCGCCTTGACAAAAATCGCGTTTGCCGACCACCTTGGATGTAACGAAATGAAATGCATCGCGCGACATTACAGCACTCGCTGGACTTTCTACGCGAACGCGGACTGGTGTCAATCCAACGGCCGTGACGAGCGAGCTTCCGAACAGCTGCGAGCGTTATCACTGGGCGTCGATCGTTGATCAGTCGTATTTCTACCTAAGAGACTCGTTGGGACAGACGCGGCGGAAAATTTGGCTGCGACTTCACGCCGCTAACAGATCGCATCGGTGCGGCGCCTGTACGTCATAATATATTGAAAAACAATTTAACAATTTCAATCAAGGATGTTCGCAACACTCAACTGGACGCAGCTTGTATTGTTTGCACTTTTGCCGGCGCTGCTTTTGCTAATTTGCAACGCCATCGTGATTTTCACAGTGAGAACAAATCTGAAGCGGAGAGAGCTCCTTCTAAAATGCCGACAAACGAGAAGGGGGTGAATTTCTTGTTCCGCTGATTCACGCGCGGATTTTCCACCTTATTTGTAATTATTTTCAAGATCAATCTAAGCTTACGATCATCTTGATCGCCATTGTATTTCTATTTCTCGTCGGTGAAATCCCAACGCACTTAGCGTCGCGCAGAAGTGCGATTTCCATTCTCTACGGCGGCGATCCGCGTCTAGTTGACAAATCCGTTATGGCAACGCAAGTAACTGTTCAGCGACGAGTTGATGCCTTCCAGCGTTATTTTATTAAATCTTGGTCCTTTTTCTTAGTTTTCGGCTGATAGCGACAGTTTTGTCAGCGATCTCGTGCTCTACAAATTTCGTGATGTACTGCTTACTGAATCCGAAATACTTTACGAATTGGAAGGCCCTCCTGCAAAAACAGGACAAATCGAAAAATCCATCGATGCGAATAGCTACGATCAAAGGCACGATGGAAGGCAAGACCATGAGCACTCACACTCCTCGGAAATTTTAAAGACATTTTTATCATGAAAAAAAAGCTATAAGTATAAATGTGTATAAGTGACCGTAAGTGTCTTATTTTAATGAAAAAGAAATGAATAAATCAGACTGAATCGGACTGAAGTATTTTAAAACGTCACGCTCGATCATCTAAGTAGCAAACGCAGCGATTTAAATTCCCTCGTGATATCACGCAGAAAGTACAAAGGAATAAAAGCTGCTACATATGTATCGCGAATGACATTAAGAAAAACATCTGAAATTTTATTTTTACGAACGAACGCAGGAATGATAAATCAATGAAAGCGTCAACCTATCATTCATGAGTTGCAATTTTCTCGATTCGAGGAATATAGATGCATTTCCAAGTGGTATATCGGGTAAAGATCCGGTGAATCCCATTAGTAGCGAGACATCTAACGGACGCGAGAAAGCAAACTCACCAAGTAAAATCAAACGAACGATCGGTATTTGTTGTTCTCGTAACGCGAAGCTTAAGTTTCAACCAGCTAAAGCGTAAGCGTATCTTAATTTACATAGGAAAATTACCAGGACAGTCAAAACGTACTTCATGTATCTATTTAAGAAAGAAATAAGTAGACAGTATGAGATAATGTCAATTAATTAAAATAAAAGTTATTTCCATATAGCTCCAACAAAATATCTCTATTCATTGCTCCCACGACGATTTTACCGCCAGAACAAATAGGTTCACATATGACAAAGGATAGATGAGTCTTTTAAAAAAAACGACGAATGATCACTTACGACGAGGCGGCTCATATAATTCCAATCGAATTTTACTTCTAGGCAAGTTCGTTTGATCGTTCAACTTTATAGAAATCAATAATAATTATAATATAATCAAAATATAATCAATTATATTATATGTCAATTATAATCAACATGGTGACCTGAAAATGAAGGTTTGCGATACCAATTATTCACGATACTACAACTGTTTTGAACTGTCCTTTCAATGGGAAAAATAGATGGTATTAAAAGTTGTGAGCTAAATTTGAAATCACGGTACCCCAGGTAAAGGCGACAATTCAAAGATTAATATAGTAGATAGCTGAATGTAGAAGTAGTTCACATTTATATTGACAAACATGCTCTATTCAAGGATGAGTTGATACTGTGATACTTATACGCATTAACGAACCATCTGTCATTACAAAACGTAGCGACAGCCTACGCAGTGACACATGGATCCGAACGAATATGCGCTGGAAATTCAATTTATCATGCCCTACAAATTTCCTGACATAAAAAATCAAGGACTCGTTAGCATCTTTCAACAATTCAACCTCTATAAAACTCAAAATTATAAGTACACTTGGCTTCAATTGTCATCGGTGAAATTCAATTGCCTATTTGGCTTATTCTTTGTGGCTGGGTGGTTCTACGTCAGAATCCAAGACTCTCAACTTTTACAGAATCAGACTCAACGTACGACGTGCTGTCGTCTAAAATATTAATTAACAAAATCGGTACTTTAGGTCAATTGAAGGTAATGTGCATGTTATCGAATCAATTTACCGATACGTTAATGGCGGTAATCGATGAATGTGTGATGGAGGAAATCAGTATCAGTTTCGAAGTAACTTTGCATACAAGCAGAGAAAATGGGTGTAGCATTAAAAATTACAGATATCACTGGATGTGATACGGCAGAGAAATTGATCACTACTTATTTGGATTATACAAATTCTTCGTCGACTGTGTCAATTATCATTGATGAATCGATCAATTGACAAAGCGTTTCCACTATAATTGTAAACAAAGACTACGCAACGTTGACAGCTGACTTTTACAGTGAATCACTATCTCAGCTTGATTTCTGCTATCAAAACTGTGCAACATCTGTACCCAGAAAAATTTGCCTGGACGGGTTTTTATTAAGAACAAAGCTAATGCGACTGGCAACGGTATTTTTAAGTAAGCTCAGTCCGTTTATAGTTATTGATACATTGCTTGTGAAATTCATCAGTGAAACATTTTCATAGTCTTACATTCAACAACTACTATATGCAATTTCACTGAGATTCATGTCCGATTGGAGTAATGGCTTGAAATTTATGTATTTCAAAAATCCACTCGTAGTATTTTTTATTTTAATTATTCGCGTCGCTCATTTTGTAACTTTTGGTGCTCGTATATATCGGCATACTTTTCGGAAGATCAATCAGTACAAATCAGGAACAGTATAAGCGACGAAAACTAATCATAAAAATTAATTTAAAGGAATCACTAGATACTTCTTTGTAAGCTTCTCATCAACTTCGCAAAAGCTGTAAAACAAAATTTTGTTAACTAGGGTTCAATTGAGCAATCTTTTCCAGAATGCACATTTGCTAAGCAAAATTGAAAACAGTATTGGAACAATTTTGGTATTATTTATGACAGAGGTTATCTATTTTTTAATTGCTATTTACGAATATTCGATAAATCCTGGGAAGTATGGTATCGTAAAGAATTCTTCCTCTGGTAAGTAAAAAATTTAATCTCAGTCAATCTCTAGGTACTTTTATATGTTGTCACTATTACCTCCTTACATTTTTTTATTTACTAATAAATAAAAAGTATTTTGGAACAAAAATACCAAAAAGAAATAGTGTATTTTAGAAAACTTAGTGCACGAAGATATAGAGGATCAGTATTCTATCAATTCTGAATTATAAATGAGCTTTTATTGTATTCATTTTACTTATACTTTAAATATGATTTTTTCCGATTAATTTATTGATTCATTGTATTACCATCAACGTAATGACGAGTAGCAAACAAGTTACGAAAAGAAATTGTGCGTGTTTAACCGATGATGAGATATTTCAGTGTCTAAGTGATTGTATACAGTGATTATAGTTTTTATCCGTTGCGTCAGATATCATGAATGGGAAAACAACAAAATTTTTTTATGTCGATGTAAATTTGTTAAGCAAATAAAGATTGCTCAGCAGGATTCCATTGATTTAATTAACTACAATATTGTGATATTACATTTTTGTGACATTATTGCGAGCATTTCGGAAGGAAAAGTAACTATATAAAAGACACAGAAAATGTCCGAAGATCAGAGTGCAAGCTCTACCGTGGTATGGCATTTAATTGCGTCATTCAAGTTAGGACTAACGGATCAATTAACATGTTACCTAATTCTTTATAACTTTTTCTTCTTTTTTTCCATTTGTCATAGAAGGATACGTACGTACTATTTTATTTTATTTATCAAACTTTTTATACTAATAAGTTAACTTTATCCGTCAGAGTATTTTTGCGTCTTTCACCAACAATTCCTCTTTGAGAAATTATAGTTTATCGTTAAAAAAACTATAGCACCATCTTGCAGAACTACAGGATTAAGAACAGTAAATATAAAATTAATGTTTGTACTAAGTTTATTTGAAAAAAAAATTCGAATACAAATCAATTGTACAGTATACATCTTATATTACACAAACGCATTACGAAGATAATATCCATCATTTTGTATTAATTAGTTAAATGAAAGAAAAAGAAAATTCTCCCTCCCTTTTAGCGCTGTTCGCACTTTTTTCCGCAAAATTATTAATGATAATACTCCGCGCGCTCATTCTCTTTCGACATCTGCAATTTCTCATGCGAATAAAAATAAAAAAAAAAAAAAAAGAAATTTACTCTCATCTTTGATGCCCATTGTTTTTTGGTTAGTAAAGTTCGTTACTATGCGTGCGAGTGAGATTTTGTTAGTAATAAATGTTAAATATGAAGGGGAAACGAAGGGTTAGGACAAGTGCACAAACTAAAGAATTAAATTAAACGAAACTAAAATTACGTTTTTTCACGGAAAAATGCCCTTGCAGTATAGCCCTTAGATTACGTGTTCAAACATTCGTTCGCACATGGACTTTTTGTTACCAGGGAGGGAGATTTACGACGATTGGTGTGCGGATATATGCGGGACATAGCTTTTTCTTTTAAATTCGAGTTTGAATTATACATATAAAAAAAGAGGGATATATTCGCTGATTCGAAGAAATCGAGCGCTCCTTCGCATATGTGAACCAAATGGAAGAGAAAAATATTATATAAATGCCAAGTTAAAATGACGCGTACTAAACTTTATACATACTGAATATCTTTATTTTAATATATCTTTTGTTTTATTATTTCGATCGATCAGATATTTTTCACATCTTTCTTATAGACTTTTTTTTAAAATTGATAAGAGTTTAGTTTTCATTTATTATTGATGAGCGCCACTTATCTGTATGTAACTTCTTATTACATCTCTACAAATAGAAGGTTCTTACAAGTATATTAGCATAAAAGGGATTTCCGTACATTCCTGTTCTACGAACATTTGCAATGCTTTATTAGTTATATAGACTTTATGAGATTGAAGTAAGAACTAACATTTTCACATCAAAGCTTGGAATTTATGAAAGGTTTCTTAAAAAACAGTGGTAAAACAGGCAATTTCGGTATATCCCACACAAAGGACCTTGGGGGCATCGGTTATGTACGGCTAACTATCAATCATTAATAATAAATTGTAATAATAATTGAAGCTACACAAAAGTGTTGTGTAGACGCAGTCAAAGTGTCATATATTTAGATGGTCATATGGAAACGAGAAAGATGGGGTTACACGTTCATTGCTGTATGTACAAGTATTGTTATAGCAACGCTTTGTCTCTTTCTTCATCCTTTCTTAAATTTAAAAATTGTTTTTTCTCTCACGGAGAAATAGAATCAAGAAATAGTGAATAAATTGTGTATTTTGTATACTTTCATTGGAAATAGCCAAACATATTCTTACAGAGCGGATTCGCGTCATCATGAACGTAGTTATTCTGTCGCAGCTCTTCGCTAGACAGAAAATGGAGAAGACGTAACAATGTGATGTGTATGCCGAGTAGTTTCAAAAACATCGTATGCCATTGAAAAATTAATGTATAAGCGAAAATTCTTTTGCATAATATTTACAGCGTTCGTTAAATTACTTTCGAAGGTCTCAATGTACACGGGGACAATTAATAAAATTATTAATCAAGAAACTAATTTACAACAAAAATTTCTTTTCGATTATTTGTACTAAAAATTATTAACGTAGTAATTATCAGCCTCATATGTTCTTCGTGGCAAAATAATATGCCAAACGGTTTACTCGGTTAGTGACACGTAAAAAAATAAAATCAAATTATAAAAAGTGAATATTAGTAGTAATCTAAGATATCTTTGACATACAATTTTTTTGAAACCACTCTCAGTATCGATCGAATCAACATAATTTAAAAATCTCGGGGTTAAAATGATACTTTTTCTTTCGGTTCGAATGTACTTCAAAGCTATAGACAATCATTTGTAGAATATTTCGCCGTTGAAAAAATATGTTCCCATGTGTTTTTTATTTGTATGTTTGCTATTTTCTTCGTCAAAGAATGCGATTCGCCCGATGCATACACGCGTCACAATGGCGTTGCATCCACTCGGAATTTTTAGCAGCTTATTATTGGATTTCGTAAGTTATTTTTTCATTCAATTTTTTTAACTTGTTGTTAATCATTTTTTTCTTTCTCTCTCTCTTTCTCTCTCTTTTTCTAACTTATAATCCAAGGTATAGTTTTCTTAAAAAGAAATTACAAACGCATCTTTGGCTCCCCTTTTTACTCTTTTGCGATGATACTTAAAAAGGACGGTCAGCATTTTCGTGTACACTGTAACAAAAGAATTGATGTTCAATTCAGCTAATGCATAGAATCGAAATAGATTGTTAATTAATTTTCATACATAAAAACGTTTCTGAAATTTGAGATAAATTACTGCGTTTTTCTTTACAAATAGATAATTAGTGCGATTAACTTATAATAAATTTACAATATCGTGGCATATTAACAGAGTACAGTAATCGCTGTAATCTACAATTAGAAATATCTGAAAGAATGATGAGATAAAAAGCGATAAAAATGTATTATTAGTCAAACGATGGTGTAACATTAGAGATGATAAAAATTATTATCGACGGCGACACTGGTTGGTTAGTTTTTAAAATCCAAGGCAAGCAGGACTGGTAATAGGCGTGAGAGACATTCGATGGACGATAGCGAGTATCTTTGTAGGATGATTAGTGATTCCTTGTTTCATCATAAGTAGAACAACAAAATCACTAGTCTTCCATACAACGACACTCAAATTTTTATATGCTTTTTTCGTATTTTTGGTTACTCCGATGTGTATGTGCGTGTGATCATCACCCAGGATATAAAAAAGCTCCGTCTGTACTTTTTTTCGTTTGTCAGCGCTCTTATAGTCGTCTGTTCTTTAATACGCAGGCTGTTAGTTACGCTTAAGATGTTAGTTTATGAATGATATGGATTTTCGCATGTAACAGTAAAAGTCAAAGAATATTAATTGTAAGAAGAAAAACTTTGGAAGCGCATTGAAATAGTTAAAAGCATTCAGTCTTTGACTTTCACTTAACAATTCAAAGTTAGTAAGAACGTTACAAACGCATAATTTTCCATTGATATAATGTAAATTATCTCTCCAGATGCAATCGAGAAGAAGCATCTCATTTGACCTTAGACTACAGTTACAACACATTCGCCCCCCCCCCGCCCCACTCCTCGCGGACATTTATTCGGCCAAATTGTCATGCAAATATACATAATATCTCTGCACCGCGGAAGAAAAACGCAGCTCTTAACAAAGAAGGAAAGGGAAACAGTACTATATAAATAGCGCTTACCTTTGTTGCAAGAGGAACTGAGCCATCTGTATCTGGCAGGCCAAGCCGGTGATGGTAATGATGCGGTCGTTGCTGCCAGGCAGTGGCAAGTCAATGGTAATTCCAGCTCCGCTGTCGGCGCGGATCTTACGAATTCGCGCGCCGCCCTTGCCGATTATAGCTCCAGCAAGCTAAAAATACAAGGAGATTTATGTTTATGGATTCTCAAGGCTACTTCGCTGCTTTCGCATTGCGTTTCGATTCGATTCGCGAACTCTCGAGGATACATCAACGGCATACGTTTACTGCGCGTCGGCTGTTTTTAAACAAATAAAGCTTACGTCTTTCGGTATGGTGACTTGAGTGCTCGAGACGTTTCCGCCGGCGCCGCCGCCTTGATTGCCGCCATTGTTGCCAGCGCCACCGCCACTGCCACCCATAGGTGAATTGCCCATGCCAGAATTGCCACCACCTCCGCCGCCGCCGCCAAGGCCATTGGGTGCGTTGCCACCTCCTCCGCCACCTTGCATACCGCCACCCCAGCCATTGCCTGTGAAATCGTCGTAGAAACGGGGTTAATTAAGGCGACTGACGAGGATCGGCAACGTTTAGGCTGTTCCGCGGATATTTGCAAACAACATCGCGGAAAGCTACATTAATGACTTGCGCTGACCATTATAATTGCCACCTCCGCCTCCGGAGTACGGTGGCCCGCCGCGATTGCCATTGAAGCCACCACCAGGTCCACCGCGGTCAACTCCGAAGTTGCCGCCGCCGCCGCCGCCGCCGCCGCCGCCACCACCACCGCCTCCAAGTCCGCCGCGCGAGTTCGGTGGGCCACCGAATCCCCCGCGATCACCGCCAAAGTTGCCACCTCCAGGCCCACCGCGAGCGCCGCCGCCGCCGCCTCCTCCGCCGCCACCGCCGCCACCACCACGGCCGCCCATTGACGGGAAGCCTCCGCGGTTCATGTCGGGACCTAAAGTCGAGCGAACCTCGGGTTTAATTACATTCCAAGGCAATAAGCAGTCGAGTCGGAATCGCAAGCGACTCATCGACTACGTGTACACGCTAGGATGGAATCAGAGCTCGTGAAAGTCAAGCAGCGGCTATTAGCTGAAATTCTCATTGGGAACAGGCTCGTCGGTCCAAGTGAGACGTACCTCCACCGCGGTTGTCGCGCGGTCCGCCGCGAGGTGGCATGCCGCCCTGGTTGCCGGAGCGCCCGCCGCCGAAGCCACCGCCGGCGCCGCCGCCTCCTCCGCCGCCGCCGCCGCCGCCTGGCTTGCCGGCCGGCTGTCCGTTCTCACCGTAGCCGCCGTACTCCTCGGCGTAGAACTCATCGTAGTTGCGCGGGTCGTACGGGTTGTTGATGCCCTTCAGCGGCGACTGCAAAACGAACTTCCGTCAAACCGAATTCGGACGCGCGAGAGTGCACGCGCAGTCTATACTCACGCTCTTGATGGTGTTGATCAGCTCGCGGATGCACTCCAGCACCGTCTCGTTCTTGCCGCAGACGCTGATCAGCCGGTCGGTGCTGTGGGGACAGCAGTTGGAGTAGATCTTGATGCGAGCGCCGGTTTTCTGTAAAGCAGAAGTCGCATTGAACCTGCTGCGCTTGGCCAAATTGCGGTTCGTCAACGACACGTGCCGGACGGCTGCTTCGCCTCGACGCCCCCCCCCCCCCTCCCGCGCGTTCGCCCGCGGCCCGGAAAACGTCGACCATTCTGTGCAAATGCGAGCGAACGAATGAAATTGGGAAACCTCCTCGCTCGGTTCGCTCGAGCTCCATTTTGGCTCGGACGGTCGAGGCGCAAACAACGCGCCCGAGCCTCGCGAATCGCCTCTCACGGTGTTGTCACCGCGGTAAACGTGGTACCGTCTGCGCCAGCGAAACGCGATGTCGGCCAAGTACCAAGCGAGCGAGGTCGCCAAGCACAATCATCCCGACGACCTGTGGCTCGTGCTACACGGCAAGATCTACGACGTCACCAAGTTCCTCAAGGAGCACCCCGGCGGCGAGGAGGTGTTGATCGGCCTCGCGGGCACTGATGCCACTCTGTGCTTCGACGACATCGGCCACTCGCAGGTAAGTCTCGTCGAGCGCGCGCACGACGCTCGTCCTCGACTATAGCTGTCGTGTCGCAGGAAGCCAAACAGCTCAAAGACTCGTACGAGATCGGCGCCTTGGACGGCGTGATGGCGCCGTCGACGACGACGACGACGACGACCACCACGGGATCGAGCGACGCGACTGGCGACGACGACGACCATTGGGAGTACGTGGAGACGAAGGCCCAGTCGTCGCCTTACATCCCCGTCTTCATCGCTCTCGGCGTGCTCGTCTACGCCGTGCTGTTCTACTACGTATTCTACTGAGTGTCGTCGTCCGAAAGCGTGCGCGAGTGTGTGGAAATTAAAGGAAAAAAGAAAAGCAAACGAAAAACAAAATAAAGACAAGTGTTGTTCCTTATTTACCCATCAGCGCGACTCAGCAGTTCGCAATCGCTTGGGCAGTTTTTCGAGCGCTTGAAAATGCCAATCATCGAGAATGTAGCCGCGCGGCTTCGGAGGCACACACGCGCGTACGTACAAGCAAGATAATGTAAGCTGAGAGGAAAGAGCGAGAGAGAAAGAGAGAGAGAAAGAGAGAAAGAGCGCGCGCGAGCGAGAAGGAACAGCGTGTGGGGAAGGGGAAACGGCGAGTGCGAGTAATACCGAAAGTCGCTTCGTTGGCAGTGTCCACTGACTCGCGCGAGTGCGGCTGCGATTGGCGAGGAGGCTCGTGCGCGCGTGGATTTGTTTCTCTCATCGAGCTTCTTCGTCGACGCGCATTCTCTCCGCCGACTTGGTTGAGCCAGCCCAGGTAAGTCGTTCGGCGCCGCGGCCCGCTGGGCGCGAGCGATTACGCAACCGCATAGCACGCGAGCACTGCGCTGCTTGGTCGGCCGAGAGATCCGGCAAGCAGTCGCGATGGCGTCGCCATTCGCGAATCAGCGCCAGATAAGCGCTCGGCGTCGAGCGCGCGGCGCCGCGAGCGAACTACACCCGAGACCTTGCGACTTTGCAGGCCAGCAAGCATGTCCAAGCAGTTCACGTACGACGAGGTGAGCGAGTCCAGCGACCACACGCGCACGCTCATAGCCGTCCACGACAAGGTGTACGACGTGACCGAGTTCCTGAACGAGCACCCGGGCGGCGAGGAAGTGCTGCTCGACCACGCCGGCAAAGATGCCACCGAGGACTTCAACGACGTCGGCCACTCGAGCGACGCCCAGGACTTGATGAACAAGTACTTGATCGGCGAGATCGTCGAGGCCGAGAGGCGAAATCTGCCGAAGAAACAGGCCTTCGGCTACAAGCCGGTCGACAGCAAACCCGACGACAAGTACGTTCAAGGACCCGGCACGCCGTTTCTCGCGCTGGCCGGCGCTGTCGCGATCGTCGCCGTCCTGTTCTTCTACTACGTGCTATGAGCGAACCAGCGCTTCGGAAAATATTTCAATTGCCGTTTTCCGCCTTCTTCCAAGTGCGCAGTGTGATGTTCTTTTGCCAACTCACGATACTTATATGATGTCATTCTTTGTAATTATTATATATATACTCTAACATTGGATTCTTGTTTATAATAAGAAGGTGTGCTATTCTAATTTTTTTAATGACACTAAAGGACCTTGTTTATTTATCGCAAGTATTACACTTAAAAAGAAGACGACAGCAGTTTGCTTTTTGTCACATTCCTTATTATATATATATATATGTATATGTATATATGTATGTATATATATATATATATATATATATATATATATATATATATATATATATATATATATATATATATATATATATATTGCAATAAAAACGTTCTATAGTTGACAAGATTCTGAAAACTCATTCATTTTTCTTGCGTGCAGGTAAAAACACCAATCAGACGTGCGAAACTTGTTTCTATTATGCCGACGAATCGGAGTGACGATGCTGAATAGTTGAAAAGAAGAATAAATGAAAAAGCTGCGTGTGGGTGAATTCATGACAATTCTATCGCGAGATAAGATAGCTAAGATTGCATTTGATCGTTAAATCGGATAACGTTAGGCGAAAAAAAAGCAATAAAATAATTGATATCAAGAAGCTAGATTCCAATGATCCCCGAGCGATTCTCATCCGAAACATAGGAGGCGCGAGAGAAAAGGAAGTACGCGCCGAGCAGATGGCAGCGATTAACAGGAAGGATATGCGGTCTCCCGCAGTACCCCGCGTAGTCTTTCTCCAGAGATGCCCAGCGGAAGCGCGCTGAACGTTAATTAAGCCCGAAAAAAAAAAGAAGCCACCGGGACGCGGGAAATGCTACCGCCGCGCTTTTCCACGGGGAGAGGGGCCGCGCTTCGGCTTTTTTACGAATAACGTTGGCGTTATTCGTAAATTTGCCGCGCTCACAATCAAGTAGCTTTCAAAAGTTGATTTTACATTGCAAACGACCTTTGGTATCGTCAATCGCAAAAATGCACACGCAAAGGATATTTATATCGACGTTCCGTGCGATCCGACTAAAGGCCGCTGAAGTATTTAGCAGATCGCGTGCGAGTCTCTTTTTTTCTCTTCGCGTGTCATTCGCAAAAAAAAAAAAAAAATAAATAAATAAAAGAAAAAAAATGAAAACGAAAAGGGTTAAACGCCACTCATATATATAGATATGCATACACACACGCGCGCACACACACACAGAGCAGTTAACCTCGATATTCTATCCTGCTTCCTTGCAGTTCCCATCGATTGGTCTTGCCTCTATGGAATCGTTTGCGCTTTCGCTTCTTTAAATTTTCAAGCGAGAAAATTAACAGGATTATGACATTTTGAAATCTCTTGGCGCGCGCGCTGTGTCTCTATTACGCGCAGTTGCAGAGCGACGAGAAATGAAATGTGTATTACGTCTTTGTTAAAGCAACTTACAATACCTGTCCCGAGTGCATCACTTTTCACCTCGGTTGTATTATGTATCCCGTACTCACGCGGTAACTTTTATTTCCGCGAATGAAAGATATCGTGGCGCTGTTGAATGCTCCCAACGGACATTGTGCCGAGCGAAGATTCCCGCCTCGCGAAAAAAGCCGGCTTCTCAAAAAAAAAAGAAAGCCCCCCCCCCTCCAAAAAAAAAAAAAACTCACCGGCAGCCAACGGCTTCTCGAAAATCGAGTCCATGTCGCGAGAGCGTAAGAAAGAAGGGCTCTGCGCGTTGTCGCGGTAGCCGAAGAACTGAGTCGCAGCTACGCGGGGCCTCCCTTATTCGCTGGCCCTCGGACGGGATCGAAGAGGGGGAAGCAGCAGAGAAGGGCACAACGCACACACGCTAACGTAATTACGGCCGTATGAATTATAAATCTATTGTTCAACTCTGGGAATGACCAATTGTACGGTTGCGGCCTGGCACGCGAGGGTGGACGATTTTCGCCTCCCGAAGGGGCGGCCAACCGACCACCGGATAAACGGCCGCCGGGAAAACTTTACGAAAACCATCGCCCTTCGGAGGCTCTTTTTACCAAGCGCTCCCGTCCGGGCGAGTTGAGAGCCGGCAAGCATCCATTGAAAGAGTCTTTGCGAGAGAGAAACATCTCGCCGGCATGCAAATTAAAAAGCGTCTTCGAGTTGCCGAAAAAGATTTTCAAGAGCGACAGAGACAATCCAGGCAGATTTTTTGAAGGGAATCTTTTTTGGGGTCCCTCTCTCTCTCTCTCTTTCTCTCTCCCTGCCGGCTGCACCTTTTGTTTGACGATTCGCGCTCTTTGAGAAATCATAATAAAGAGGGAACCACCTTTAAAATTCTGGGAAAGCGGGATTTAAACCGTGTCAGAGCGAGGCGGGGAAAAAAATGAAAACGCGGCGCGTTGAGAGACGTACGCGTGACTTGGTTTTCGACAGACTTGCAGGGAATCATCCACCGGATTGAGAGAGATCGTTGGAATTTCAATCGATATCTCCGCCGAGAAATTTTCGTAGATCGATTAACTCCAACGAGAACGAGTACAAGAAATGTACCGGTCCAAGGGAAAATAAGCGCGCATCGCCAATTAGCAACCGACCGGCAAGCATCGTTTTCCTCGATTTTTCCCGCGCGCGAGATAGCGACAGCAGCAACGGCAGTCGGCAGGAAGACGAGCGCGCGTCTGGAGGCCGCGAGGTTGGGCGTTCTTGAACAAAAGCCCTCCGCAAAGCGGAAGCTACGAGGAATAAAAGGCGGAGCTGTACTGAAATTCCTCTTCCTCCCTCTTCATCCAGCCCTTGACGGGGGACAAATTTCTCATCGACTTTCAGGAGAAAAAAAATTATTATCCAAAGAAACGAGCATCCCTCGCGGCCAATTTTTTCGAGGCTCGCTAGGCCAGCTGAGTCGCTTCTTCGAAGGAATTCCTCGGCGGAGAGAAAGGGCGGCCCAGCAACGCAGCAGCCGAGCGAGAAAACAAGGCGCGCAAGGGCACACCTGGCGTCGGCGAGCAGCTGCCGCCGCACGCACACGGAGACGCAGAAAAAGGAGGCGTCCGTTAGGGGCACACCTGTTCCAGCTTTTCTGAAAGTCGCGCGCACATGTCATACGCATACGTAACGAACAAGAAATAATATTATCTGTCATTAAATTTTCACTTCGAGCGTGACACATAGATACTTACGCACGTTCACGCGCGCGCGCGCATGCCTATGCACGAATTATTATTAAATATGATTGGGGGGGGGGGGGGGGGGGTCGACAAAAAAGGGAGATCAGCTGTTGTAGGAATGAATGGAGCGAGCGCGTACGTGGTTAGAACGTTTTAGCGAGCAAAAAAATTGTTTTCGCGCAAAATATTTGCAGATCCCAGATATCGATATCGAGGCTATCTCAACGCTTGGTAAATATAGAATGCAAACGCGTGTGTTATAGATTGATAAAGTGCCGATTCGATCGTTCCCCTACGCGATTTCAATTGTTTTTGCAAACATTTCCAACGCACAAAATACGAAATTGATTAGAGCACATTACAGCACGTGCGCAGATTGCGAATCGCAAAATGAAAACGATCCCGTTCTCACCTAAACCACAAAACTTGGCGGATAATTGGACGCGAGATAAGTAAAAAGAAAGTCCCTCCCTCCCTCCCTCAAACTTCGTGTGCGCGTACAATTATCCAAGCTCACTTTCGTGGAATTAATTTGCGCTGTCTTTCGTGTACGCATACGTATATATACATACGAAAGAGTTCTTTTTTCAAGAGACACGATTGTTATCTTGCGTCGAGCTTGAGGGCTTTTTAGTATGCGTCACTGACGTCAATCTTTTTTTTTTTCACAGTAGGAAAGAATTATTGATGGCAAGAGTAGATTTGACGTTTGTTCCGCTTTGCAGGCAAAGATGTTTTGAAAAACACATGCACGTACAGATCGGTACGAGCAATCGCTGCGGCTGGTCGATATATGCGCAACGTTTAATTTCTCGAACGGCTCTCGTAGACGAGTAATTCATACATTGCGAACGAAACAAGGCTATATTAATTTAGAATGACGTCACCGTAAGTAAAGGACGTAGAATGATTTTCAACGCGCGACGCAACGTCAAAAATTATTTTCCCGCGTAATTTATTGACGGTCGGTAAGATAGAGAACCAAAAAGATAAGCAGTTTCGCTGGTTCAATCGTACATTTCTCAATCCCTACACACACACACACACACACGCGCGCGCGCGCGCGCACACGCACGCACACACACACACACACACACACACACACACACACACACACACACACACACACACACACACACACACACATTCGTAGTCTAACCGGATTTTATAACCAAACGGCTTTCCTCCCCTCTATTTTCTTAGCCCCCTAGAGGCTTCTTTTCGACGACGAAGGCGAATTGCTGTACGGAGATGTAACCACTTGTTATTTACCAGTAGAGTACGTTACTCATGAAATTTTAATCACATTTTGCTATTGGATTTTTTGTGGTTTACGAGTTTCGTTAAGCACGTTTTGGACGTTCATTTATCGTTTATATAAGTAATACGTAGTTTTATGCTAAAATCAAATCAAAACTTTTGTCTTTGAGCAAATGCGGGCTTGATTCTCTTTTTAAAGCCTATTGTTATTGCCTTACTTATTTTTTATTCAATTACTTAATCGATAATATATCGATGTAGAACACCCAGAATTTTTAATTAGCGCCGATTTGCTGAAAATGTCAGCTGCTGTGCTAAATAATACTAAATGCGCAACATACCACATACATATGTATATATAATACTGTCACATAACAGTAAACCATGTGACTATAGTCAGCCAATCAGACCACGAATAAAATGGCTTCACTTACCAGGCCATCAATCTTAAGCAATAAGCAAAAGCAATAAAAAAAGGAAGATGGTACACAATTGCTTCAGAGAAAGAATCATGCGGATATTATTTTACGCCGATAAGGTAGATTCCTAATTATTTTTCACATCAAATTAAGAGTCATATAAAAAAATTCTAAACAGAATAGAAATAAACGTCCGAAATAAATATTGCATAGATCGTTATGAACGAACTGAATAGGAAAAAGAGAAGAAAAAGATAATTCATAGACTATCTACGATCAATAGACGTACAAACACCAATACTTTCAGACTAACGCAATTAAAAAATGATGTGACGTCGCTGAGTGACAATGCCACGTTCCTATCGCGAGTGCGCTTGTACTTCAGCTTTAGTCTCTCGCGCGAAAAAAAAGTTCAATATACATTCGACACCTCCATGGAAACTTCCTGGTAAACTAATTCATTGATGTTGCAAACAAAAAAAAATAGCAGTCAAACAATCGACAAAAACTCGTTGGATTTATATGGCTTCGCTTCGAAGGATAGGATGAAGCCCAAAAAAGCATTTTTTTTCGACACTCACCTCTCTTAACTCTTTGATCTTGTTGCCACCCTTGCCGATCACACAGCCAGCTTGACTTTGATGAACCAACATACGTAAGTCGATGTCATTGTCTTGACCTGTCTTCAGTCCAGCCTACATAAAAAGGAAATTTAATATTTTTTCTTTCCTATCGATAACCATTCTATAGTAAAAAAGAGAGCTTTTATAAGGGCTATTAATGTCTCGAGAGAGAGAGAGAGGGAGAGGCGCGTTTATCAAGATTTTGCCGTCAATGAAGATAAAAAAAGTACATTTAATGCTGGCTTGAATAGCTTCATAAATTCTTTAGACTTAATTAAAAGCTCGATTATATCTTATCATGGGCATCATGCCATGTTGGAGTTTTACTTTGCTTGTACTCCAGTTCATTTGATAAATGCTCCATTCATAAATGAATTAATCCACAAATAAAAGCAAAAGAATACGATTGTTTGGATCAATAGAAATCGATTATTTTGTATGTGAAAATATAAACAACCGTAGCTCTTGTTTTTACATTTATAAGCATGTAAATAAACGTACCTCTTCGAGTTTAGGTACCATATCACCCAGGACAGTCATAATAGTCTCGAGATCCGAGGCAATGGTCAGGATCCTAAAATCAGAAAGACTCAGCGAGTTACATAGGCTCTTTTCGTCCGAAAAATTGTTCAAATACAGGAGGGAGGGCAAAAATACCGAACTGGATATTTTAAGACAAAAAAAACTCGTTTTATTTGCAAAAAGAATTTGTCACAACTTTTTTTTTATTTGGACATACACATTGAAATGTTTTTCTTTAATGTGCTTGAATTCTCGGACCAAGGGATTTTTTTATTCTAGAAGGCAAAAAAAGTTTGTTTTTATCTAACGACAACAACAAAGAAAGCAATAAAGTAGATCTATGAGGGAGTTAATCTGGTTGGACAGTTTGTTTAAAATCTTTACTTACAATCTAACAGACTGGTTCATTTATGAATAAGCTAAGAAAAAACCAGTGAGTAGTAAACAAGTAACAAGTGAGCGACCTCTTTAGCCGTGATAGTGGGCTAGTAAAGTGCCTGGACTTTCTAATACAGGAGGTAATTAGAATTGTAAGGGATGTTTACTACCTCTTTTATAAGTTTTTATTTTTTTTGTTTTTAAAAATTTTTTTTCGGCGCCAAATTGCCATTGGGTTTGTCTGAAAAAATTCTTCAGATATATAATAATAACAGTTACGCTTGCAGATGTATTCATCTTTCAACAATCATCTTATCAAAAGCACAAAAAGGAAAAAGTTGGCAATTACAATGGACGAATACATCTACAAGCTGCTTGTGAAAAAATGGGTTTATCTTAAATTCTACAGCATCGCTAATATTTTATCACAGCTTAATATCCATTTACCAAGTAACCCTTTTCCGGTTTCTTTTTATTGATTTATAGACATAATCATTATTATCAGCAATCGTAAACGACGAATCAGATATGTCATAAAACACTCAGTTACAATAATATATAATTAAAGCCGCTGTGCATGTATAAACTATGGGTTAGTTTACCGCACCCTTTTCCATTATTCACACAACAAAAAATATATAGTCAGAGAAGCGGCAGCCATCTTTTTTATGCACATTTAAGAATCTTTCTTCGCCCGTTTACGTAATTACAAATAAATAAATACTTAAGAGTATATCAATATAACTTCCATTCGGGATACGTGTTGGAACATGAATTGTTACTTGATTCCTCCTATGGAGAAGAGAATATCAAAGAAACAAAAAAAAAAGAAAGGCGACTTGACACCAGAAGTAGAACATAATTTGATAATATTAAAAGTAATGTCAGGAGAATAAACTCCTTGAACGTCAAATTAACAAGGAGTGTCACTTCAAAACCTGCCATAGTGACGAAGAGGATTCCTTGCATTTTTGCAGTCAAATAGAGAAAATTGAAAAAGAGAGAAAGGAAGAAAGAAAGAAAAAAAGAAAGAATGCATGGAAGAAAGAAATAAAGAAAGAAAGAAAGAAGGAAAGAAAGAAAGAAAGAATAGAAAAAAGCCAATTTCATCGAGGACCATAAATGGGCCACGGGACGAAGACTGGAGGGTTCGTGATGCTGTTCGTGAAAGAGAGATAGATATATAGATAGGTAGAGAGAGAGAGAGAAAGTGAGAGAGATTTTGATCAGCGCGGAATCAGCGCCACGAAATAGCAATCAGGACATTAAAGAAGCATCGGCAATTTCCTGTTAGCTGCGGAACGCAATGTGCCATTCCTTCTCTTTTGTACTCTGTGTCAACGTTGTAGCAAAGATCTACACGCGGACAGTGCCGTTGATTATTTATAACAAAGTGGTGGAAGTAATTGAGGGTCGAATATTAATGATCAACTTATTTCATGTACGAAAAACACAATTCTCAGATTTGTTTTTTTTTCTTCCTTTCCGCTTACGAGAGAAATTCATCGAAGTACTTTTTTGTTCAATGACATCAATGAAGACGACGAATGCAGTCACAGACACCGAGAGAAAGAGACTGTCGGAGATCGGGTGATTGGGCCGAATGAATTGACAAAATTGATAGGACAAAGAAAGATAGAAAAAAGAGCATAAAAGATGGAAACTTTCAAAAAATTCTAAAAAAAAAAAGTAAGTTAAACTTCTCCGCTGGAAGACGCATAAAATAGTCCTCGAATGATAAATCTTCCAGTGGAGAAGCATTTCAATGTGAATGACAAAATAATGATTACAAAAAAAAATTTCGAATTAAAGATAGCGCCATAGATGAAAACTATATATCGCAAGTTATAGATAAACGAAGAAAATTTTGAGACAACAAAAAAATGCCGAAAAAAAAAATGTAACATAACAAAATGAAACAAGAGAAATAGAGAAAGAGAAAGAGAAAGAGAAAGAGAGAGAGAGAGAGAGAGAGAGAGAATTAGAAACATTAAGTAGTGGTGTATTGGTATTACCGTTCGGGTCCGTAACAATCGGGTACAGTGATTGTGGCTTTGTACTGTTGGGCGGGCGTAACACATCGTACGAGGCAACACAGAGATCAGCAGTTCAGGATGGTCGATGTTGTTCGGTGGTGGTCCCCCACAACCAGGTTCGCAGATCGTTTTCACATTCGTGTGTGTGTGCGATTACCAGAGGCGTGTGATAAATTTGATGGTTTTTTATCAAGTACGCACATCGCACACATATTGGTTTTCGTGGGTGTAAACGCAATTAATCCATCATTGCGTTTTGGGACATTGATCGTATTTCGAGGCCCAGTGAGAAGATCACAACAGACGTCGTTGATTGTGCGGTCGGTTGATTGTGATGGTAGTTGAGTGGTAGTTGGTGGTAGTTGAGTGGTGGTAGTTGGTCATTGGTGGCAATAGGGGCAACCGGCACCGGTGTTCATGGGTTCAGGGCGGGGCCAGGGCACAAACCATTCAGACCAAGTAGATAACAATCACGTCAGAACTACGTCGTTTCGAGACGTTGCTCGACTTTTATATTTTTTTATATTTAAATTATTTTTTAATTTTGTTATTTGTACCCCCATATCGTTACTCGTGACACACAATCGTGTTTGCGTGTGCTTTACGTGCGATTGCTTTTTTTTGGCGTCACAAACGTAAAAGTAACGGTATGATATTAAACCTAACCAATAAATATATTCATTCGCTTGGTTTCTCATCTCTGGGGGGTGTTGTTCAAGCACAACATCGTTTTTGACTTTTACTTTGGAGCATCTTTAAACCTTAAATTCTATTGGAATATACAGTTGGGTATTTCATTGTTGAGGTACGATTTCAGGTCTTGTACTTGTAGCTATCAGGCAACTGTATGACACTATTTCTCGTTAAGGTGGTGCCATGGAACGAATAATGGCTTCTATTTGTTTTGTGGAAATTTGGGAAGATAACGCTATTGCTTATTGTTAAAAACTGAGACTCATTGTTTTTATTGCTTCAAATTAAAGTCAAAAAGATGCGTGCTTCCAACTGCATATAAAATTATTTATTTTATTTCATTCTTAATCCTAAGAAAAAACGTCTAGCTACTATAAAAAGATGCTAAGAGATGGGATTTGATACCCCTACAACGTAAAAAAAAGAAACAACTGAAAAAATGTTGCATTAACGATCATCATTAAAAAGAGCGCTAAGCAACTACAAGACGCACTTAGTGCGCACATTTCTAGGCCAGAGATCTCGTTAAAGCAACATTTTACTGGTCGTCGTAAACAACAAAAAAAAAGTAAAAAAAATGTACATAGAAGTACGACTGAGCGTGCGAAAGTTATTGTCCCCAGCCGAATTCATAGATCCATCGCCCCTTTTTTCTATGAGTGCTCGTTCAGTTTCGAAACTGTCAAAAAAGGGGTGGTAAGGGTGGCAAAGTGGGCGTTATACGGATCCTTTTTTTCGTTCGTTTTGCGCATCTTTTGCAAATAAGAGAGAGAGAGAGAGAGAGAGAGAGAGAGAGGGGAGAGAGAGAGAGGGATAGAGAGGGGAGAGAGAGGGAGAGAGACAGAAAGAGAGGAGACAAAGCAAAAAGCAAGGAAAAGAACAGTGCGCGTGTGTAAGAACCACACGACACAATAAAAGAAAAAGGAAAAAAAAGGCAGCGAGCAGCTCTTTTGCTCTATCTTTTACTATACTCTCCGCGCGTAATCGCGAATTTAGAGAAGTTTCTCTTTGCTTTTTTATCGCCTGCGGCTTGCATTCAACGACTTGATTACTATTGTAACGCAATGCTCTCGCTACCTTTTTTCCTTCTGGGAGGAGATGAAGTTCGTTTTCTTCTTTTTCTTCATCGCGGGATAGAGTGCAGCGTAGTACGAGTTGTATATATAGAATGCAGTGAGAGGAAATAAAGAGTGTTTTCCTTGTTTCGTTAAATCTCAGGCGCGGGCAATTTAAGAGATAAGATCACTGTCGTGGTTTGATGACATTACCTGACTGCGCAGCTTGGCGATGTTTCTGGCCGCCTCTACCGATTATTGAACCAGCGACCTACAGAACAAACAAACCAATACAATAAACCTTTGATATTATCACCATTTATCAAGCAAAAAAAAAATAAATAAATAAATGAATAACTAAATAAAAGGCCGACCGACTACGTTCTTGCAGCGGGTATGCGTATTTATAGCCATGCGACCTGTCAACATTCCAGAACGACTCACTGTGTGCGCGCACACGAGGCAAATGGAAGATAATTAACCGGGACTTGTTGGCTTGCACGCGAGCTTGCAAAAGCTCGCGAAGCTTAATGCCACGTCATTACGTTGTTGGCGGTGGGGGAGGGGATGGGGGGTGGAGGGTTTCGTTCCTAGAAAGCTCGCTTTCGCCAGCGCATATTAGGCTACGCGAAACGTGACTTGGAATTGTCGTTTCCGTAAAACATACAAAGCGCGTGCTGGAAAAGCTTTTCGCAATCCCCGTTTTTTTTTTTTTTTTTTTTTCGAGTGAAAGTTTGTTGAACCGGCGTATGTACGAGGTGCAACGAGTGCCGAATGTTACTCAACCGCAGAGAAATACATCTTTATTCGTCCGTCGGTGGCATGACGAAAGCCGGCGCAGAGATGATCATCTCGCCGGGAGTTCGGAGTTCTGCGAGCGCTAGTCGTGGGAGCCGGTAAGCGCGGGGCACGTTTTCGCTTTCGCTTGTAAAGCAGCGAGCGCCGCCGTGCCGCGCGCTCGCGGTTACGCGAGGGGCCAAGTTTTGATCAGCGCGAGACGAGCTTTCGCCGGGCCGAACTTTTGCAATATGCCGAGTCGGCTCCGCCGTGGCGACGGAAACCTTGAGGCGCGGGCGAGGCGCGCGTCCGAAGACAATGCGGCAGGGAGGAAAAGGCGCTTGGCGCAGCTCGCGCGAGACCATATAAAGTAGGAGGCAATCGTCGTCGCTCGCGGAATGCCGATACACGCAGGCGGGCGCGCGCTTGCCGGCTGATTGAAAGTGCTGCCGACTATGATTTCTGTTCTCTCTCAAGGATACGCGCAGCGACGCCAATTTGCATGGGAGACGGCGGGAAACGCGTTTGCTTTCTACCGAGCGCGATTAAAAGTGGAGCAAAAGCGACGGCGGCAGTTGCGTCAACTGGAAGAATCCCGTGGCCGGTGCACGGAGCGATTAGCCGGCTGCCGGTGGATTGGCTTGCGTAACGCAATCACAGTGCGAAGGCTTATCGCGGCGCGCATAGCGCAAGCTCGATCGCGCTTGCAACGCCGGAGCCCCGTCCAAGAGCTTCGGCGTGGCGTCTGCTCTTCGCCTCCCACGGCGAGGCCCCGCTCGAACGTGTCCAATCGCGGACCCCTCCGCGGCGGCGCGCCTCGCCCGGCCGAAGAGGCTCGCACGTGCGCCGCGCGCCGCGAGACTGATGTCGCCGAGCGCCAACGAGGCGCGGAGGCGCACGGCCTGGGAGATGTAGGTCGGCTCGCTTGCTCGCGCCCGCGACGGCGCGCTCGTCGCTCGCAATACGTACCCTGCTCGGAATAAGTAATCGCAGCTCGTCCTCCCCTTGCGCCCTGTAGCGCTTGTTGGCGTTGGTGGGTCCGCCCGACGGGGCGTCGGCCTCTCGCTTCATGATGCCGCTGCCGCTGCCGCTGCTGCTGCTGCTGCTGCTGCCGCTGCTGCTGCCTGCAAAATATAGAAGCAGCGCCGAGTTCAGTCAAAATAATGTCACGCGCGGGCCGCGTGCCAAAGCAGAGGTGTGGGAGAGATCATTTGCACGACGCCGCAGACCCGAAAGAAAACCAAAAAAAAAATAGAAAAAGAAAACGAGAGAAAAACGCGGGCGAACGGCGTGCATTGTCTTGCGACACGTGGCGAAGCCAGTGTCGATCGATGCGCGCAACGGAAGCTGACGAGGAAGCAAAACGGAACCCTTATCGCGATCGCGCGCTCGCAAAATGGGAAACGTCACGCGCCGCTGAGACTCATCGGCATAGAAAGAGGACGATTCCAGCGTTCCTTCCCGATGCAATTGCGCGCGATGCTTCGTTGTTTTTCTTCTTTTTTTCTCGTCAGCGCGCGGCTCGGCTTTGCCGGCTGCGTTTACCCCGAGTCCCAAGTGGGCTCGCGCGCGCTCGAGAGATACACGCGATTATTCACAGCCCGATCTAGCCTCCCCTCCGGCGCCCCCACTCTCATTCTAATCGCCATTGTAACGCGGCGCGAGCAGAAGCGTCGAGGTGCAACCGAATCCTCTCGCGTTTCACGAGTCCCGCTCGCGATATAAAGTGTCGCGCGAGGAAGAGCTTTTCGTCCACCCAGCCGAGGAGAAGAAAATGTAAAATTTCACCGCTCTCTCTCTCTCTCTCTCTCTCTCGCTTTGTTCGGCGAGATATCTGCGCGTGCGGGACGAAAGGAAAGCCAACTACAGGTGCGCATCGCGCGATCGCCAACGCATCGGAAAAGGCGTGGTTCGGCGCCCGGTACGATGACATTGGCTTCGCGACGTTTGACATTGAGTCGTTTACGCTCGCGTTATATTTCTCCGTGTCTCTCTGTCTCTCGCTGGTCGTCAAACGAAAAAAGGTCACGCGCGCGTACGTTGCGTAACGCGCGCGGCAGCCGAGTTTTTCAATATCCGCGGGATAATCGTCGCGTAACTCGCTGACGACGAAAGCATCGATCGCACAGGCTAAGCGCGTGGGAAACGAGCGCTCGATCGTCGAGCCACGGCGATTCGGCCTCGGGTGTTGAATCGCACGCGATCTACATACTCGCGTCGGTGGCTCGGTGCACCCGACTTTTTCGAAAAAGAAAAGGAAAAAAAAAAAACGCGTGGGGGGTAGCACGGGCAAAGCGCGAGAAGATGAGGGGAGAACTGGGTTGACTCTCGTATTGATCGACCGTCGAGAGAGAAGCTCTTTCTTTTCACCGCGCGCGAAACAGATGAGCTTCTCGAAAGATAATGAAGCTCATGAGCGACAACTCCATTTTTTTTCG